AGGTCCTGGATTCAATATCTAGCCCTACAAAAAAAAAAAGAAAAGAAAAAACCTTTTCTTATGGAAATTGAGAAACATATAAAAGTAGACAGAAGAGCATAATGAATCTAAGATTCCCATTATTCAGCTTCAGCTGGTAATATTATCAATGTATAACCATAGGGCCAGGGATATAGCTCAGTGGTACCGCACCTGCCCCGTAAGCACAAGGTCCTGGAGTTCGATCCCTGGTACCCAAAAAAAGGCACTATATCAGTGTATAGCCAATCTTGTTTTACCCATTTTCTTGCAATCCTGAACCCTCATAATATTTGAAATATATCACAAACATTTTTTTTTGGTATCGAGGATCGAACTCGGGTCCTTGCGCTTGCACAGCCGGCGGCGAAACCACTGAGCTAAATCCCCAGCCCTCACAAACATATTTTTATATGTATCTCTAAAAGATGATTTTTTTCTAAAAAGGTTATTTTTTCTGATAATGCCAGAAAGGACAAGGTAAACCAGGTGTGATGGCACATACCTATATCCCAGCACTATGGATGACAAAGGCGGGAGGACTGCCTAGGCTGGGCAGTTTAGTAACTTGAGGCCCTGTCTTGAAATAAAAAATGGAAAAGGGGCTAAGGGTATAGCTCAATATAAAGGTGCTGGGTTCAATCCTCAGTACCTTAAAAGGGCGGGGGGGGGCAAATTATTACCCTCATATAGTGTTTATTGGAGTATACATGAATTATCAGATATATTTGGAAAGCATTGTTTCAGATTTCAAAAAAATTTGAACAGGTAAATTGATATCTTTGATTTTTTTCCAAGGTCTTATACAAAGTCTCTGTTGTTGTTGTTGTTGTTGTTGTTGTTGTTGTTTTTTGAGACGGGGTCTCACTATATAGTTCAAGCTGGCCTGGAATTTGCGGCAGTCCTCCTGCCTCAGCCTCCCAAGTGATGGGATTTCTGCAATTACAAGTCTACACCACCATGCCTGGCTAACAAAGTCTTAATATAGAAAAAGTGTTTTGCATAAAGGCATTGTTTTATTTTGTTTGTTTGTTTTTTGGCACCAGGGATTGAACTCGGGTCCTTGCGCTTGTGCAGCAGGAAGGCATTCTTTTATACAGCATGCTTCTTACCATGTAAAATAATTTTTATTAAAAAGATTGGAAGAATGACTCAAAATATTCATACTAATTAGCTTTGAGTGGTAGATTATAGGTAGTTTATTACCACTATTTTATTTTTAATGTTCTCTTCAGTGAGCTACTATTTTTATATTAAATTAACAACAGCAAAAAAATCACCTTAGTAAGTATTTTATAGATTATTCCATTTCATTTGTCTGTTCTCTTCTGAGGAAATGAAGATTAGATATACTTTTTTTTTTTCTGTAGTGCTAGGGATTGAACCCAGGGCTTGTGCTTGCTGGGCAAATGCTCTTCCACAGAGCTATACCCCCAGCCCAAGATCAGCTATAATTTCATTTTCTTGGTATAACTTTTCTCCTCTTAGTATATATTGTCAGGTTCATAGCTTCAGGAATAATTTGGGAACATACATTTTTCTTAAAACATTTGTATAGACCAATTCTTATTTAAAAACATTGTCAAGGATAAGTTTGCAAATAAATGTGTAAGCCTGCAGTTGCTTGCTCTGTGCCTTTGGCAGGCATTACAAATTGCAGGCAGCCCTTCTTCCCACTGACTGCACTTGGCCTTCAAGTCGTGCCCAGCCCAGCATTCCAGGAAGCAGCTATAGATCATCATGGTTGGCCCATGTAGTAAGACTTATTTACTATTTGGTGTCTTATGACCATCTTCTTTAGGCTAGCATTTTCTTTAGTTATCTAAATTTTCTTTTTGCCTTTTAGGTGATGGAAGCTGTTTCATTGTTCAACAAGATTTAGACTATGCCATTGAGCTCAGTGGGGCTGACTGTGACCCTGTATACAAGGTACAGCCTGAAAGGACACTAGGCCTGGGTTATTCCTACCTGAGATCTGGGGCTTTGAAGGGACTGAATCAGGCTACCTTGTGGTCATTACGTGTTCTAAAATACTGGTTATGGTGGATGGATTAAAAGACTTATTATGGTGGATGGGAAGAAATCAAAGCTTTTGAGTAAGTAGAGACTTCATCCTTTACTGCTCTAGAAACTTGAAAAATTCCTTCACCTCATCTGTCAGTTCATCTGTAAAATAAGGATAATAATGAGATCGTGCATATGCAAGTTCCTTTATAAATGTATTCTTTAAAATTAGCAATTGTTATTAAAACTCAAGACTGATTATTTCATTTGATTAGAGTGGAAAGAGAAAAATGAAATAACATTTATTGACCAGACATTATACAAATATTATCTCATCTAATATTTATTGACCAGACAGTGTACAAATATTATCCCATCTAATATTTATTGAGCAGACATTGTACAGATATTATCCTATCTAGTCTTTGTTACCATTCCCTAAGACCTTTTTAGTTTCACTCTTCTTTCTGCCACTAACTAGCATTATTTTGTATGTGTCTTTTTTTTGGGGGGGGGGAGTTGCTGAGGACTGAACCCAAGGCTTCATGCTTGCTAGACAAGTGTTCTACCACTGAACTAAATCCCCAGCCCTTGCATATAGCTTTAAAGACTGTTTTTAGAGAAATTTCAACCTTATATTTGTGTATTTATACACTTATATAAATAATAGTTTTATCTTCAGTTTGTACATAATTGCACCACTCTATATATAGCTTATTTATTTTTTACTTAACATCTTAGATCTTTTCCCAGGTAAATACATACAAATCCATTTCATTTTTTAAAGTTCTTGGGGCCGGGGATTTAGCTCAGTGGTTCTGCCACCTGCCTCGAAAATGCAAGGTCCTGAGTTCGATCCCCAGTACCAAAAAACAAAAACAAAAACAAAAAAACATTTAAAAAAAAAAGCTCTTACATCTATATTGTAAACTAACGTAACATTTCCATTTTACAAAGGAAGAAACTGAGACCCAAAAGAATTGAGAAAGTTGCCCTAGGTCATGCAGCTACATGGCAGCAAACCTGATAATAATTACAGAGTGCATGCTGTTTCCCTGATGTTAGTGGTTCTTATCTGTCTTTGAGAAGTAAATGAAATCTTCCCTGTTAATAATAACTTACATTCTGCACTTTTTTGCATTTAATTTTACAAGGTTCAGGGATACCCAAGCCTGTCAATAGTCTATCTCCTCCCCCAGTGCAGACCCTCTGCATTAATCCATGTACAACTCTTGATAGGTTTGCATTCCACTTAGGCCAGTGTTCTTTGTTCTGTAGTCATAAGTGCACCCTTGGCCCTGGCCAAGGGCCTGGGAGGAATTTGGTTGGTTTTTTTTTTTTTTTGGTACTGGAGATTGAACTAGGGTCCTTGAGCTTGCTCAGCAGGGGGCAAAACCACTGAGCTAAATCCCCAGCCCAAGGAATTTTGTAAATACATATTTTGGATGTAATCTCTTGCCTTCAGAGTAAAAGGTTTTTCATACTCCCTTGGACTAATGAGGATCAATGACCAGCCTTCATCTTTTTGAAATGGAAAAATCCCAGGCTTCCTTTGAGCTGTGAATTTTTGTGTTCCAGGTAGCCACGTGGGAGAAGCAAATCTACACATGCTGTCGAGATGGTCTCTTGAGACGCTATCAGCTTTCTGACCTCTGACCTCTTGGAAAGTTACTGAAAAGCATTGATCCTGATTTACAATGAGTGGAAATATCATCAGTCCTTCCCAAAGTCTATGGCTCCTTAGTGTCATAGGCACTCCTTGGAAGTCACAGCAAGTGAGCTGAACTGGCCCAGAAGATCTAGCATTCCAAGACCTAATTTGAACTGAGGAAGAAGCACATGTGTAGCCAGGCATGGTGCCACTTGCCTGTAATCTAAGCACTATGGGAGACTGAGGGAGGATAGTAAGTTCAGTCCTACCCTGGTCAACTTAAAGACTTAGCAAGACCCTATTTCAAAATAAACAGAATTTTTAAAGAGCTGGAGATGTTGCTCAGTCCGGAGGTTCAATTCCCAGTACCACCAAAAAAAGCAAAACAAAAAAGGAACAAGATGCAGGAGCAGCAGTAGCTACTGCTCATGTATGCTCACTGCCTTTGCCCTGTCTTCTCCTTATGTAGACCCACCCCACAACATTAGGGTAAACATCTGGATGCTTGCAGTTCGTTCTCACACCAAATTGTGTTACATGTTTACAAGGAATAGAGGACTAAAACCTATTCCCTGGAGAAAATAAATATGTTTGGAAAAACCTGAATTTGGAAAACTTTGTTAAAATTCTTTTACTCCAGCAAAAAGTCAATGAACAAAATTAAACTCCTTCCTCAAGAGTCCTTGTTGGGCTGGCCCTAAAGAAGGACGCTTGGCAGTGACAGTAAATACCCTATAAGCAGCAACATGGGAGAGATTCTTATTTCTGGTAACCAGACTGTCCCAGAACTGAAACTGAGGGTATTGGACTTTTGGTGCCAAAATCAGGAGTCCCAGGCAAACTGACATGGTTGGTCAGCCTCTGTTTAGGTAAGGAAATAATCATTGTAAAGGCAGTGGCTGGCAAAGTGTGGTCCCTGGAACAGTAACATCAGTTGAACATTTTAGAAATTCTTGGGCCCCACCTCACACCTGAACCAGAAATTGTGTGTGTGCACCCTGCGGTTTGTAGTCTAATATGCCTTCCAGGCGATTCTGCTGCATGCTCAAGTCAGAACCACTGACCTAGAAGAGATGGTGAAGGGTACTTTGGGGATAGCTGTACCCCAAGGGCTCAGAGGATGGTGAGGCTGGTCCACAGGAGCTGAGGCCACAGAGGCTGGTGGGGCCCAGGCAGTGAAGGAGCTTGAATGTCAGGTGAGGAGCTTGGACTTGGTCAGCAGTGGGAACTTGTGAAGAATTTTAAGTGAAAGAATGGCATGATGGGGCCCGGGATTTAGCTCAGTGGTTCCACTGCCTGTCTCACAAGCACAAGGTCCCAAGTTCGATCCCCGGTAAAAAACAAATACAAAACAAAAAAGAATGACATGATCATCTCTTTTTTTCCCCTTAAATATAAAGAGGGAATTATAACGTATGGGTTTTCTCTTTTATTTTCACTTAGTATTGCTGAGATCTTTCCAACTCAGTGCATTTTGACCAGAATGTCATATTATTTATAAATACCATATTATTTATACTTCAGAGCTTATTAGAGAAAGCTTTCTTGGAGGATACAACACTTGAGCTGGGCCATACAGGCTAAGATTTTGATTTATTTTATTTATTTATTTATTTATTTTTGGTACCGGGGATCAAACTCTAGACCTTGTGGTTGCAAGGCAGGCGCCGGAACCACTGAGCTAAATCCCCGGCCCCAGATTTTGATTTATTTAAGGGCAGAAAGTTGTTCCTGGCTGGAGTAATATGGTTGAGAGTTCTTAGTGATATATTTTCATGTGATTCTTAAAACTACACTGTAACAGGGTTGGGGATTTAGCTCAGTGGTTCCACCACCTGCTTCGCAGGCACAAGGTCCCGAGTTCGATTCGCGGTACCAAAAAAAACAAAAAAACTACACTAACATTTAGGTGTGAAACTCAGATGAAATGATTTGCCAAGCATCATAAAGAGAGGAACTTTATCTTAACTTTAAATCCCATTTCTTGCCACAACATCCTGTTGTTTGTGCCGTAACCAAAGTGTAAACATATTGTAATTTATTAAGTATATATAACACTCTTAAAAAGCAAATGATATTTTCCTGTTTTATTTAGAGAAGGAAACTGAGGCTTGAGAAATTAAATACCAGAGCCTTGATTTAGACCTTGGTCGGTCTCCAAAATCTCTGTTCCTACTATTACATCATGTAATAACGTGATGGCAGGGAGGGAGGAAGGATGAGAGTGGATATGGGTTATGGCTCAGCCCACTCTGCAAGTGAATGTCTGTGTCCCCACTCTAAAGCTCATTCTTCTTTTTGCCATCATATTCATGAGCTCTTTGCCATAGGTCTCCAGAGTTGATGTCCTGGTTGTGGGAGATGTAATCACCTCTTGACACTGTGCTGAGGTCCAGACCCAAACAAGGAGCGGAGGCCAGCTTGCAGGTACTCCATAGCTTTGTCTCCTGTGAATGAAAGGAGCCCCGGTTTTCAATACACAGGACATTATTTTCCTTTAGGATTGAGGAGTTCATTCTGGGTAAGGACAGACAGGACAACTCATCTGTAGCCCAGTGAAATCCTGTGCTGAACCTTATTTCCTGGTTTCCGGCTGCCCCCTTGTGACTTCGAGTGAGAAGTACCTCTGTCTTTCAGACTCAAAAAGCTGGCAGTGGTGTCAGCTATTAAGTATGTCCTCTGTGCCAAAAGTACTCTGTAAAATAGGTAAAGATTTCTTAAGGTGTTTTCTTTTTGGTTTTTTGTTTGCGTGTTTCTCTTGGTTTTTTTTCTTTTTGGGGGGGCGCGTATATTTCTTGGTTTTGTTTTTTATTTCTTTTATTTTTTTAAAGATTTCTTCCCAGCACTTGGGAAGCTGAGACAGGAGGATCACCACAAGTTCAAGGCCAGCCTGGACTACTTAGTGAGTTCAAGGCCAGCCTGAACTACACAGCAAGACCCTGGCTCTCAAAAAAAAAATTATTTTTTGAAGAAGTCTCTTTGTACATATATTTTATATTTTTATTTTACTTTTTATTTTGAAATAATTTCAGACTTACAGGTACGTTGCAAGAATTGCACAAAGGAAAAATTCCAGAATACCCCTACCTAGGTCTCCCAGTTGTTGCCTTGTTTTCTTTATCACTCTCTTTTTCTAAACATACACATTATATATGTATTTTCTGACTCATTTGAGAGTGTTAGGTAAACATTATGTGCTATTACTCTTAAATATTTTAGGACACATTTGCTAAGATGAAGGACACTCTCCCTGCATCACCCCAGTACAGCTGTCAGGACAGGGAAACCAGTGGTGGCCCTGTACTGCCATCCAGTGTGCAGGCATTATCATCCAAGTTCCCAGTTCCCCCAACAATGTCCTTTGTAATTACCCGTTCCTCTGTGGTCCAGGGTTCAATCCAGGACTGCATGTTACATTTATTTACTTCCTTTCTGAAGCATTTTCTGTTGTCACTTATCTGTCACAACTCTGATGTTTTTGGACAATGGCCAACTTGGGGAAGAGCCCTACTTTGGGTAGTCTGATGTTTTCTCATAATTAGATTTAGGTTATGTGTTTTGCCAGAACACCACAGAAGTGATTCTGTGTCCTAAGAGCATCAAACAGGGAGCTACACAAGGCCGATTTGTTCCATAACTGATGATGTTTATTTGTACAAACAGTACAGAAAACAGCAGCCCCAGTCAGACAGCAGCCCATGGGTCACACCAGTCCTGTTCTGTTTGGTAGACAGAAGCCTCTCTATGGACCCTTCATGGGGGCCTGGGCACCTCTGGAAGCCTGAGCTAGAAGCTGAGCTTGACCTTGTTTTGAGCATTTGCTTTGGTCTTTCACTGTCAAATCCTGAGATCCTTGGCACATGGCCATGAGCACATTTCCCAAGCTTGGGGGGTGGGCATTTGCATTTGGGGTGCAAATCAGTTAAGCCTGGGGCCGACTCCTTTTGGGATCTTGGACTTAACTTCATTGGACTTTATGAGCCTTGACACCCTCAGCACATGTTGGCCTTGGTGATGTTTGCCTTGTCATCTTCAGGCCCTACTTATGCTTCTTGGCAAAACACATGTTCTTCAGAAACTTGGAGTCTGCAGCCTTAAATGATTCATATCTTTGTGAACAGGTTTGTTATTTTTTGTTTGGGTTATTTGCTGTGTAATTCAGACTGGCTACAAACTTGTGGCAATTCTGCCTCAGCCTCCTGAGTACTGGGATTTACAGGCTTGCTCCACCATCCCCAGCTATGTGATCAGGATTTGTAATGCCATTTCTGTGCCATCTTGGGGACTGGTAGTGTGTACTGAGGTTCTTGACCTTGGCTGTGCCTGCACCATCACCCATAGCTCCCAAAGCACCTGGAACCAGAAAAGGAAGAGCACCCTATACCCTTTAGCGACCACTCCCCATGTCCTCCCCAGCCTTGGCATCCACTAACCAACTTTGTGTCTCTGTGGGTTTGTCTATTCTGGACATTTCATGTAAATAGAATCATGTAAGATGTGACCATTTATGTCTGGCTTCCTTCTCTTAGCAAGTTTCATCCACATTGTACCAGGTATCAGTATTTTATTATTTTTTGTTCTTGCCAAATAATATTCCGTTGTGATAGCTGATTTATGAATCAACTTGGCTGGCCACAGTGTCCAGATATTTGGCCAGACATTATTATAGGTATTTCTTTGAGAGCATTTTGGGGGGATAAATCAACATTTAAATTGGTAGACTTTGAACAAAGCAGATTCCCCTTCATAATGTGAGTGGGCCTTGTTCAAACAGAGAGGCTTAAAAGAACAAAGACTGACTTCCCCCCAAATAGGACAGAGTTCTGCCAACAGACCTCCTCTGGTCTTGGACTACAACTCTTCCTTGAGTCTCCAGCCTGTCAGCCTCCCCATAGGATTTTGGATTTGCTAAACCTCTACAGTCCTGTAATCCTCTAAGCCAATTTCTTAAAATAAATCTCTGTCTCTGTCTCTGCCTCTCTCTCTCTGAACTATCAACTATCTCTATATCCCATTGTAGGGATATACCACATCTTACTTATTCATGTCAGTTGATGTGCATGTGAGTTGTTTCCACTTTTTAGCTATTATGAACAATGCTGCTATGAGTTTATTTACTTATGAACATATGTTTTCAGCTCTATTTGGCATACACCTGTAACATTTAAGGACTACCTGTTGTTTTCAAAGTGGCTGTACCATTTTACATTCTCACCAGTGGAGTATGAGGGTCCTGACTTCATATCTCGGCCAGCACTTGTTTTTGTAACCCTTTTTTCTTACTGTATAGCCCATTGATATTAGTCTGGTTAAAATGGATTCTCCACAACATAATTAGCATGTAGGTACTTTGAGACCATATAAGTACCCTGGTTCTCCTAAAACTTGTATCAACTAGTTTTAGCATTCTTTCTTTATTCCTGAATCGAGGATTGAACCCAGGGCCCCAGACATGCTAAGAAAGTGCTCTACCACTGAGGTACATCCATAACCCTTTCTTTCAAAAATTATTTTGAGGGCCGGGGATTTAGCTCAGTTGTGCCACCGCCTGCCTCACAAGTGCAAGGTCCTGAGTTCTATCCCTGGTTTCAAAAAAAAAAAATATTTTGGGACAGGGTTTCCTAAGTTGCCTGGGCTGGTCTTGAACTTGCATCCTCCTGCCTCAGCCTCCCACGTAGCTGGAATTACAAGTGTGTGCCACTGGTTTTAGCACTCTTTGATGATTCTTATATGAATCAGTTATGCTGTAACAATTGCCAAGAGCTTACTTTCTAATTTCATCATTCTATATTTATAATTGGCCTTTTACTAGAAAGTAGAATATTTTCTTTTCCTTTATTTACTCACTCAAGTGGCCATTGATTCATAGATATATGTGTATGGACTACCCATGAATGCATATTTTTTCTGTAGATTACAATCCATCATTAGATTTATTTTCTCTATTTATTCTATCTATTTTCTCTATCTATTTATTTATTTATTTTCAGTACCGGGGACTGAACCTAGGACCTCTGCACTGAGCTACATCCCTGGCCCATGGTTTTGTTTTTGTTTTTGTGTGTATGTGTGTATCAAACTGAGGACCTTGTGCTTGCCAGGCAAGCATGGTGCCACTGAACTAAATCTCTGGCCCATGTTTTTAATTTTGAGACCGAGTGTCACTAAGTAAGTTGCCCAGACTTCAATCTTCCTGACTCAGCCTCCTAGAGTGCTGGGACTACAGCCACCCTGCCCGTGTTCCATTATTTATTTTGATGTTTTTGTCCTAGTTTGGCCAATGAGAACTTCTTCAAGCTGATTCCTATATGCTTTTGCCATGTCTCCAAAATTTTTGAGCAGTTCCATATCTTCCACAAGATCTTCCAGTCTCACTTTGTAGTTTTCTAGCCTCAGCAGCAGAGTCAGTCATTTGTCCAAGAAGCCCTTCTTCCTTTTAGTGGATAATGGTATCCAGAAACCAAGATCTTGGCATTAGTGTGCTCTTTACTGAGTATGGAATATATGTCTAGGCTTTATTAGGGCTAGTGGACATATACACCTTTATGTGTACATTGTATACATGTAGATTTCAGGTGAGTTGAGTGGTCAGAAAAATAAACAGTAAAAATCTCATGTTTACATTGATCTTTCCAGTGCCAACCCAAATCCGCAGGACTAATTTTAGCCTTCTTCATATAGACTTCCTTTCTTTAACAGTGAGAACCTGGACTCTCATAACCCTCCTATAGTCACATATTTGTTCAGTGCCTCTGTGAGTAACCAGTCTGCCATCCACACAGGCTGTGTCCCCCTACCCCACTTCTGCACACATGGCTGTCACTCAGAGGGGGTCTCCCTCTCCCCTTCCAGGCTCAGGCTGACCAAGGCCTTCCCCCAGCCCTCTGGGTCTTGATATTTTTTCCAGTACCAGAAATCGAACTCAGGTCTTGATTTTTAATAACAGTTTTTTCTGATAATAAAAATAGAACAAATGGACAATAAACATGAAAAGATGCTCAGTCTCATCAGTAATTAAATAAATGCAAATTAAAGTTCACAAGAGAAATGTCCATCAACTGGTGACTAGATAAAGAAGATGTAGTTTTTTTTTAATAAAATGGAGTACTACTCAGCTATAAAGAACGATAAACTAAAGATATTTATAGCTAAATGAATGCACATTGAGGCCAGACTCTTAAGTGAAATAAATAGGACAGATGTGTAAATACTGAATAGTTTTTCTGGTTTGAGAAACTGCAAGAGTAAATGAGGACCAAAATATATAATAGATAATGTAAACTAGGAAAAAAAGGTTTAAAAGGGAAGAGGAAGTAGGGAGAGGGGTGGGGGAAAAGAAAGAAGAGAAGGAAAAAATATGAGAAAAGAAGAAAAAAAACAGAAGCAAAGTTTTTGTAAATAGGGGTGGAAGGGAAGAAAGAGGAATGGGGGAAAACAAGACCCAAGATATATCATGTACAAGTACAAATTCCCAGTGATGAATGTGATCATAATGTATACCTAAAATGTACCAATAAATAAATATAGATGAAAAAGAAGTCCACAAGAGAGCTTGGAAAAGCAAAAAGTAAAAAAGGATAATCTCAAGCATGCCCGTAATCCCAGCTACTTGGGAGGCCAAGGCAGGAAAAGCACAAGGCTGTTCTAGGCAATTTAGCAGCCCCTGCTCAAAAAATAAAGTCTGTGGTTGTAGCTCACTGATAGAGTGCCTAGCATGCATAAGGCTCTGGATTCAATCCCCAGTACTGGAGGGGAGTGTAATTCTGTACTTTCATCTTTTTTTTTTTTTAATTCTTAAGTTCTTTGATTGGTACATTTTAGGTATACAATACTTTTACATTTATCATTGGGTACTTGTACCTGTACATTATGTATCTTGGTTCTTATTTTTCCCCATTACCTGTGCACCCTTCCCCACCTCACCCTTCCCTATTTACATAGACTTCATTTCCTTTTTTTTTTCTTTTCTCATAATTTTTCCTTTCCCTTCTTTCCTTTCCCCTTCTGTACTTTCATCTTTACCAGGAGGCAACTGTGGCTAAGAAATCATGGCTTAAGGTCACAAAATAGTAGCTAATAGACTGTGGAGCTTGGTCTCTGACTACTACCTAAAGGGTAAGGAACATCTTCTATATATTACATGTTTTCCTATGTTTTCCCACTAACCCTGTGGTGTAGTTGATCTTCATAATTCCACTTATGTGAAGACACCTAGATTCGGAGACCTTAAATAAACCTGCTTACAGTCACAATTGGCAGGTGAGCTTAGAAGCACCAAGGTTTGGACACTTGTTAGCCATTCAATTCACCAAAAACCTGTACTTTATGTGTGTGTGTTATTTTTTTTTGGTACCGGGGATCGAACTTGGGACCTTGTGCTTGCGAGGCAGGTGCCGGAACCACTGAGCTAAATCCCCGGCCCAAACCTGTACTTTATTTCTTATCCTTTCAACTGATTTGTCTGTCGCTTGGCTCAATTCCAAAAATGTGTTTCCCCTACTCCAAATACACCTAAAGAAGGCTTTTTGCCTTGAATAATATGGAAGAGCTCTTATAGGGGAAGTTCTCTGTCATTGTGTGATTTCAGAGAGGGCAAGAAAATTCTTAAATATCTCAGCCACTAGTATCTGAAATGCCATCAAGGACCAAGCCTGATCTTCTACGTTACAGATTTAAAGTGCTGTTCCCTGTTAACTGCTACTAGATGTTTTCTTAAAAACACTTCTCGGGCTGGGGATTTAGCTCAGTGGTTTCACCGCCTGCCTCGAAAGCGCAAGGACCCGACTTCGATCCCTGGTACCCCCCCCCCAAAAAAGAGGAAGAGTCCAGACACGCACCCATGCCTGTGTGGAAACAGGGTACAACATGGCAGGACACTGATTGATAAGGAAACAATGGACTGTTAAATAGTCTAGACAGTTGGATATCTAAATGAAAAAGCCAGGTGCATTTGTCCATGCCTGTAGGCCCCTTAACTCCAGAGGTGAAGGCAAGAAGGTCTTATGAGTCCAGGAATTCAACACCAAACTGGGCGACATAGCAAGACCCCATTTCTTAAGAAAAAGAAAAGAATTAACTCCCACCATACACAAAAAGATAGGTTCTGGGTGGCATAAAGATTTCAAGTGTGGGGCCGGGGATTTAGCTCAGTGGTTCCGCTGCCTGCCTTGCAAGCGCAAGGATCCGAGTTCGATCCCTGGTACCAAGAAAAAAAAAAAGATTTCAAGTGTGAAAAAAGTGAAGATTTTTATGACCACATATAGGGAAATAACTAGACACCAAAAGTATAACCACAAACAAAGAGATTAGTAAATTTGACTTAATGTTTTAGAAGTGAAAAGATAAGTTCCAAACTGAAGGAATATGTATTTCATATTAACAACAAAGAATTTGTTTTTAGAAAATGTAGAGAGGCACAAATCAATAATAAAAACAAATTCCCTATGATGAGTGTGACCATTTTTTATACTTAAATTGTACCAATAAAATTAATTTTAAAAATAGTAATAAAAACATAAAAGGCCAACAGAAAATTGGGCAAAAATGCAGGCATTTCTCAGTGAGGGAAAAAATGGCCAACAAATATGAAATACAGCCAAGAAATGCAAATTGAAATCCAGAATGAGATGCTATTTTATACATACTATATTCACAAACATTTCAGAACTTCCAAGAGTTGGCGAGAAGGTGGAGCAAAGGAACGCTTCACCGCCACCTCCATATGTAATTGTAGCAATTACATGTGCTGCAGTTGCCAGTATAAATTAGAACAACCACATCAGGAAACTGTTTGGCACTACCTTGCAAAGTTGACACAATATCCAAACGTTCATAAGGAGAGAATAATGGACCCTCTGTTAAAACAGACCACACAGAGACAGCTGTTTGTATAAGTGATATCATTTATGTAAAATTCAAAATGCGAAAAGGCAAATATATTGTTAGAAGTCCTTGTAATGATGTGTTTGAGCGGGATTGTACTCATTTGGAGAAAACTGGCAAGGGCTTCACAATAGACTTTTATTTCCTTCTGGCAAGCCAGTTGTGAAACATTTTCCAACACACCACTGAATACATGAATAGATTGTAAAACTATAAAGAAAAGTCAGGGAATGAAAAACAAAAGTGAGGGCCACACTGGTGCAATATTTCTTAAGCAAGGAATGTTCCAGTACTGCTCATATGTGCATATAAACTTTCATAGGAAGAAAAAATAAATAGTTAGCTGAATGGAGGCCAGGTTTTCCATGGATGGCATGGCATCCACTGAGTAGCAGTGGCAGCGTAGGGGATGTGAGAGAGAATGGTTAGTTTGGGCAGTGGGAAGTGCTGTAGTTCATTGTGACTAACAACAGGTGCACAGGTGGTGAGAGATAGGGTGGAGAGTGACGCACCAGATCACAGGGGCCTGTGTGCCGGGGAAGCAGTCTGGGCTTCACTCTGGACGGAGTATGATCTTGGCAAGGTAGAGATACGGCAGAAAGACAGTGAGGAAGTTTTAGTGGCCTTGCAGAAAGAGGAAGCCATGGGCTGGGAATTTAGCTCAGTGGTGCCACTGCCTGCCTTGCAAGTGCAAGGTCCTGAGTTCGATTCCCTGGTACTGAAAAGAAAGAAAAATGAAGCCAGAACAAGGCTGTGGCTATGAGAAAAGCAGGAGGGGAGGGGAGGGCTCTGGGTGGTAGAAGGAACTGAGCTTGGTGACTGGATGTGGGATGTGCATGGAAAACCGGGCTCTCTTGCTCTCAGGGAGGTGGAGTCTAACTCTGCACCTTTAAGGGTGGGCCACACAGTGACTTTCTCCCAAACAGTGCAATGCAAAAAGGGGGAAGAAAGTACCTTTACAGTGGAGAAACCTGACAGATACAACCTCAGCCAGGATCAAGGTTCATTCACATCATCATTGAGAAGCTATGTTGGTAGTGTGTACCTTTGATACACTGTAATGGAAATTGTACTTTACAGCTAAGTGTGGTGCATCCCTGCAATCCTGGCACTCTGGGAGGCTGAGGCAGGAGGATCATGAGTTTGAGCCCAATATGGGCAGGTAAGTGACTTAGAGCTTGTCTCAAAATTTAAAAAAAAATTTTTTTAAAGGGATGGAGATGTATCTCAGTGCAAAAATCCTAGTTTCAATCCCCAGTACTAGTATATATATATGTATGTATGTATGTATTTATATATATATATGTGTATATGTATGTATATAAACATATTTAATAATAATGTATCAACTTTGGTTATTTGTGACACATTATCTCACTAATATAAGATGTTAATGGAGAATATGGTGTGGGGTATGGGATATATGTGTGTCTATTGTCTTCATAACTTTTCTGAAAATATAAAATTTCTAAAATAAAAAAATATTTTAAAAAATCAACCAAATGCTGCATTTGTTCTGAAAACTTTTAATTAAAAGTCATTTCTTTCTCCTTAAAAATAAAACAGGGCCCTGTGACTCTCTGGTTTCTGAGCTGAATGACCTTTATCAGGGTCACAGAAGCAGCTACAATTTTCCCAGTCCTTTTGTTCCTGGTCTAGAGTCCAGAAGGCAGTTTGCTTAAGAAGGAAGGACTACAACTCCCAGAGTCCCCCTGTGCAGTTGTCAGGAGCAACCAAGGAATGCAGACCAACAGCCTTGCTGGAGTCTGAGGACTAACAACTCACTGCCAGCCAGCCATGGGCCAGGATTATTACTCAGTGCTCCAGATCACTCGCAATTCAGAGGATGCTGAGATCAAGAGAGCGTAAGTCAGGGCCAGAGCCAGGCCTGAGGGGTGTGCTAGGGCAGCCCCACCACTGCCGGCCCTTCCCACGAGGCTTTGCTGCACAGAGCTGGGCAGGCAAGGTGAGCGAGCCTTGCTCCTCTTGCTTCTTGTGTACCCTTGTCCTGACTTGGGGCTGGGGAGGGGCAGGGGGTGCGGGCTGGAAATGCGGACACCTTGGATCCTCAGTCTGCTCCCAGTCCCTATCCCTTTACACTATGCCCTGTCGCCTTTACTAGGTGCCTTGATTTTTCCTAACAACAAAAAGGAGACAGAGGAGCCACTTGAACTTTATCCCGAATATTATGGAGAACCAAAGGATAGTGAACAGGGAGATGACCTGACCAGATAGACGTATTATAGATTTCATTCTGGCCATTATGAGGATTTTTGTCATTAACTAAACTTTATCTCTGAATACTTTCATCAAGTCTCGGGAATTTTGTGGCCTATTCTTAAAGTGTAGAACAGGAGTCAGCATATTTTTCTAGAAAAAAAAAATTTTGTGTGTGATCTTTTTGTTTATTTTCTTTGAAAAAACGTTTTATTATTTATTTATTTTTGGTACTGGGGATCAAACTCATGAAAAAACATTTAAAATATTTATTGAGCACTGACCATATCAGTTAGGTGCAGTGGTAGCAGCTGGAGATAAAACTGTGAATCAGATGTCTCTTTCCTCATGCAGCCTAATTTTGCTGGTGAATACATATGTTGATTACATCACCACAGCTGTAATGGCCATTACAAAAGGGAAGGTACAAAATGCTAAGGAAGATTATATTGGAAGGATAGAGATCTTTTAGGAGGCAGAAGACCAGGCTTGAAGGAGGATTAAGCCTCTTCAGGGGACTGGAGAGAGGAGAGGGAATGACCTTGCAATTAAGTGGATAACTGAAAGGTAAAGGAAAACACAAGTGTCTAAGATAAGTAAGGTTGGGAAATACAGTAGCTGCATGGATTGAGTGCATCGCTGCTGTTCTGAGAACCTGCCATCATGATTTCATTTGATCCTCACAAAGACCTCAAGAGGGAGGGCTGGGGATTTAGCTCAGTGCTTCCGCTGCCTGCCTCGAAAGTGCAAGGTCCCGAGTTCGATCCCCCATACCAAAAAAAAAAAAAAAAAGACCCCGAGAGCTGGATGCCATTAATATCTCGAGGCCAGTAGGGGATCTAAGTGGAGTAAGTGCAGAGAGTCCACAGCATGACTGGAGAAGTAAGACACAAACTCAGAGGGCAGTGTAGGATGGCAGTGTAGGATGTCACCCGCTGTTCATGGCATCTCACTGGCCAGTGGGAGCCATCAAGGAAAAGGTTGCTAGGAAGGAGAGCAGTTGGAGGACAAAAAGATAAGCACAGCCTTGTCACTGGAAGGTCTGAGTCCAGGTTCGCCTGCTAGTTGTGTGACATAGGCAAGTCACTTAACCTCTCTGAATGTCAGTTTCTCATCTCTAAAAAACAGGAGGGGGTCAGGCCAGGGATTTGACGCCACCCCTGTCTCTCAAGCAAGGTCCTGAGTTTGATCCCCCATTCAAAAACAAAAAAACCCAGCATTCACTCTTTTTTTTTTTTCCTTTACCGGGGATTGAACTCAGGACCTTGTGCTTGTGAGGCAGGTGAGGCACCACTGAGCTAAGTCCCCAGCCCCATTCATTCACTCTTGAGCTGGGACTTCACCTCTCTCTGTAACACAGAAAAACAGGGAAAGAGAGTGAGGTTGTTGCAGAGGGAGAAGTAGGGGCTTGAATTTTAAACTGAAGACAACAAGCAAATTGGTACCGGGTTTCAGCATGAGAGTGACTTGGTCCCAGAGTATTTTAGAAGCATTGAATGAAATAAGAGAGACTGTCAAACCCAGTGGCCACACACAAAATGGACTGGAGTTAATCTTGAAATCACTCAATTTTTTTTTTTTTTTTGAGATGATCTTGCTATGTAGTTCAGGCTGGCCTTGAACTCACTGTGTATTCCAGGCTGGCCTTGAACTCACAGTGATCCTCCTGGCTCAGCTTCCTGAATGCTGGGACTACAGGTAAGTACCACCACGCCCAGATTATATTTTATTTTGAGTCAGGATCTAAATTGCTGTGGCTGACCTCAGACTTGGGATTTGTCTGTTTTAGCCTCCTAAGTAGCTGGGATTACAGGTGTGCACCATGATGCCCAGCCTCCAATTTTGTCATTTTATTTATTGATTGAATTTACTGGTGATTCTCTTTATAACTAACTATGACCTTTGGAATTGAAAAGGACTACCTTAGAAGTCCCAGGGAGGGCCTGGGGATTTAGCTCAGTGTTTTCGCTGCCTGCTTCGCAAGCACAAGGACCCGAGTTTGATCCCCAGTACCAAAAAAAAAAAAGAAGTCCCAGGGAGGCTGTGACAAGTTTCTGAAAGTAGACTGGAAAGATTCTGTCTGTAAGGCTCCCAAGGGCAGAGCCAGGACCTTTATGAATTAAAGGAAAGGACAAGGACAGCAGACCCAGCTCACTTAGAGGAAGCATTGCTAGAACCCAGACACAATGAGAAGGGCTGCCGGGCAGGACAGTGGGCTCACATCATTTATTTACTCACTGCTGCTGGGTGCGAGGCACTGGGGATACAGAGAATTGGACACAGCCACTCAAGGACTTCGAAGTCTTTTGGGAGAAACAATCAGTCAGCAGACTGGAGTGCTGAGTTCTGGGATCAAAGGACTTGGCGACTTGAGTAGGAGTGTCTACCCCGGAATGGAGACTAGCAGTCAGGGGAGGTACCCTGGACTGGGTAGTTGGTCCCTAAGGCTGAATAAAAAATTGCCAGGAGGGGCTGGGGATTTAGCTCAGTGGTTCCGGTGCCTGCCTTGCAAGTGCAAGGTCCTGAGTTTGATTCCTGGTATCAAAAAAAAAAATTGCCAGGAGGATCTGGGAGGGACTGCAGAAGGATGACTATCACAGGAAAAGGGAGAAGGGTGTGCAGGAAAAAGGGGAATGGCACAGCCGTGAAGGGATTTAGCAGGAGAGTGACTTGGTCAGAGTATTTTAGAAAACAGAGACAGAGTTCCAACCTGGTAACAGCACACAAAATGGACTGGTTGGAGATGGTGCTACTGGATACAGGGAGATGTGCTTCTGCAACAGTTGTAGGGCTGAAGAGGCAGGAAGGGGACATTTAGAAGGAAAACCTAGGGCCAGAGATTTAGCTCAGTGGTTCCAGTGCCTGCCACGCAAGTGCAAGGTCCCAAGTTCAATCCCTGGTACAAAAAAAAAAAAAGAAGGAAAACCTGACATGACTTGGTAATTTCTTGGATGAGGGAGGAGGACAAAGGAAAACTTGAGCTAAAGATAATGCTCAGCTTTCTGGACACAATGCCTGGGGGTGGGAGGATGAGGCCATGAAAATGAGGTGATATTTAGGCTCCTTGAGTTTGTGGTCCCTGTGGGGCATTGGAGAGGAGCTAGCAAGCAGGTTAAGGGAAATAGTCTGGTTTGACTTCACCCCCAAACTGAGTGAAGTGAAGAGAAGCAATGGAGCCCTGGGGATACCTACGTGGAAGGTGGGGCTAGGAAAAGAGTCCCACTCTGACCCAGCAAGGGCAATGCAGGGTCAAACTGTAACAAGGTGACCTGGGAGTCTGGGCTGGACACCTTCCTGTGCCCTTCCAGATACCCCCCTTACCGTGCCAGCCAATACAATGACACCACACACAAAGTCACCAACAGGCTTCCTGACTCATCCTGCTAAAGCAGGCAGGGCAGGGGATTGGGAGTGAGAAAAGTGAGGTTTCTATCTTAATTCCCAAGCTCCCTTCCTATGGGATTTCTTCGAGCTGTCTAGGTCCCCTGACTGAAGGTCACAGCTCCTGCCAAAGGCCCTGTCCACTACTCCTTCTGGGTTTCAGTAACAGCCCCCTTGCTCACTCCTACATCCACAGGGGTTCCCAGGGCACCCCAGGGTTCCTAGCTCTGGGGACTGTGCTGTCCCCGTGTCTTCTTCCTCCTGCCTGCAACCTCTGTGAAGGGTCCTTTATTAAACTTTGCATAAATCATCCACCCAGGCCAGCACTTCTCCTGGGATACTGACAGTACTTATCCTCAGGTGCTGCAGGTGCCCAGGCTGGTGGGGTGGGGGAGATGGCAGGTACAGAAGTCAGAAGAAATGAGCACAGAGGAAGGTGACAGCACCGGAACATGACAGGCCTCTGCCAGTGCCTTTCTGGACACCTGGCTTTATCTCCTCTTGAGAAGCGTGTGTCAGTTCTGGTCCTCTGAGGAGCAGACACCAAGACAGGATTAGATGTACACAAAATATATGGGGAGTCCCCTGTGAGAGACAAGGAGGGTGGAAGTATGCAGGGGGAGCTTCAGACCTCAGGGCAGGCCTGATACCTGTGAAAGGAGATGGAGAGGGGCTGGGGATTTAGCTCGGTGGTTCTGGCGCCTGCCTTGCAAGTGCAAGGTCCCGAGTTTGATCCCCCTGCACGAAGAAAAAAAAAAAAAAGGATGGAGGCGGGAAGGCCTGAGGCCTGAGTGGGGAGAGCTGCAGTGTGGCCCCAGACAGTCTCAGCCAGGCTGGTAGGGAGTCCCCAAACCAAGGCTGCCTGTTGAAAGGAGTCCCAAGTCTCACAGGAATCGGCCATCACTGATCCTCTGCCACATTAAGGGGTTGGTGAGGGTAGCTTGGGAGAATAGCTAGATCACAAAGGTTTCTCCAGCCCCATTTCAGAACAAATGCCTAAGGGCAGCTGCAGAGGGCTGTCAGCTACCTAGGCTCCACACGCAAGGTTCTCTTTAGCGAGATCTGAGCAATGCACATGGGCAACCACCAAGCCTATATGGTCACCCCTGATTGTAGTGAGGCAGTGGATGACAGCATCAGCTCTGAACCATGGCCTGCCCCTCAGCAGCAGGTCCACTGCTATGACTCCCATTAACTTTCCCTCATGTAGGTACCGGAAACTTGCCCTGAAGAATCACCCACTGAAGTCAGATGAGCCATTTGCAGCAGAGACTTTCAGGCAAATAGCAGAGGCCTACGATGTGCTGAGCGATCGTGAGTGACTGTGGGGCTGGGCACACTCCAGGAGATTTGTCACCCACTCCTCCATTAAGATCTTTCCTTAAGTCTCTAGAATGGTGGGTTTTCTAAGAGGTCCAGTAGAGAGTAATCATACATTCTCCATGTTCAGAATCTAAAGACAGAACCCAGGGTAAAGAATTTCCTTCCTTCCTTCCTTCCTTCCTTCCTTCCTTCCTTCCTTCCTTCCTCCTTCCTTCTCTTTCTGGAATGGGAGATTTAACCTACGGCTCACACATGCTAGGCAAGTGCTCTATTGTAAGACCGAGGGCCTTACCAAACGCTCCAAGGAGCTGACTAGTGAAGCACACCCAGGAATCCCAGCGATGTCTTCAGAATGTAAGACCAAGAGCCTTACCAAATGCTCCAAGGAGCTGACTACAGCGAAGAACACCCGGGAAGGAACACACTGGACAAGTTGGAAAACAGACCTTTAGTAGTCTGGCCAGACGGCACTCCCAAAGCAAAATAGCTTAGAGAGGCAACTGGCTCAGAATCCGAGGCTGTTTCTATAGGGGGTTGAGGGGGAAGTTAACATATAGAATTAAAGAAAAGGGGACAAAGGTTAGTGGTCGACTGTCACATATTGATGGTCAGCAGACATCTGCAGCTTGTTCTAACAATTGTGATGCCTGGAATATCAGTTGCGGGTAAACAAATAGTTGAGTAGTTTACTCTGGGACTCTAGGTCTGTTACAGATCCCTATCTAGTGTCCCTAGACTATCTGGGACTCTAGGTCTGTTACAGATCCCTATCTAGCGTCCCTAAACTAACAAGCATCTCCATCCATTAACTCACATTTTAATCACAATGGGGCTGGAGAAAAAGGAACAAAGGTTATGTAGTCCCACACTATCACTGAGTTACATCCCCAGCCTTTTTTTAAAATTTATTTTGAGATAGTCTCACTAAATTACCCAGACTGGCTTCAAACCTGTGATACTTCTGTATCCTCCCAGTATCTGTGATCACAGGCATTTGCCACCAGGTCCAGTCAACAAATGTCTTTTTCAGCAGCTGCAGTGTGCAGAGCCCAGGATTAGGCTGATGGCTCACCAGTTGGGCCAGTGTAGGAGCAGGGCACATTTCCCACACCCTAAGAGGAAAGATCCTTTCCCAAGAAGCAAAGAGAGACTCTGGCTGCAAAGGGCAGACCACTGAGATTGAGCAGGCGGGCTCATTTATCCTTCCCTAGTGAGTGGCTAAGTCTTCATGTCCCCAAGGAAAGCAAGGGCCTAAAAGGGCAGAGAGAGGCCAGGAATCATTGAGAAATGTCTCTCCTGTGGAAGCCAGAGTATGGAGCAAGTGTGAGTCACTACCCAACAAGGCAGCTCCCTGAGGGCTGCCCTTAGGGCCTGCCCTGAGACTGTGATCTTGGATACTGTGATCTTGGATACTGTGCAGAATGGCTTGGAGGTCACTAAAGTTTCTCTAGCCTTGGATTTTCAGGTCTTCAGAGTCCTCAGACTCTAGGATTTCAAAGCTCCAGCATTTAGAATCTTAGATTCTAAAATGTCAAGACTCTAGGATTCTGATTACCCCCAGATAAGACAATAGCTTCGATGAGTGAGTTAAACCAGCTTTCAAATCTGCAGCTTGACCCTTAGTCTCTCAGTTCCTCCTCTAATCCCCACCCCCACCACACCAAATTACCATTTCTCTTCTCTCTTCTGGGCTCCAGAGGTCATCCCTAAATCCAACCAGGCAAACATCTTAAGCTCTTCACTTCTTAGGAAACCTCTTAACTTCTAGGATCTCATTTCAGAGACTGCCAGGCAGCAGGCACTTAGGAAAGAAGGCTGCTTTTGCCCTACCCCCTTCCCCATGTCCATTGTCCCCCAGTCCCTCCATTTCCTCAAGGTCACCCATATCCACAGCTGTGAAGAGAGGCATCTATGACAAGTTTGGAGAGGAGGGCCTAAAGGGCGGAATACCTCTGGAGTTTGGAGCCCAGACACCATGGACAACTGGCTACGTCTTCCATGGCAACCCTGACAAGGTTTTCCATGAGTTCTTTGGGGGAGACAACCCTTTCAGTGGTAAGCCATCCTACTCAACTCTTGCCTTGCTGGGAAAGGACACAGCTGTAAAAGATGCTTTTCTCTTAAGTAGTTTTTTTTTTTTTTAACTTTAAGAAATATATACAATGCATAGTAAAAATAAAAAAGTTAAAAAATTATTGACATAAATTCCATCCCTCCATTTCCTTCCCCAGAAGTAGCCCCTCACTATTAACAGTCTACGTATCTTTCCAGAAACTTTCTATGCCTGATGAACATATATTAGTTTTTTTGTACTGAGGATTGAACTTGGATTCTTGCGCTTTCGAGGCAGGTGGTGGAACCACTGAGCTAAATCCCCAGCAATACTTAGGTTTTTTTCTTTTTTTGTACCTGGGATCAAACTTAGGACCTTGCACTTGCGAGGCAGGTGTGGTGCCACTGAGCTACACCCTAGGCCCTGTACATGTATTAGTTTTTACATAAGGCCTTTTTTTTTTTTTTTTTTTTTAAGAAAATGGGACTGCATCATACACACTGACTTTTTATACTTAATTTATCTTGGAGATTATACTATGATGTATTATGTTCTCTATAGATCTACTTTAATCATTTTAATAGCTGCATGAGATTTCACTGTGTAAGGTATGTCTTGGTCAGAAATCAGCCATAGAAACACACCACTGTAACCTGGTAAAGCAAAGGAGGTTCAGTACAAGGAATTGGGTGGTTGAAAAACCATTGGGAGGTCTGAGTGAGAGGAATTCCCCTGAGAACAGTGCCTCTAAGCCCACAGGAGAGCACTGTGTCGGCCACAGTCATGACAAAGGAGTCAGAAACACTCTACTGTGTTCCAGAACGCATCACTATAGCTGTGCCCCTGATTTAAGGGATTTGCCACCATTGCTACCTTCTTGCCTCTGACTGACATGAAACTAGTGTGTGCATATGGGGGCACAGAACTGCTGCTGCAGAAAAGCCCAGTATCTTCCCGGCAGTGCCCACTAGCTTCAGCAAAGACACAGAGGGAGAAGCCTGCCTTCCCTCTTTCTGCTTTCCAAGTGGCTCACTGCTCACTTCATGAGTAGAATACAAACCCTGACTGCAAAGGGGTCTGAGAATGTTCCTTTCAGCTTTACAGACTCCGCAGCAGGGAAGACTCTCAGGAGGAGGAAGAGATGGATGCCAAGATCCACCATGTCCACCCAGGGGTGTTTAAAATTCATTATTTTAAATTATTGCCTTATCCATGTGGTTCAAAGGACCCAAGAAAGCCTGCAGGGGCACTGCCTGTCAGGGAGGGTCAGCCTCTGGGTTTGGGAGTTCCTTAGACAGGGCCTAGGGGCTGTATTGTTACTGAGCTCCCTTTCAGGGGTTCTTCTTTCCTTTGTCCCTGTGGGGTTTGAGGGACTGATTTCTACCACAGGTGGTAGGTGAACAAATGAATCCAGTGATGAAGGGGAACCAGGTAGTGCACAGGCCTCTTGATTAACTATGACATTTTACAGGGACACTAACAGGGTGGTGAAGTTACCTCACCCTGACCTCCTAAGCTCATTTCACCATTCCAGCCTGTGAAGTTCATTCCATGGTATTAACCATGAGAGACAGAGTATACTACATAATAGCAACCTCTGACTCTACAGTTTGTGAAGGGCTTCTATTGACATAGCACAGTGGTTAAGCTATCGGTTCTGTAGTCAGATCATTCTGTGGTACAGGTCTCAACTCCACCACTTACTAGCTGTTAAACAGTGAGCATTCTGGGCCAATGAAATAAAAATGAAGGGTGGGGACATAGCATAGTAGCTTAGTGGTAGAGCACTTGGCTAGCATGCTCTGGGTTTGAGCCCTAGCATGCCCTAGCACTGCTAAAAATAAATCAATAAAAATAAAAATGAAAGTGTTGAACATAACACCTGCTGTTTGATAAGTTCTCAGCAAGTTTAAGGTTTTTGTTGTCTTAATGGCAAAAGACAGGTCAGGTGTTGACACCCCAATCCAGTCAGAGAAACTCAGTCCCAAAGGACTGCACAATCCCTCAGGGCCAGACCCAGGATAGGGCTCTCTCTCTGCACGGGGATAGAAGGGCAGGGGCAGCAGGAGGGATTATAGGCTGGGCAGGTGCAGCTGCAGTTGAGAAAAGACAAGTTTGACTCATATTTTCAGGGACCAGACCCTCCCCTCTTTCTTATCAGCTGATAACATCATTGACACTTAAATCTTGGATCTCAGTGTTCCTCGGCAGGACTAGATAGTGAGGGAGAGTGGAGTCCTGAACTGGGTAGGGAGGACTGGACTGGGAGCTCTGATCGCTCATTGTTGACTGCCAACTGAGTCTTTTCTGCTACTACAAGGCCCTGCCAGTAGAGGGCGTGCCTCCCTTCCTGAGCCAGCCTGAATTGGTACCTCCCCAAGGAGTGGAGATGAGTGTTAGGAGGCCAGGAGTATCCAAAGTGGAGAAAAAGCAGTAGGAACTGGTTGCTATTCACTGGTCAGAGGTTAAGGACAGCTTCTTGGCTTGGCCAAGCAGCCTGAGTCTGAAAGGTGGAAATGGCCACTAGGTATTATACTTGGGACACTGAAGAGATTGGAAGAAATATAGGGGTGGGGACTTGGGTGTGTATGAGAGAGAATGTGTTATGTGTGTGAATTTGTCTTTGCACACAATTTCTCTAGCTCATCTCTTTTCCCTCCTATAGAATTTTTTGAAGCAGGAGGAAGTGATGTCGATTTGAATTTTGGGGGACTCAGGGGCCGAGGGGTCAAGAAGCAGGACCCTTCAATTGAACGGGACCTCTACTTATCCCTGGAGGACTTATTCTTTGGCTGCACCAAAAAAATTAAGATCTCTCGAAGGGTGAGTGGTTGGTGTGCTCCTCTCATGAGCCACCATCTAACCCCTCCCCGCTCTCTGTACCTCTTCCCTTCTCTAACTGGAGAACTCAAGAATGGTGTCTGATACATTCATGCAACCTTAGACAGAGAGACTTAGGTTCATAGAATTCTAGAGTCTGAAATTTAGAAGAAACAATTGAGGGGATTACCTCAAAGGATCCTTTCCCCCTTGTGCAGAATTCTCTTTGGCAGCACCCTAACTGGTGTAATACCCCTTCCCTCTCAGTTCAGTACCCGAAGTGGGAGGCAGGAAGATTCCAAATGGCAGGAGCCTCCTGTGAATTCTGCTCTCTGGGGATTACCAGACTGTTCCCCAGGATTCCGTCAGGGTGAGAGACAGCAGCGTGAGTATGGAAGCCAGTCCCTAGGTTGACAGGTTGAGGAGGACCCTTGTGTGTCTTAGAGTTTAGTCTGTGGCCCCATTGCCCAGTCTTCTGCCAGGCCCTCACCTTTTGAGGCAGGTGGTGGAACCACTGAGCTAAATCCCCAGCCCCAGGCCCCTCACCTTTGCCCAACAGAAGAAATGCCAATACAATTGTGGCCATACTTTTCACAGATGGCACCCACGTGGGCTTGTGATTGGGGAATGAATGGGCAACATACTGGGGAATGACTGCATTGGGTGATGCTCACATTTGTTGACTTCCATGTTCTTTCTCTTTGAGATTAAGAAAACTGGCAGCTCAGGGTCAGGGCTGCCAGGATTTGGAGAGGTATAGATCACCATTTTCATTGTGTGTCTGTGGCCAGGGCTAGAGGTGTGGGTTTGATTAACTTGTGGTGACCACTTGGTGTCTCAGGCCCCAGCTCCAGCCCTAGGATGTGCCTGCCCTGCCACCCTAGAAGCATGAGTCCTTAGTTCCAGTGGCAACAGGATGGGCACGTGAATGGCTCAAGGCGGGTCTTCCTGCCTCCACTGCTGGAGGTTTGAGCTCGGGTATAAATCTCACAGAGCATCGTTCATGTTTGTGAAGAGGACTCATGGAAATCTGAGCAGACTACCCCTCCCTATGTTACTGCAGGTGCTGAACGAGGATGAGTACTCCTCTACCATCAAGGACAAGATCCTGACAATCGATGTGCAGCCTGGGTGGAGGCAGGGCACACGCATCACCTTTGAGAAGGAAGGAGACCAGGTGAGAGGGAAAGGAGCTGACCAGAGTCAGTCACCAGGCTCAAGAGGTGGGGAGACTGAGGGGAAGGAGACAATGCCTTGTTCTGTCCCTGGAATTCCTGGTCTGGTGGGGAAACCAGTCCCCAGAGTCAGTGAGGCCATCCCTCACATCCCTTCTAGGAGCAGAGCCTCACAATACCTCTGTGAGTGGGCAGTTCAGAGACTATCCCCATTGCTTCAGTGAGAAACTGAGGCCCAGAGAGGGAAAGGACTTCCCCAGGGCAAAAGCACAGGACTAGAAGGAGGAAGAAGACAGTCTTACCTTCAGGGCTCTGCCTGATTTTCTTCAGTGCTTCTCTGAATATAAAGCCCATCTATAGGAGCTACCTAGAATCATTTACTATTACTAATTTTAAATTGCTTATTTAAATAAAAATATAAAATTATTATCCTAGGCACACTGAGCCCTTAAGTCCTGAGAAGCACAGAGATGGAGTGTTCAGAGTTAAGAGATTAATTCCTCTGCCCATACTTCTTGCTTCCTTTCTCACCTATTACACATCTACTCCTAAGACACCCTTCAGACCACCACACCTGGCCTGGCAGCACAATGAGATCTTCTTGTCTCAAACAACAAACAAAAGAAAAACACCCTTCTAGGATTGCCATGAGAGGCCAGCCTGGGCTACATAGCAAGACCCTGTCTACAAACAAACAAACACCCTTGTAGGCCTACCTCCAGGGACCCTCCTTCTGGGCCTCTTTAGGTGGCCCCTAGTGGGTCAGTATCTCCTCTGACACCCCCACCCCAGCCTCCCTTTATTCTGGCCTTGAGCTTGCTGGAAACCCACTGTGTTCTGTTTGCGCCACTGGACTGGCAGCTCCTTTGCGGGGGAGGCTGGTCTGAGTCCACTGTGCCCATGAAGCTTGGTGAGAGGTGTCATTCCCAAGCTATTAACAGGACTGGGATCCCAGGCAGTTGTCTGATACTCAGCTTAGTGTTCCACTGCCACCCTCAGAAGTTCCTCTCCCTTCCCACTGGGTGCATCTATTTGGAGCATGCTCACTAGGCAAGTAATTCTTGGGGATTCATCTGGGCAAGCTTCTCAGAGCAGGAGCACTGGGCTACACTGAAATGGCCCTAAAGAAAACCTGGTCTAAGCTCCCTATGGTACAGATGAGGACATACAGACAAGGAGAAGCAGGCACTTGGTCAAGGTCACACAGGCAATTAGTTTTTGTCACCCCTCGGCCTCCCCCACCCAGGGCCCCAACATCATCCCAGCTGACATCATCTTCATTGTAAAGGAGAAGCTGCACCCTCGTTTCCGCAGGGAGAACGACAACCTCTTCTTTGTGAACCCCATCTCCCTGGGCAAGGTAAGGGGCACAGTGGGGGAGCAGGGCATGGGGGCCAGACTCTGTCCCACCTGCACTGGCCTAGACTGCCTTCCCTCCACAGCCTAAATCCTGGATCCCACCACCCACATCTTCCTCCTCTGGCCCCCTCTTTTGGTCCCCACTGGCCAGTGCTGTGCACTGGATGGATCTGCGCAGGGCCCTCTTGCCTCCCTCCTCATGTCCTTGGGCTCCTGTTCTCAGGGCTCTGACCCTGCCACCCTCCTCACTGTCTGAACATCTTAGGGTGGCATTCAAGAAGTCCTTTGTATACATCCCAGCCCTATGACACTGGGCACCCTGCTGGGTGGGGCGTTTTCATAACTTGGTTCTCTTCTTTCTGCTGGGTCTCTGCTGCAGTGCTGCCTGCCCACCTCACCCTGGAAGGCCCTCGTCTGTCGCCACCAGTGTGGCCTTCCTTCCTCTCCAGCCCCTGCATGGCTCCCACAGACCCATCATTTCCATCTCTATCATGACCTTTGTATGCTATCAACAGCAGTCTGACCTACCGGACTGTGAACTGCTTGAGGATGGGTAATGGCCTAGGTCAGGGGTGGCAAATCTGTGGGATGTGTGCCGAAGCAGGCTGTTTATATCACTGCAAGCTCTAAAAGGTTCGCCGCCACTGGCCTTTTGTCTCTCTGCTGCCTTCCTCAGGGCCTGGTACCAAACAGAATCATAAATGTGCCTTCTAAATAGGTTGGCCATGGTGGCTGCCCCACCTCCTTTGCTCCTAACCTCCCCAGGCCCTCACCTGCTGCACCGTGGAGGTGAAGACCCTAGATGACCGTCTGCTTAACATTCCCATCAATGACATCATCCAGTGAGTCCATCTGCCTCGGGCCCCAGTAGCCAAGAGGAGGGCTGGCCTGGGACTTAGAAGGTGGAGGGAGCCAGAAAGAGCTGCCTAGTACAGTTGGACACGCTGCACCTGGCACAGGGATGCCCTGCTGAGAGGGGGAGAGAAGGCTGAAATCTACCCCACCCTGGCCAAGCTCTGGGCTGTATTCACCTGGCAAAAAAGAATGCCTTTTTCTAATTTGCATGAATCCGCAGTAGAGGCCAGAGGCCCCAGTGTTGGGTAATCTGTTCTCCACCTCCCAAAACTTCTCATCAGAGTTCTGAGTTGTAGCCTCTGAGCCCTTCCCCAGGAAAGGCCCTCTGTGTGGGAAGCTGTGTGCAGCAGCCCAGCACTGCCACCCCCATGCCAGGCCCGCCCCCTTTGCCACACCTAAAACCAGATTCCAGGGAGCCCTCAGCAGACTTTGTGAGAGGCTTTGCAAACAGAGCACTGTTTCGAAGAAGCCATACCCTCCCCGGCTGCTGAGAGCTGTCCCCTGGGGGAAGCTGTAGTGACAGCCCATCCCTGCAGTTATCTGGTGGCTCGGACCTGTCAGGTGCAGCTCCCCAAGGTCCTTCTCTCTTCCTCTCTCCTCTTAGTCCCAAGTACTTCAAAAAGGTGCCAGGTGAGGGGATGCCATTGCCTGAGGACCCTACCAAAAAGGGGGACCTCTTCATCTTCTTCGACATCCAGTTTCCCACCCGCCTCACACCCCAGAAGAAGCAGATGCTGCGCCAGGCATTGCTGACCTGACTGGCTGACTTGGCTGCAGCTGGAATGGGGGTAGAAGGCTCACTGGGCGTCACCCTCCCCCCATTCCACAGCCTCAGGCTGCACCAGGGAGCCAGCTGGTCCTGCACAGATATGACAGGAGGAGGGTGGCATGGGACCTTACACTGACGTAATAAAGATTTTATTTCCTATCCTCCAGCTACCCCCTGGAGTGTTGGCCAGGAGCTTCTTGGTAGTCTTTCCTGCAGGACCCAGGAAGCTGGGCACCTGGGTCCCCTGTCCTGGCTTGGTGGTCACAGGCAGGTCCATGAGGGTTCAGAAACTCTGTGCTCCCACTAGCATGGGGCAGGACTGCATTCGTGACTTCTGAGGTCCCCAGCTCTGCCCTTACTTTTCAGGACACATTTAGTGTATGTGCTGCCAAAGCAAGCAATCATGATACAATATTTAGAAGGGTCGGTTGCTGGAATGTGATATCCCATTATAGATACAGGAAACTAAAGCACAAATAGAAAACTTGTTCCAGCTCACTCAGGGGATAAAGCTTTCATCAGAGCCATAAGGCTGCTTCCCATAGACTCACTAGCTTAGATCAGAGCAACACACAGAGAACCAAAGTGCTGGACATGCCTTTGGTTTCCTACCTCTCCAGCCTCAATTCTCGTCTGTGAAATGGGTCCTGGGCTCTCTAGGCAGAGCGATCTAGGAGGAAAGAGTCCTGGGTTCTGGTCCCAGCCCTGCCCATCTTTTTGGTAGAACAGAGATCATACCTGACCACAGGGTGAAGATTTAAGTGAGATCAATGGTGTGAAAATGTTTGGTGAATTCATGCTTGAATGTCAAGGAGGGTTATGGCACTACCGCTGATGTGGCCTGGAGATCCAGTCCTAGGTTCAGCTGGGCCTGTGTGGCCCACACCTGCTGCCCCAAACCAACAACAGTGCCAGGAAACAGATTCTGTTCTCAGAATCTGAGTTTGAGATAGGATAGGTCCAGGTGAGTAGGTGGCCACTTCTGTGGAGTGGCTTCACATGTACCAGAAAAGGCCCTGTATTACCCATATTGCCTGGAGTTCCACCATTCAAAATACGGTATCAGCGCCAGGCGTGGTGCTGCACGCCTGTAAGCCCAGCACTTGGGAGGCTGAGGCAGGAGGATGGCTGTGAGTTCAAGGCCAGCCTGAACTAGTAGTGAGAACTTGTCTCAAAAAAACAAAAACTAAAACTGGGGGCCAGAGACTTAGCTCAGTGGTTCTGGCGCCTGCCTCGAAAGCTCAAGGTCCCGAGTTCGATCCCCAGTGAAACAAAGAAAAACAATCAATGAAAACTAAAACTGGGCTGGGGATTTAGCTCAGTGGCACCTGGCCTGCCTTGCAACCACAAGGTCCTGAGTTTGATCCCCAGTAACAGGGGGAAAAAAAAACAACAGCCTGCCTTGCAAGCACAAGGTCCCAAGTTTGATCCCCGGTACCAAAACCCCCCCTAAAAACCCCAATAAACAAACAGTATTAGCGTAAGATTTTTTTCTTAAATAGGAGCTCAGCAGTACTTGGCAGCCACTGGTTTTTTGTTATTTTTCAATACTGGGGATGGAATCCAGGGCCTCTGTACTGAGCTACATCCCTAGCCCATTCTCTATAGTTTTTAAGACAGGGTCTCACTAAGTCACTGTTTTATCAATCTGGACTTGTACTTGAGATCCTCTTGCCTCAGCTCCAAGAGTACTGGAATTGTAGGTATGCACCACTATACCCAGCCTTTTTTTTTTTGAGACAGGGTCTTGCCCAGACTAGCCCAGAACTCTTGAGGTCAAATGGTCCTTTTCCATTGGCCTCCCAAACAGATGGGACTACTGGTACACATCACCAGGCCAGGCTTTGGTAGCCATTTTTAAGCCATCATGAAGGCAGTAGCAGATCTTGAAGACTCTGGGGCCAGGGTTCTAGGAAGCATTTCAGCATAGCAGCTAGGAGTCTGTGGGAAAGCTACTGGGATCTCTAGTTTGCACGACACCCTCCTAGGTTTGTTTCTTAAAGATCATAGCCCCAAACCTGCAGGCCTTCTGTGGAAATCAGATGGAGTGAATTGAAGTCTGCCATCTGAGGCAAGACCCAGATGGAGAGGATGATGGTGCTGAGGAGTTCTGAGAGTAAACCTCTCAGAGGGTGAAGGAGGGCAGGTGCTGGGTTGTGGAACTCTAGGACCCAGGCCTCCTCTCAGGCAGCTAAATGCTCCTGACCATCCTGGTGGGTTCTGAAGAAAGCATGGCCTTAGGCTGGATGACAGACCTCTATGAGATTTCCATTACCTCACTGACCTGAGTCAGGCAAAGCAGAGCTATGTGGCCAGCATTACCAAGGCCTGCTGGTGTTTTCCAGTGACTCTTGTCCCCTTGTCCAGTTCATTAGTTCAAGGCCATGCCCAGAACCATGATGAAGTCTGGTGGCCTTGGGTCCATCCCAGTGTCTGGGCACAAGGCTGGTAAAGAAATCAGCTGAGATTAACATTCCTCTCTCCCACCCCCATCCCCACTCTGGCAACAGACATGCCTTTTCTCCAGTGCAAGAGTAAACAGCCAGCATCACAGGATAATGTGAAGTTATATAAGGCAGTGGCCAGACTTCCTGTATGCAGACTCTCTGCAGCCTAGCAGAGAACACCTAGGCTGGACTTCTCATCACCCTACTGGCTTGCTACCTTATGGCACTCAATCCTGTCTCTCCCCAGCATTGTGAGGCCTCAGCTCAATGTCAGAAGCTGGGCAGTTCCCATTTCTTCTCTAGGAACCTAGCATCCTGGTCCTCTTGCCCAAGGGCTGAGGGATCTAGCTGCCAGCTCTGACCAATGGGCTAAAGAGAGGGAGGGGGGTTCTGTCTACTGTTTTAGCCTGAGACAACAGGGAAGCGCTGGTTCCCAAACAGCTGTGGGCCTTCAATGGTGGTCCCTGGGGTAAAGAGTGCCGCAAGGGGAGTCTCCATTCAGATACTGACTTTGCATGTCCTTACCCGCATGACCTGCTTCAGTACTTGGACATCTATAAATTGGGCCTTGGAGAACTTAATTCTACGGGCCCACACTTATTCTGGGAACTTAGATTCTTAAAGACCTCTTGAAACTAAGTAGGTCTCCCCACCAGCTTCCCTGCCTCTGAGGGCAAAGGCTGAAACCCCTATGCAGTCAATGTCCTGGCTTGTCTCTGCCTCCTTGGGATCTCTTGCTCCAGAGGGTGGGACACCAAACCCAAAGTATCCTCAGGCAGAAACTGAAGCTGGATGTTTGTCTGTAGTGTGAACCCAGCCCGTACTGAGTCAGGGCCTGCCCCACCCAGTTCTGAACACTTCCTCCCAGAGGTGTTGCCTGTGGGGGGCGGGAAGCAGCCTGATTTGCTCAGTAGTCCAGGACTTTGGGGAGGTGGGTTTGCCAATTGTAAAATGGAATAACAGCATCTAAGGTTCCCAAATTCCATCTCCACAGGAGCTGCTTTCACGATATCAGCAGGCCTGAGGCCAGCTGGGGGTGCTGGGAGGCAAGCACTGGGGCTCTAGGTAGTGAGTAAAAGCTCAAGTGACTAGGCCGAGGAGGAAGAGTCCCTGCTGTCCCTCAGGGATGCTTCTTCACTTGCCATCTCAGCCCAGGGCCTGGGCCTAGAGGGAAAAATGGAATACAGGCCCTCATGGCCCTACACTGGATGCTGGAGGTGGAAGGTGGGTCACATCCCTTTCTGATGTCAGGTGGCTCCTCCCCTGCCCACGAGATGCCCAAAGGGCCTAATGGACCAGGAGCTCTGGTAATCAGCTATGAGAGAGGGAGGAGACACCATGATTGAGCTTGTTTTATGGGTGACTGGCTGGCTGGGCTGGGCTGGGATGGAGGTCAGAATGATTTGGTCTCAACTTTTCAAGGGACAGAGGGTTTGAGGTCCTGGCTGGATCAGACAGGGTCAGCTCCATCAGCACTGAGCCAATGGGGAGAAGAGGGAGGTGGTGGGAAGAAGGAAGGGGAGTAGGGAAAGGGAAACACTGGCTAGAGGTGAAGCTAGGGCCAGAGGTGGTCAGGTCAGCAGCAGGAGGGGCTCAAAAGGGAGCCTCCCGGGATGTGCAGGCAGCCATGAGGGCCCGTTTCAGCTGCTCATAGGTGACAAACATCACCACGTTCCAGGACCCCAAGCGGAGAAAGGAGGGCATGAACCTAGGGGACAGAAAACACAGGTTACAAGGGTAACTCCATCTCCTGCTTCTCCTGCTGGGCCCTGGCATCCAATCTATCTCAGTAGATTCTGTCCCACAGGAGGATGGGAGGACTCGGAGAACTGTGCTTCACAGCTGTGTACATATGAGCAAGAATCCCTGAGTCCCACAGCCCCTCTCCTTTTTTGCAGCGCTGGGGAGAGGCACGTGCACTACCACTGAGCCACAACCCCACCCTTCAGCCTTAAGTCCCCATTTTAGCATCTACAAAATGGAGACGAGGACAACTCTGGGAGGTCTGACACTTGGTTGCTTCTCATTGCCAAGTGGTTCTCTCCTGCCTATGTGATAGGTATGGGTAGCCAGGAGGCCTGCCGTTAGTTGGGCGAGGGGCGTCAGAGGCTCACCCTTTGTAGAAGGCTCGGGGCCCCTCCTTCTGGAGCATGGTAAGGGCACAGTGGCCAGCACTGCTGTACTGGCCCAAGGCAGAGTTCATGTATCTCGTCTTGATCACATCGACAGGTGAGGCAACCACGGTCGTACAGAAGCCCGCCCCAAAGGCGGAGGTGAAGTGGCAAGGGAGGTCATCTGGCAAGGAGCAGGGGCCAAGGAAGTCAGCACTCCTCAGCCACCATTGGAGCAAGGAAGAAAGTTAAGCAGCTAGGAGTCTTGGCTTTTAAAGAGACCCCTTATGAGGACTTAAGAGTCATTTTGCCCATCTGGCCTCAATTCTTCAATTTGCAAAGTGGGAGCTTTGTCCCGGTTGGCTTCAACATGTTAAGGAAGAAATGCACTCACTCTACAAGCAGAGGGTAAACACGATGAAAAGGTGTGGTCTTCAAGCGGCCAGATCCCGTATCTATTTCTGCACCATCTACTCTAACCCACCTGTCATGAGGTTGGCCTTCAGGAGAGTGTCCTTGATAAGGTCATAGGTCACCAGCTCAGCACAGTTGACAATGGCGTTACGAGCAATATTGGGAGAGGTCCCTACAGGAGGGAGAGGCTGTGTGAGACCAGGTCACAGGGAGAAGGGAGATGGGGAAAGGGAAATATCTGGTCCATACCTTTCCAGAGTCCCCGGAATCCTTCCTCTCGGGCGATGGTCTTGTAGGCATCCACAGTGCTCTGGTATCTCTGACCACCTCCAGCTCGGGCCTGAGCTTGGAACCGGACCTTTACTACATCTGTGGGCTGGGCCACAGCAACAGCCAGGGCACCTGTGGTGCTGCCTGCCAGGAGGCGACTCCCAATGCTGGCATCTGCAGGACAACCATGGGTGTCGACGGCCAGCTGGGCTTGCACTCATTTTCCTCATCTCTCCTCACCAAAACCACCAGGTATGCCACTGTGCTCTGACTAACAGTGCCTAGACCAGTTCTGGCTCTAGGAACTTTCTCTGCATCAAAGTGCAGTATCACTGTGAATATCTACTACTTGCTAGGATTTGGCAAGGGGTTGTAAAAATTAAACTTTGTGTTTTGTGTTTTCTTTGTGTGTGTGTGTGTGTGTGTGTGTGTGGTACAGGGGACTGAACCTAGGGCCTTGTGGATGCTAGGTCAGCACCTTACCACTGAGCTACATCCTCAACCTAGACTGTATTTTCTATGGTAAAACATTTTCACTTAAACTGTTCAATGTCCCTGAGAAACCAGAATCACTTCCATTTAACAAATGTGAAAACGAATGTTAAAAGAAGTGGCTTTCTGATGAACTGGGACTCATAACACTTGGGTTCTTGTCTCAGATCTACTTCTCCCTGCATGTGATCTTGGGAAAGTCAACCTGCTGTCCTGGGCTTTTGGTTTCCTTTTGTGTAAAATGAAGGGCTGCCAGGCATGGTAGCGAATGCCTGTAATCCCAGCATGTAGGAGGCTGAGGCAGGAGGATTGCTGGGAGTTCATAGCCAAACTGGGCTACATAGTGAGTTCAAGGCCAATCTGAACTACATAGTGAGACTTTGTCTCAAAAAACACCAAAAAAATAAAGCGCTGATGTGGTGTGCAAGAGAGGAAATTAGAGAATGCTGGCCTTAGAGGGAAGAGTCGTGTGTGTGATTCTGGCTCCCACTGTGTGCCTTTGGCAAAGCCCTTCCCCACTTCAAGCCTCAGGCTCTTCATCTGTAACACAGGGATGATGCCACCTACTCCCAAGGTGGTGGTGAGGACTACCATGGGGTGATGCCCTGCTCAACGCCTAGCAGAGCCCAGGTGCTCAGACATCACTAGTAGAATTGGGACTATTTATTTATTTATTTGGGGGGGGGTACCAGGGATCGAACTTGGGTCCTTGTGCTTGTGCAGCAGGCCGTGAAACCACTGAGCTAAATCCCTGGCCCTTTATTTTCTTTTTTTAGTGGTACTGGGGATTGAACCCAGGGCTTCATGCGTACTAGGCAAGTGAAGTGCTCTACCCACTGACCTATCTCCCTAGCCCAGAATCAGGGCCATTTCTAAACCTCCATTCTTCTGATCCTCCTAAGGATCTTGAGGCCTAACAGAGCTAATTAGCTCTGAACTAAGCTCAATAATGAGCAAGAAAAAAAGGCCAAGGCCAAGCAACCTATCCCAACTCCACTCACGCTCAGATCCTTTGGTGTAGAACTGCTTGACAGAGTCATAGAGGCCGATGCGGACAGAGGCGAAGCTCATCTGGCGTTGCAGGCCGGCAACCAGCCCGTTGTAGAGGCTTCGAGGGCCCTCAGTGCGCACCATGGTCAGGATGGTGCCCAGCACACCTCGGTACTGGGCACTGGCTGCAGCGCACACTGGCCCCTGACTTTCTCCTTGGATCTGCAATCCCAAGACAGAGTGGCTATAGGGATAGGCAGGTTGCTGTCTGTCTCCTGCCACCCCTGCACTCCAAAACACCCCACAGACCCCCAGAGTCTGTCCTTGGGACAGAATAGGTTAGATACCATCAGGGCCCCTAGGCTCCATCCCCTCACCTGTAGGCGGACTTTAGCGGTGTCTAGAGGAAAGGTGATGAGATCGGCAATGCAGGCAGCTGTGCCAGCCCCCAGGAACTTCACGGTGGCTGTAGGGGGCATATCCGTGGCCTTGAATCCAACCATGATTCTGATTTTCTTCTACCTCTCAGGGGATGGAGAAAAACTAGAGAAGGGTGTACCACCTTCAATCAGCAAGACGAGATAGAGGAGCTCTGCCAGAATCTGTGTCCAAAGGAGAGAGAGAAGCCGATCAGCAACAGGGCCTCCCTGCTCACCTTCCCGGCTTCAGCCCCAACTTGCCCTGGTAGCACTGCACAGGACTCAGGGACCAGGGCAGGGAAAACAGGATGAGCTCCAGAGATACTCAAGTAGGGACCGGAGGAGTTCATATTTTGTGACGGGCTCTCTCCCAGTTATGGCAGGGAAAGTGGACCAGGGTGACCCCAGTGCTGCCTTGAAGGCCACTGGGTGGGCCCTTGGTCTGTGGTGCAGAGACTGTACTGGCAGTACCCACATTCCTGTTTCATGGAGCTATCAGAGGGCTGATGAGTGGGGAGAGATTTCTGCTGGACCAAGACCCGACAGACAAAAACCCAAAGGCTTATTTTCTGGGTTTTTAAGCAGGAGAGATTCCTATGAGTCTAGAATTACTCAAGAAAAAGGACAAGAGGGGACAAGTTGACTAAGACAATCCTTCCCAGCCCCCACAGAGCTCAGGCTGTCTATAAGACTGCTTGTCAGACAAGACGGTGAGCAGGTGATCCCGCTCCATTGGGGCTAGGAGGGCGTATTCTCAAAGTGCAACTCCACCAAGGGAGAGGTAAGGAGGAAGGATGGTCAGGGGAGAACTTTTAGTCAAGGTAATGTTTACTTAAAGGACAGTGGGTGACGCTAGGAGCTAAGTAAGCACAGGTGTGTGGCTCTTCCTGGCCTATGAGGAGCCAGTTTCCTCTATCACAAGGGGATCCACACTTTTACAAGAGAAGTAGGGATCAGGAGGTAGAGTCAGAGCTGAGAAGTGATACAGGAAATCAAGGGCTCCATTCTGTTCTGAGTTGGAACAACGTCCCCTTCTACTAGGCCTCAGGAGGAAGTGAGCCCAGCACCCCAGTGGGGCAGGGCAACTTGCTTCTCCTTCCCCTCAAGTTCACATCTTGATTTCAGAGGAGCAGCTGCCCTGAGCTCAGTGATTGGCTTCCCCTGTTGCTGGGGCTCAGGAGGAAAGAACTGGCTGGTGGAGGGAGGATGTGGTGACAGTCGCTTATGAACACAGAGACTCTAGGAAACAAATTGCTCACCCAGGTTCTTCCTTCTGGGCTTCACCCCAGATGGCTGGGCAAACAAAAATCAAGCAATTCAGCAGAGCAACTGCTTGAAGGGCTCTCACAGGGCTGGGCCTCACCTGATTCATGTTTCCCTGGTGCTTGGCCCATAGAAGACTCAGTGAGAATGGTGCTCAGATGGCTCAAGAGGTTAATGAAGGTCCTGCCAGGGCACCCAGCTACCCTGCTGACACCCTAGTCTACCAGGAGGTGAGCCACATCTTGCCCCACCAACTGCCCAGGACACACTATTAGCTCACTTAATCCTCAGAGGAGCCCTGTGAGGCAGGGTCCTATTTCTGTGTTAGGAGAACTTAGTATCTACTCGTAGTTTCCATTTCATTTCTTTCCTTCTGTTTCTCAGCCCCAGGAACATAGGGCCTTTGATAAGGAAAGTTCTTTCCATGGCAATTCAACAGTTCTGAGGAGGTTCGGGCAACTGGCGTTCCTTCTCTGGGTGCCAGTGATAAGAGTCTATCACATGCTTGACCTTCAGCTGGGTTGCAGGGTGTTGTGAAGGCCAGAGAAGACTAAGATCCAGCCGCTGCCTAGCTCACAGAAAAGTGGACAAAGGCTCGGCTGCCATTCTGAATGTTGCCTTGCATTTGCTAAAAGCCACCCCTGAAAAGGGGTGGCTATGGGGGCAAAGTCACCTGTACTCACGACTCTATTAAGAGTGAATAGGGGCCGGATATTTAGCTCACTGGTTTTGCCACCTGCTGCGCAAGCGCAAGGATGTGAGTTCAATCCCTGGTACCAAAAACCAAAAAAAAGAAGAAAAAAAAGAAAGAGTAAATAGCCAGGTGTGGTGGAGCATGCCTGTAATCCCAGTACTTGGGAGACTGAGGCAGGAGGATCACCATGAGTTCAAGGCCAGCCTGAACTACATAGTGAGACCCGGTCATGACAAACAAAACAAAACTGAAGTCTAGAAAGAGTTAAGAGTTAATCATATATATATATATATATATATATATGGGGTTTTTTTTGGTACTGGGATCGAACTCGGGTCCTTGCGCTTGAGCAGCAGGCAGCTAAACCACTGAGCTAAATCCAAGTTAATCATATTTTATAGTCCCAGGCTAAAACCAATTTCAGACCACCTGATTACTAATCTCTATCTTCCAAATAGTCAAAAGCTACAGTCAACAATATAAAACTAGAACAACAGATTCCTATCTTTGCTCTGGGGCTGATTCCAAGGGTGACCTGGGGTCAATCAATGTCCCTGCTGGGCCTCAAGTTCCTCTTTATTAAAATAGGGACCACTGTCCTTGACTCCTTCCAGTGGGCCAAGAGACCAAAGATGATGAAAGTGTTTAATGAAGTGTTAAGAGCCACTTCCCTGCGGGGGTGGGGGAGTTTTGTTAGCACCCTCCTGACTCCTGCCCCTATACCACAGGGCTCGTGGGCAGCTAGAGATCTCCCGGAGCCTGGACTCTTACCTGGCTTTGCAAGGTCTCAGGCTGAGGCCTTCAAGATCAAGCTTCTCTAAAGGCGTCTTGTTCTTCAAAGCTGCCAGTGGCTATCATGGCCTGGTCTCCTTGGTTTTCCATAGAAAATGGCTGGGAGACCAAACACCTAAAGATCATACTATGTATCCTGTGGGTGAGGGCAAAGGAAGAAAGTTTAGAAAGGGAAATCCATCTTACAAGACCACACCCCAGTAAGAGCTCCTGCCCAGACTCAAGCCTATCAGTCTAGGACTTGAAGGGAGTCAGCCCCTTTTACTCTGGGTAGCCAGGAACTACCCATGGGAGAGGGGGATAAACTCAGGAGTCCTCCTTTTCTCCTCTGCCTTGTATCACACTGGGGCTCTCTTCCAGGTCTGTTTCACGTCATCTCCCAACAGTCAGGAAACTGCTGAGAGGGAGCCAGTGGTGGGTGGGTCTCTCTCTCTCTCTCTCTCTCTCTCTCTCTCTCTCTCTCTCTCTCTCTCTCGGGAGCTGGCTAGGACCTAGACCTGGCTATGAGGAGGCTGGGAGGGCTGGGAGTGACCTCAGATCAAAGGCTCCTCTCAGCCGAGGAGCCGCAAAGGCACTGGGGCACATGGCTACCAGGGGTTAGGGGTGGAGGTGTCATTCTGGTCAGCGTGGTCACCACGTGTAAAGCTCCAACACGTGGGGATGGATAGGTTTACAAGACAGCCAACTGGACAACAGGGGGAAAGAACAAACGGGAGTCAGAAAAAGAATGGGAGCCTGGAGTGGTGGCGCATGCCTGTAATCCCAGCATGCAAGAGGCTGAGGCAGGAAGATCACGAGTTCGAGGCCAGCCTGAGCTACACAGTGAGTTCAAGGGCAGTCTGAACTACATAGTGAGACCCTGTCTTTAAAAAAAAACAAAACCGCTTGTGGCAGGGGATTTAGCTCAGTGGAGCCACGCCTGCCTGGCAAGCTCAAGGTCCTGAGTTCGATCCCCGGTACAAAAAAAAAAAAGGCGAGAGAAGAGAAATAAAGATAACAAGAGGACAAAGAAAAGTACAAACTAGGGTGGGGAGAGAGAAGAAATTTCAAGAGCGGGAAGCGGGCGAGGCGAGGCCCGTGCAGCCGGAGCGTGGAACAAGTGCGGCGAGACCAGGACTGAGGCTGGGCTCACCGGACCGCAAGGAGAACACGAGAGACCGGGCGCTGGCTGTCTGCGGGCGGAGGCTGTCTGCGGGCGGAGGCTGTCTGCGGGCGGAGGGTGCGCGAGGGCAACGCCGATAGCGGTAGCTTAGGAAGGACAGCTGCTGGAGCTTGCAGTGGTGTCCGCTCCGGCGGCAGCGCGATTTTAGACTGAGGGCGAGGCCTGAGTGTCGGAGGGGCGGGGAGTAGGCGGGACCGCGGGCGGGCGTGGTCAAGGAGGGCGAGTGCGGAACTACCGTGTGCGCGCGTACTCTCCTGCAGTCGCCTTTCGGAAAAGACTGTCTCTAGCGGGGGCTTCTCCGCGCCTTCCTCCGCTTCCGTTTCCGTGCGGGCTGAGCGCCGCGTCTACCCCTTCTACCCCTAGAGAGTCAGCGTCACTCCGCGCTCCTCGCCAGCCCGCCCTCGTTGCGGGAAGGGCCAGACTGACTTCCGGAAAGAAGGAGCGGAGTCTTCGCCTTCTAACAGCGACCCTGGGGCAGGGTGGGTGGAGGTGCCCGCCATCCCTGCGCTTGCAAACCTCCGCCTGCCCGGCCAGGCGGGGCGGGACGGGGCTGGAGACCGTCCGGGCCGCGGCCGCAGGTGGCTGGGCGACCGTTTACCGCGGTTGGCCGCGGCGGGAGTTCTGCTTTCTCCCGCCGCACCAGTCTTCCCCTTGGGGACCTGGGGGCTAAAGCCTGGGACTTCCGATCTCCCGGCACAGACAGCTGACTGGCCAGCACCTGCAGAGTGAGAAAGTAGAGCAGAGTCCCAGCCAGCTGCGAGCCCCGCCCTGGGGTGAGAAAGTCCAGGAAGAACACCTCGGCTGGCAACTGTTTTTAGGGGATGACAAACAGCCAATGTGTGGGGCTTGGGGCCTGGACAAACATGCATTTGGGAAGAAGGAACTACGTGTCCATTTCTCATTGTATTACAGGCGGCTAAATTAGATAGAAATTAATATACGGCCAGAAGGATACCGGGCTTTCAGGAAGTGCGGGATGTGGAACACCATGTTTAGAGTTTTTAAGCTTCTCAGAAAGTTGGGGGAGCCTGTGGGAGGCCTGACTTTTAACACTTTGGAATGCTTTGCTTGGCAGAAAGCAGAGAAACAGTGACAGGACATCAGAGTTTACATATTTCTTCATGAAATCATATTCTAAGAAAAAAGGCCTTTATAATCTTTTTGTTTTTTGAGGCAGGGTCTCTCTAGGTAGTCCAGGCTAGCCTCGAACTCGTGGTGATCTTCCTGCCTCAGCCTCCCAAGTGCTGGTTTTACAGGTATGCACCACCACACGGCTTTCTTCAGGACTTGGCTTTCTTCAGGACTTTGCTTCTGCAGTCTTTCTCCCTGTTCTTCAATTTTTCAGTTCTTTTACACTGTGTGTCTGCGTGTGTAAATTGAAAGGAACTTTACTTCTACAATGGCTATACAGTATTTTCTCCCTCATTTCTCTGCCAAGTTTTCCAAACAATTGGCTGTCCTCTGACTTCTCAGCCTCTGGAACATCTCTTTTGTATTTGGTGAATGAACAAATGAATGATCTCGCTTTTGTCTCTTCAATCACTTCACTACAGCCACACACGCCTTCTGGCTGTGCAACTTCACTGTGGGTTTCTAGTCTTTGAACATGCCAGTGCAGTCCTACTTTGGGACCTCTGGATGGCTTGTGCCTGGAACACTTCCTCAGATCTTTTCCTGGCTCTCATCACACACACACATACCCACACAACTTCGAGATTACTATTGGTCTCTTTTTCAAGTTAAGTGTACTTTTAAAGTAAACTTTTTTATTGGAGTATAATATATATGTAAAACTGCACAAGTTATAAATGTATAGCATGATAAACTTTTATAAAGCAAACATCCCTTTATAACAAGTAGATGCATCAAGAAACATTAACATCCTGGAAAAGATCCTCCATGTTCCTTCTCAGTCACTATGCTCCAGTCAAAAGTCGAAGGTCTGGAGCTCACTGTAGAGTCCTGTGCTAGTGGTCTGCACTGGAAGATGGAAGAGTGTGCTGCAAGGCTGAAGAGTCTGTGCTGGAAGCCAGGAGACACATGGCCATGACAAGGTGAAGCCTGAAGGTCCTCCAAAGAAACAAGCCAGAAGCCAGCCTTCCTTCATTTCTCCTCTTTTTATTCCTTTCAAGCTACAAGCCTATTTGTTGGTGCCTCTCACACACAGTGGGTCTTCCATCTTCAGTATGTCCGTTCAGTCGCAGCACTAAGATAAGCCCATCAGGGTGTTTCTTACTCAAATTGACACAACAGTTGACTATCATAGTTGTATAAATTGTCTTCTTTAGTTCTCATTTTTATTCAAAAATAGGCAAAAGCTTTAAATAGACATTTCTCCACTGAAGATATACAAATAGCAAGTACGTGAAAAAGATAATCAATGTTACTGTTGTAGTTTGGATCTGGAGTGTTCCCTGAAGTTTCATGTATTAAAGGCTTGGTCATCAACTGTGGCATTGGAGGGGTTGGAAACTTCAGGAGGTGGAGCCTAGTGGAAGGAATTAGCTCAATGGGAGCATGTTCTTGAAGGGCATTTTGGGACTCTGGCTCTCTCTTAATGTATCCAAATGACCGTGGACTGAAATCTCTAAAATCACAAACACCTTTGCAAACAATTTGACTCACAAGAATGTTTGGCAACATTTTGTTTTTGTTTGCAAACTCTACATTGGGTGACAAACACAACCATGGCCATCTTTCCCATACAAACACAAGCATGGCCATCCTTTCCAAAATCATAGAACAAATTAAGTTCATGAACGGAGGTTCCACTGAATTTTTCCCCTTTATAAGTTGATGTATTTCCAGTATTTCATCACAGTGATGGAAAGCTAACACATAATCATTAAGGAAATGCAAATCAAAACCCCAATGAAATTCCATCCCAAGCTACTATCACAAAACCCTAGAAAATGATGAATGTTGGCTAGGATACGGAGAAATTAGAATTTTTGGGGAATGTAAAATGGCGTAGCTGTTACGGAAAACAGTGTGGTGATTCCTCAAAAAATTAAAAATGACCACATGATCGAACAATTCTACCTCAGGTATATGTGGGACTGCATAACCTTTGCCCCTTTTTCTCAGCCCCTGAATTATTTTTATTACCACAGAACTGTACATTTAAAAAATGAATGAGTGGGGCCGGGGATTTAGCTCAGTGGTTCCAGCGCCTGCCTCACAAGCGCCAGGTTCTGAGTTCAATCCCTGGTACCAAAAAAAAAAAAATGAACGAGTGGATTTTATCTTATGTGTACTTTACTACAGTTCAAAAAGTTAATTCAAAAATCCATTCACTCATTAATTTTTCAGCTTTCCAGGGACTTTGCTAGAGGCTGGGGGTATAATTGTAAACCTAACCCTGTGTATGTATGGGTGTGAGGGACTTAGGGCGAGTGGGGCAGTCAGGTAAGTGGTGAATCAGAAACGGTGTAGTTACAGTGGTGGAGCATAGCAGAGGAGTTAGTTCTCCATGTAGGTCAACACAGAATATATCTAAGAAATAACAGAAGTGGACAAAACAATAAATGCTACAACTTCTGTGCCTGGATTCCCCACCGGAGAGCTATCTCCCGGAGAGAGCTGCTCAACCACTGAATCTCAGGAAGTGGTGAGTCTGCTGTGGGCCCAGTGGGTTGGTTCAGAGGCCAGAAAATGATATGTTGGGAGTGTTACTGGGGATATTTATATGTTATTTTAAACATGTGGATCATCTTTTCTCAGTACTTCCAAACAGAATCTTGCCAAGTGTAGGGAGCAGGGGAAGGGGACGTTACCAGAACCTCTGCAGTAAGTCCTAGTCTCCTGGGAGCCATGGCAGCACACGGCGAATTACAGGAAAGGTAGACAAATGAGACTGAGAAGAAGCTGAGCTTTAGGTCTGATCAGTGCTGCTCTGGGCAGCAAAGACAAAAGACCCCTAGCTTGCAGCACCTTTTATTCAGTACATGGGGAAACAAATGTAACAAGTGAAATATAGAGTTCAGTACTTCACATTGGGATAAACAAGGTGTAACAAAAGGCTGGGGGGCAGTGGAAATCTAAGAACAATGAGGAACTATGTAGATGAAGATTTGGTTCCTCCCTGGAGTCTCCCACAGGTGTGGTCTTGTCCTGGAGCATTACAGCATGGGGGCGGGGCGGAATCACTGAGGTCTCAGTTGTGACCGGAGGCCAAAATGCAATTATGTCTGGAATGTCCTAGCTGGGCTGTGGGCAGGAGAACTAGGCCTACTCAAATGATTTTTCCCTAGAATTATGTAGCATTGCTCCCAACAGCCAAGGACAATGATTTTATTACTCTCTGTTTTTGTTTTCGTGGTAGCAGGGACTGAATTTAGAACCTTGTGTTTGCAAGGCAGGCGTGGTACCACTGACCTAAATCCCCGACCTGATTTTATTACTACTCCATTCCCTCAATTCCCACTTGGTTTCAACAATTGCCTCATTTTCCTAGGCTCAGAGTCCACTCTGCTAATTCATTGTCTACATAGAAGCCAGTCACTTCCTTCACTTCAGAAGCTCCACATTACTCCAGAATACTTCAGATTCATTAGTGTGGTCTGTTAGCTTGGGCTGCCATTTCAAATGTCAGACTGGGTAGCTTAAACCAGATTTTATTCCTTATGCTTTTGGAAGCTAAGAAGCCGAAGGTCAAGGTTCCTGCAGTTTGGTTTTTGGTGGGGGCTGTTGTCACAGCGTCCAGAAGGCTGCCTTCTTGTGTGTTCTCAGTGAGGAGAGAGGGATCCCTGGTTCTCTCTTTCTCTTCCTAAAAGGACACTAATCCCATTATGACTCATTGAAACCTAATTATCTACCAAATGTTTCAACTCCAAATTCACATTTGAGGTTAGGGCTTTAACATATAAATTTTGAGCAGGGTGTGGGGGACAAGCATTCAGTGTATAACATGTGACTTCAACTTTCCATCTCCATCTTTCTCACTACTCCCCCATAGATCTGCAACCCAGCCATACTGATAACTGGCAATCCCTTGAGTACACCTTGCTTTTGTCTTGTTTCTGGATTAGTGCACAAGCTAGGGTATCAGAGAACAAATTCTTAGTTCTTGGAATCACAGAACTAAAGAGCCTCAGGTCATGTGGCTCAACTTCTGCCTTTAAGAAATAGGGAAAGGATTCTAGTATTTTGCCCAGGTAACCTCAGAAGACCTCCCATCAATCTTGTTTTCCCTTCTCCAAAAGGATATACTCAGAGGCCACTAGGTTCCCAATACCAATCAAAACACCTTATGGGGCTGGGGATTTAGCTCAGTGGTTCCACCACCTGCCTAGCAAGTGCAAGGTCCTGAGTTCAATCCCTGGTACCGGGAAAAAAAACACCCACCTTAAAAGCCCTTCCCTCTCTCTGCTATCATTTGAATAGCATTCTCTGGGTAAATGATGTTTTAATATTGCTATATAGAAATTCATAGAAAACAAATCCTGGCTTACAAACCAAGACCAGGAGTTTAACAGTGATTTGCAGTCATAGTCAAGTAAAAAGAACGAGAAAAAAATTCTTTTTGAGACAGGGTCTCGCTATGTAGTTTAGGCAGGCCTTGAACTCACTTTGTAGTCCAGGCTGGCCTCAAATTCATGGCAATCCTCCTGCCTCAACCTCCCAAGTACAGGGATTACAGGCATGAGCCACCACACCTGGCTAAGAGAAAATGTTGAATACCAGGTTTTATTTGAAGGACAAGCCTTTTTTTTTTTTTTTTTTGGTGATACTGGGAATTGAACCCAGGGCTTTCACATTGAGCTACATCCCCAGATCTTTAAAAAAAATTTTTGACTGGGAATAGAACTCAGGACCTTGACAGGCAGGTGTGATGCCACTAATCTAAATCCCTAGCCTGTGGGACTGCATAACCTTTGTTCCTTTTTCTCCAGCCCCATTGTGATTAAAATGTGAGTTAATGGGTGGAGATGCTTGTTAGTTTAGGGATGCTAGATAGGGATCTGTAACAGACCTAGAGTCCCAGAGTAAACTACTCAACTCTTTGTTTACCCGCAACTGATATTCCAGGCACCACAATTGTTAGAACAAGCTGCAGATGTCTGCTGACCATCAATATGTGACAGTCGACCACTAACCTTTGTCCCCTTTTCTTTACTTCTATATGTTAACTTCCCCCTCAACCCCCTATAAAAACAGCCTCGGATTCTGAGCCAGTTGCCTCTTTAAGCTATTTTGCTTTGGGAGTGCCGTCTGGCCAGACTAGTAAAGGTCTGTTTTCCAACTTGTCCGGTGTGTTCCTTCCCGGGTGTTCTTTGCTGTAGTCAGCTCCTTGGAGCATTTGGTAAGGCCCTTGGTCTTACATAGCCCTAAATTTCTAAATTTTAAGATAGGGTCCCACTAAGTCACTAAGTTGTCCAGTGTGGATTTAAAATTGTGATCTTCCTGCCTCAGCCTCCCAGAGTGCTGGGATAATAGGTGTTCACCACCACATCTGGCTTGCTTTTTGAACTATTCAGTTTGTAAAGTTTTTTTTTTTTTTTTGGTACCAGAGATCGAACTCAGGTCCTTGCCCCCAGTTTGTAAATAAAGTAAATGATCTCAAATTTCAATTTAAAGTTAGGGAAGTGCTGAGGAAGGATGCTTATTCACTTTTTCCCTGGGTGTGGAGGAGTCAGGGCTGGTAAGGAGGAAATGCCATTGCAGAGTCCCTCCTGTATTCCTAGGTGATATGGATCAACCCTCATGGCATGCTAGTGAGGTAGGGCTTGTCATTCCCACTTTTCTGGGAGGGCTCTGAGGGCCAAGGAGTCCCTTAGGTTATTAATAGGGTAGAATGGGGGAAGGTTTGGACTCAGTTCTTTTTTTTTTTTTTTTGGTATCAGGGCTTGAACTCGGGACTTTGCGCTTTCGAGGCAGGCGGCTGAACCACTGAGCTAAATCCCTGGCCCTCTCAGTTCTTATTATCAAGCTGCTAAGAAGCAGGAAAAGGTACTGGCATTGTGGGTCTTCGTTCTCAATCTGAAAAATGTGCAGTCTTTTTATTTTTTTGGTACCAGGGATCGAACTCAGGACTTTGTGCTTGCAAGGCAGGTGGGGTGCCACTGAGCTAAATCCCCGGCCCATAATGTGTAGTCTTAAGCTTTAAAATAACCAGTTGGTTCAACCCTGTCTTTTGTAGAGGGAGCAGCCAAAGACCTAGCAATAGAGCAGCTTGACTGCAGCCAGGGGACAGTAAAGAGAGCAGAAGGAAGTGTAGGCTTAGGGGAACAGAACCGGCCCAACCCTGACGGATAGGAACCCTGTAGGGAGTAGAGAAAATTCTGTCCACAAAAGAGAAGGCAGAAAAGAGGCTGTTTTTATTCCCACACTTAAGGAAGGAATTCCTTTATTAATTCATAATAATTTCCCAAAGATTTTGAATCCTGCTGTTCATGCTCTCATCAGGCAGTGCCTCTTTTGCCCCAAGCCCCACCCTTGGAGGTGCCTCCCAGTGCAGGCAGGGAGCAGCACCTCGTCCACTGTCACTGTCACCACAGCGCAGGCTTGTCTGATCTTACCACCAGGCAGCTGCACCTTTCAACAACCTCCTTCCTCCCTGGCAGGACGTTCTTCTCTGTCCTGACAAAATCCTTTCATACTTTCATTTGTTGAGAGTTTTTGCTTTCATGAAGTGGTTTCATGCTCAGCTTCTCACTTGATCCTCCTGACACCCTGCTGAAACAGGCAGGGAAGGGATCTGTGCCCATTTTTCAGGACAGGGGACTAAGGCCACCTTTTGATCCTCCAGTGCCCTTGGGGGGCATTTGCAGGCCTCAGCCTGGAATGGCCCAGCAGGGCTCCTTTGACACAGGTTCCAGATTTTCTCTTTTGTTCTTTATATTTCCTAGAATCCCAGTGGATTCTACTTGGTTGACTCCTTACTAACAGGTAGCCGATCCCTATGTGGCCGACAGGAAGGCTGCAGTCCCAGCTCTGTGCTGTGTCTGTGATGTCCCTCCCAGCTCCTTAGTTTCCAGCCGTACTGTGGGCCACTCTGTCCCATGAAGCAGCCTTTCCTGTGGCTAACTGATTGTCTCATCCGATTTTCAGGGAAGATGACCTTGAAAACTTTCTTTTCATTCAAATAGATCCATTTTGGGTTATTTTCTCTTGCCTAAATTTAGGCATCCAACTCAATGGATTTCACAAATTAATATAATTTATTTTCCATCATGTCAGTGCAAAACAAAGTGTTCTTAAGACGAAGCACTGCAGACTAGTATTTTCCTCTTGTAGCTTTATTTCTTGAGTCAGTAATAAGCACACATTTCCGTAAACATGTGTCGGAGTGGGTGTGGATCGACTGGTTATCCAGTCTTACTGGCCTCTTACAAGGTAAGTACCGAGTGGCCTTCTCGTCTTCTTCAAAATGGAGATTCCCGCAACATCTGGACTTTCATCAAGGCTCGCTGCAGCTGCTCATAGGTTATGAACATCATTACATTCCAGGCTCCCAGACGCAGAAAGGAGGGGGTAAAACTGATGAAATAAAACCAACCATAATTTCAGGAGGGGCGGGCTACCAAATAGATCCTTGGGCTCTCCCCCACATGTTTTGGTGCTAAACGACCAGACCATTCCTTGTGAGCATTTTTTCTTTCTTTTTTTTGGTTTTCTTTTTTTGGTACCGGGGATCGAACTCGGGACCTTGCGCTTTCGAGGCAGGCGCTGGAACCACTGAGCTAAATCCCTGGCCTTTTTTTTGGTTTTTTGAGACAGGGTCTCATTATGTAGTTCAGGCTGGGATTAAACTCACTATGTAGTCTAGAAGTCTGGCCTTGAACGTGTAGTGATCCTCCTGCCTCAGCACCCTGAGTGCTGGGATTACAGGCATGCAGCACCACTCCCAGTTTATCGAGAGCATTTTCTGAGATCCATTCAGTCTTTGCCTTCTCTGCCGAAGGGATTTAGGCAGAAGTTGGAGGCAGGAAAGGAAAGAACACTAACACTTTGAGGCAGGTTACTGTGTCTGGCAGTTCATTCTCACAATTCTTTACAACTACGCTTGTTGTCGTATTTCTTTTTTAGAAACTGAGACCCAGGGAGACTAAGGAGCTAAACCAAAAGCACAGAGCTAGAAAATCACAGCCATGACTTTTAAATGCAAGGTGTGACCTGACTCTGCCCTGCTGTTGGAGTCTCTGGCTCATTTACATCTTAATTGACTGCATCTGAGGAGGCCCCTGCTGGGACAGGGAGAGCAGAGAAGTGGGAGCTTCCCCATGGAACCATGTGTAGCCTGGCCCCACAGAGCCCACCTGCGCTGTGATTGCACAGTGGAGAGACAGGCCCCCCCACCTCCCGCCCCCAGCTGCACTTCCAAGACTCAGGGAGCTGCCTGTCACCTGGCCGCTGCCCTCCTCTCAGCCTGTCTCTGATAGTTCCCTCCTGGGCCCTTTTGCTCCTGCCACTCAGTTACCATTTCCTGATGATGTCAGGACCTCTTACTCTGTGCCTTTGCCCATGTTGCTCCCTCTGCTTGGACTGTCCCCTACTTGCTTCCTTGCCTGACTGGTTTGCTCTTCTCTTGTAGGGCTCAGCTCGGGCGCCTCAACCACTTAGTATGGCCTTTTCTGAACCTTGGCTGGGACTACAGCATTGTGGCAATTCATATGAACTCTGGAGTGAGAACTGGGTTCAAATCCTAGCTTCATCAGTTTCTAGCTCTACAACTTTGGACGATTGACTTAATCCTTTTGAGCTTTGGTTTCCTCATCTTTAAAATGAAGAAAATAACAGTATCTACTTTGTAGGATTGTCATTCAGATTAAACAAGTCAATGTTTAGCACACAGCATAGGCACACAGCACACAGCATAGGCCCCAAATTAGTCAGCACTCAGTGTGTCTCACCTACTTGTCTGCTGCTCTTTGAGGGAGGCATAGCACCTCTACCCACAAGGTAGATGTTTAGTAAATGTTTGACAAGTGAAAGCGTAAACAAGCGGTTACTATAGCTGAAGTCGATAACAACAGAGGCACTTAGCAGAAAAGTCTGTCAACTGAAAGACAGTTTTATTATGTCATCTCCAAATTTGAGAACCTCTAGTGGCTCTTGTTTGCTTGTTGGATTCAGTCTAACATTGGGTACCAGAAAACTATCTGTCAAAGGCATCAGTGGTGGGAGGTGAGAGGGCTAAGCAGTTTTACCAGTGGGATAGACAGCTACACCTTTGGTGTGATGTCAGGTGGTTTGGGTTTGAGCCGTCACAGTGTAATTTTAACTTGTGATCTTAGACAAATTACTTTTCTGAGGTACCATCTCTTCCTCAGTCCATGTGGGGACCTACTGCCCAGGTCAGGAGTTGTTGAGATAACTTATGTGAGGTCCTTAGTACAAGGCCCAATGCATAGAGACTCAGCCAGCAGGGGGAAGGCCAGTATCGCATGTTACTGAGTGCTTGCTTGGTGCTAAGGATTCCACGAGATGAAAGACAGATGAGCCACCAGTCCTTGGCTCTAAGGACCTTGTACTCTAGCATGTCGACAAATTTAAGCTTACAAATATTGTAATATAAGGCAGGAAGTGATAAATGCCATAAAAATGGAATCAAGTGGTACTGCCCACGTTGACAGGGAGAGAGAAAACTTACATATGTATGTTAGGGAGAAGGTGGCATTAGAATAGTCTGGCAGAGCCGAGCGTGGTGGCATGTGGCTGTAATCCCAGCACCTGGGAGGCTGAGGCAGAGGGATTGCTGTGAGTTCGAGGCCAGCTTGGGCTACACAGTGAGTTCAACACCAGCCTGAACTACATAGTGAGACTCTGTTTCAAAAAAAAGGAATAGTCTGGGAGGATGACTAAGATTCAGAGAATACAGGTGGTGAGGACAAGCATTCCAGGCAGAGGGAACAGCAAATGCAAAGGCATGAAAAACATGAGTGTTGGCATAGTGAGTATGGCACTTCTGCTGCCATGAATGTGGCAATCAATAGTCATGGTAGTAGGTTCTGGAAGTCTCAGGACTACTAACCACCTTTCTCTCCTCCCTTGCCCAAAATGTTTAGGGTTAGACCTATCCTTTTACCTATCCTTAGGCTCCTATTTCTCAGTAAGGATCCCCTAACTATCCTAATCAAGTTTTGCCCACTTTTAAAAAAACTTTTATTGTTCTTTATACTTATTTGTGACCTTTGCAGCTGTTCACCATTTGTACTGTTCACCACTGCATCCCCAGATGGATCAGTGATAGGTACTCAAGATAAAAAAGAAGCCCAAGTTTTCAGGGATGGAAGGTGGGAGGGGGAAGTTCACCCGTTGTAGAAGGCTGTGGGGCCCTCCTGGGCCACCATCTTCAGCATGCAGTGCAGGGGGCTGTGGTATTGGCCTGGGGGTGAGTTCATATACCGAGTCTTCACTACATCCACAGGGGAGGCCACCACTGTGGCACAGAAACCGGCTCCAAAGGCAGAGACAAAGTGGCAGGGAAAGTTGTCTGTAGAGAAAAGGGGAGCAGATATCAGGGAGTGAGTAACTCATGGTCTGTTCCATGTGCATTCACTCTCTTTTTCCATCTCAACCTTGAACTCCTTGAGCATAAGGTGGAATTATCCATCTCTCTCATGGCGCCCAGGGCTGAGCAAACTAGAACTGACAAACTAGAACTGAACATCCCAGAGTCAAAAGGCCACACAGCCCAGCAGCCTCATTTAGGAAAGTGACGTCAGAGGTGAGAGACCCCCACTTAATGACACATAGTAAGAAGTGATGCCAATCTTGGAACCCAAGGCTGTGGTCTCCAGCCCAGGCCTTTCCTACTCATCACAGTTCTGTACTGGGCTCTGGTCCTCTCCCAGCTCCTGCTAAAGCCCAGTTGCCCTTGGGTGGTGCCCTGACTGCCTGCCTCCCTGAAATCCAGGGCCTTACCTGTTAGCAGGTGGGAGTCTAGCAGCTTCTCCTTGATGATGTCATAGGTCACCATCTCAGCACAGTTGACAATGGCATTCCTTGTGATGTTGGGCAAAATTCCTGTTAGGAAGGTGGCAGGGGGTATTGAATGGGGAATGGGACAAGTGGCTGTCCCTGGTGCAAGGTCCTAAGGCCCAGTTTGGAGGGATCGTATTGCACTGCAGTGGTCTCAGCCAGGGGAGCCCACTCCAATTGAGAAGGTTGTGTGTTCACAAAGCAGAGCTAGGCAGTAAAGGGCCCTGTCACATCCTACTAAGGAATCTGGATTTTCTTTTGTCCTGGGCAATGGTGGTTGGGAGGAGACCAGGTACAGCCAGAAAAGGAAGTCATTTGTAGACGCTGGGCCCTTGGGACAGTGACAATTTATGGCACTGGCAGGGGCTGAAGAGAGTGGTTTCAGTGAGGAAGGGAAAGGCTGAGAGGTTCCCAGCATCAGAGTGCAGAGTCAGCACTGTGACCCAGGTGTGTTGCCCTTACACTTAACAAAGCCACTGTTTCTTCTGCAAGGATCTGGTCCACATGTGGGAGAGATTCCAACATTTGTCAAGGTGGCCACTGCATAGACACATAGCAGACACAAAAATCTGCTCCCGAGGAAACCCTCCCCTCATGGCATCTCATTGTGTGCCACTCCTCACAGCTGTGTCCCTCTGGTACCTGTTTTTGTTCTGTGATCGTGGGAGGCTCTGCCCTTCGTCTCCATACACCTAGAGCCTGCTCAGCCTTAAGGCCGGGTCAGCTGCCCCTTTCTCTTTGGAGCCAGAGTGCTCAATCCAACCTCTGGGTCTACACCTCTGGCAGGACACCTAGCACATCCCGCCTGTGGTATAGCAGCTGCTTGATGTGTCTTATCTCCTCTATTGCCTGAATGCACTCTGCGAGTGTAAAGTGTCATACTGATTTTTATCTCCCTCACAGCAGACTGCACATTGTACATGGTGAAGGGTTGGTGAATTGGATTGACTCTGCCGCCGTGCAGTGGGTGTGTGAGGGACTTGTTTGGGATATTCTTTTTTTTTTTTTGGTACCTGGGATCGAACTCAGATCCTTGTGCTTGCAGGGCAGGTGGCAGAACCACTGAGTTAGATCCCCGGCCCTATTTGGGACGTTCTTATGGCGTCACTGGAATGAACCACTCTGGGAGTTCCCTCCTTGCTCTGTGGCCTCCCTGAGGTCCCCTGAGCCGACCTTTCCACAGGCCCCTGACCCCTTCCTCCCTGGTGATGGTTCTGTAGGCATCCATCGTCCCGCTGTATTTCCTGTTGCTCCCTGGCCCCAGGCGAATGCTGGCCTGAAATCGGACCTTCACCACATCTGTGGGCTGGGCACAGGTTACCGCCATGGCCCCTGTCGTGCAGCCAGCCAGAATCCGGATGGCAATGCTGGCATCTGGGGAAAGCCAAGAGAGTATGCCAGAGTCCACGTTCACCTCTGCTGTTCTCTCAGCTGCCCTGCCATTGCCCACACTCTTCCCCCTCAGGAGGCCCTAGAGTGTCCCTGACACCACCAGCCTCCTCCTGGGTGTCATTACCAGCTCCCCACATCCCGGCTGTGCCTCTGAGTCTAGGCTGTTGTGTGGTCCTGACCCACAAGTAAGCTCTGCCCCCACTGCCCCCTTGGTGTCCGTGGGGTACCAGGCACTCACAGTCTGCTCCTGCAGGGGTGTAGAACTGCTTGACAGAGTCGTAGAGGCCAATGCGGATGGAGGCGAAGCTCATCTGGCGATGCAGCCCGGCCACAAGCCCATTGTAGGGGCTGCGGAGGCCCTCGGTGCGCACCATGGTCAGAAGGGTGCCCAGCACACCGCGGTACAGCACCCTCTGGGCTGCTGGGTTCTCTCCTTGGATCTGGGGGGCAATCACAATGGCTGAGGGGCTGGGTGGCTGCAGGAAGGGGCTGTGCACAGGGGCTCTGCTTGGGCTGGACCTGCCTGCCTGGGCCTTGAGAACAAGCATGACCATCACATCACTGTGGTGTTTGATCCTCTGAGCAAATCAAAGGTGCAGAATTGTTCCCCCATTTTATGAATGGTTAGTGGTTTTCCCACAGTCACACAGTTAATCCCTTACCTTTGTTTCACACTTTATGGTTTACAAAGCAGGGTTGGCAGTTAAGGGCCCTGTCACATCAAGGCATTTAGATTTTCTTTTGTCCTGGGCGATGGTGGTGGGGAGGAGGCAAGGAAGGGTCCTAAGCAGTGGAGTGAGTGGTCTCCCTGGGGCTCTGTGTGAGGAAGGGCACATTGGCAGATGGCCCGGGCAGGTGGAGAGAGTGGCCAGCCCCTCCTTTGATGTGAACAATGACCAAAGGCCAAAGGCCACCTACCTGCAAGCGGACCTTGGCTGTGTCTAGCGGAAATGTGAGGAGGTCAGCAAAACAGGCTGCGGAGCCTGCCCCCAGGAACTTCACAGCTGTTGTGGGAGGCACTTCTGAAGGCTTCAGTCCAACCATGGTCCCAGCAAGATCAGCCAGTCCCTCTGGGGCCCAGCAAGCTCCAAGGAGAGAGGCCACTTGGAGGCCCTGGGCGTCAGTGTGGGAAGGAGGCTGCAGAAGACAGGCCAGGGGAGGCAGATGGGCCTGTGCTGTCTGGCCCAGTCCCATGTCCAGGCGCCCACAGCACCGGAAGGGGCTAAGTAAAGCAAGCTGGCTGGCCATTCCATATACACGCTGCCTGAATTCGACCTATAGAAACAGGTCACTTTCTCCTTCCTCACATCTTGCAGTCGTCACCCTGTTCCCTTCTGACCAGGGGCAGGCAGGGCTGCTGGTGGTGTCTTCACTGTACGGATGAGGAAACTGAGGCTCAAGCAGGAACCAGGTCTGGTTCTGCTCCACACACACCCTGTCCTACCCAGTGCCCAGCTGTTTCCTGTGACAGGCTGTCTGTGAGCCTGGGCCCTTGAGGTGCCACATCAGTCAGATCTTCCTCTGACAATTGCCACAGTTTTCTTATGACTCAATGAAATTGTCATTCTTTTTTTTTTTGGTACTGGGGATCGACCTCCGGACTTGCACTTGCTAGATAGGCGACGGAACCACTGAGCTAAATCCCTGGGCCCCCGTCATTCATTTTTGATCAAGACTTTTTTTTTTTCCACATAAGGATGACTGAATAGACATTTTTTTTTTTTTTAGTACCAGGGATCAAACTCTGGACATTGTGCTTGTGAGGCAGGCAGTGGCACTACTGAGCTAAATCCCCGGCCCCTGAATAGGCTCTTGTTATACATAAATCAAATCAAATAAAACCAATAACTCCTCTCAGCTGTGTTTTTTTTTTCTATGACCAAAGCCATTTTCTCCTAACACTGCAAGATTCCTGGAGGACTGTTTTTCCTGAGGTGCCAGGAGGGAGACTGGTCCTGGATGCTCTGCTGCTGGCCCCCCAGCTGGTTCCGAGGGAGATGGGCTAGCTCAGCACCTCCCTCTTCTTGCCTCATACCACTAAGGTGGCCCTTCTCAGCTGAAGGGAATGAGTCTCTCAGACAAGGGAGGATTGGTCTTGGGTCAAGGGAATGTGCTGTCTTTTGTCCTGCTGGAACCTACACACACACACACACACACACACACACACACACGCACGCACACACACACACATGGTACCAGGTTAACTTGGGCATGAGAGGGTCTCAGTTTACCCTGGGAAACTGACGCCCCATCACAGACAGCCGCATGTTCTTACATCCTGGGCCTCTGTACATCAGCCATTGGTATTGATGTCATCATTTGGTGGCTCACACCCACTGGTTCCCCAACTCACACACACACCCTGGTGTGCTGAGGTCCTAAGCACGTCAGGGACCTCTCTCCTGGAACCAGGGTCAGTCCCATAAAATTGTGAAGCAAGAAGAAAATGTGCACACTTTGTCTCCAGGGCAGTAGAATTCTGGGTCTGTGGTCAGGAAACCTGGGCTCTCAACCTGTCTTCAAGGCTTACTAAGAGGTGATAGGATCTTAGGTACACATTTAACCTGTCTGGGGCAAATGGGAATCTATATTGCTAGTTCCTCAGTAGGCAGTTTGCTGCCAAAATATAGGCAGTAGGTCAAGTGATCTCTCAAGTCTTCTTTCAGGTCTGCTGTTTACAACACCGGTCCTATCTGTGTTATCTCCTCAACCCACACACCATTATACCCATTCAGTTATCCTAACCATGCTAAAGTGTAACTACTGAGTTTCTTGGTTTGTTTGTTTTGTGGTGCTAGGGATGGAACCCAGGGCCTAGTGTATACTAAGCAACCACTCTATTACTGAGTTAACCTCCAGCCCCGATGAACTATTCTTTGGCCACTATGCTAGGCACTAGCAAAGGAAAGATATGGAATGAATCGAGTATGGCTCTTGCCCTTAGGGAGCTCTCTTAGGAAACTGAATAGGTGTAAAATTACCCAAAGGGAGTGAAGGAGGTGGGTGGGAGAGGATAGGAGGTTCGAGGACTGAAGCCTGGACTCAGCAGCTACTGGATCCCAGTCTAGAAGCCGGAGCCATAGCACTGAGGAATGTAAATCCTGCCTGGAGGGATCTGGTGCTTTTATTTGATCCTTCTCAGAATGGATTTGCATTTTTATTTTTTAAGCTTTTAAAATTAAGGTATAACTTACAATGGGTGTATGCATTTTAAAGGGCACTGAGCTATAAAAGAAATTATGCACTGACTCTGGAGTGTGAGAGACAGTAGAGGAGGAGGAGATTTTCCAACTGGAGACCTAACCTAGCATCCAAGCATATATATGCCACTTCTCTGTTCTAAACTTGCCTAGTGGCTCTCCATCTTATTCAGATCAAAGTCTGAAGTCTTTCTGATGACACACGGGGCCCTTTGGGGGTACTTCCCTCCCCAACACTTCCTGGGCTCATCTCTCCCCACTCCCCACTTGCTCACTGAGCTTCAGCCACCTGGGAGCCTCTGGCTGTGCCCTCTGCCTGGAACACAATTCTCATAGCCACCACATAGAGCGTCTCTTCACTTCTTCAGGGTTCTCTTCAAATCACCTCTTTGGAGAGGCCTTCCCTGAGCTCCCAATATAAAATACTAGCTCCCTGTAACTCTCTTATCCTCCACTGCAATTTTTCATGGCACTAATCGCCCTTTGACCTTGTCTACTGCCCAGCTCTCCCGCTCAGGTGCTCTGTCCCCGAGAGCAGGGACTTGTCCTGTCTAGAAGGGCTATACTTGTTGCAAGAATGAATGGAGGCATTAATGGAAGCCACCTTCCTTCCCATCCCTGTCCATTCCATGCTCACATCATGGCCTGAGGTGATAAAGCTAAGAATTCAATAACAAGCACATGCTGATGATACCCAACCCATGCTTGGCACTTTGGGAAATCCAGACACGAGAAAAAACTGGTGTGTAAGCTGCTCCCAGGGAGTCTCAGGAGCCTGATGAGGCATGAGTCTTGCCCACAAATAACTGCAGTGCAAAATGGACTGTGTCAGTGCAGAGGGAAGGAGATGTCAAGAAAGAACTGAGAGATGGTCCTGCAGTGTGTGAGGTTTCGAGGAGGATTGCATGAGCTATGCCTGGAAAGGAGTTCCAGCAGCCTGAGATGTGGGAAGGTGTCTCAGTGGAGGCAAAGGCCTGACTTTGTGCAAAAGACCAGAGCTTGGGTGAAGCTTGGGACAGGAGAGAGGTATGGCTACAGGACTATGAGGCCCTGCAATGGGAGTTTTCCACATGTACTCCTGTTTAATTCTCACAACTTTCCCAAGAGGTAGCTATTCCTTTCCTCTGCTGTTTGTTTTTTTGGAGACAGGATCTTGCTATGTAGTTCAGGCTTGCCTTAAATTTACTAAGTATCCCAGGGTTGTCTCAAACTTTTGGTGATCCTCTTGCCTCAGCCTCCGCAGTGCTAGAATTGCAGGTGTGTGCCATCACGTTTGACATTTTCTTCTACTTTTGGATGAGCAAACTGCGGCTCAGAGACATGAGCTTGTTCCTGGGTGTCAAAGCCTGGGCTCACTCTGCTGTTCTGGGTTTGAAACACCCCGGAAAGATGGCAGGGCAGCATTTAAATCCAGTTTATAGATAAGAAAATAGAGGTGCAAGATGGGAAGGGCTGGGCACCTGTGGTCTCAGCTACTCAGGAGGCTGAGGCAAGAGCAACACTTGCGACCAGAAGCCAGAGACCATCCTGGGCAAGAAAGTGAGACCTGGCTCAAAAACAAAAGTAAAAGCCAAAACCAAAAGAAAAAGATGGACAGAAACTGGGGTCATGGAATCCCAACCCTGTTCTCTGATGGCCAGGCAACAAGGCTGTCTTCACCAGGGGCCCCAGAGCCCCAAATGAAGTAGTAATTATAGCTTCTCAGTCTTTCCTTTTATTGAGGCATTCAAAGCCCTTTGCAGTTAATAAAGCGATATCCAAAACCCACCTATAGGGACTTCAGTGTCAAGCGCGGAGCCACAGCCTGGTGAGAATGGCAGGGTGAGTATCTCTGCCCTACTTGGCAGATGGGCCCAGAGTGGCTGAGAGCTGTGCAGGTGGACACAGTCAGACCTTGGCCTCTCCTGGGCTCTTCGCTCAGCCTGTCTCCTTGCTTGTCGGAGTTGCTCCCTGAGAGGAGCAGAGCCCAAGAAGGGTCATGCTCTTTAGGAGCGTGGTGGAGATCTCAGAGCTGACCCAGCTGAAGAGATGGCATTGTAGGCGCCCTGGGAGAAATCTCCTCCACCTGCTCCTTCCCCACTGCCCTTTGTCCCACAGAGACCAGCCAGGCCTGGGCTCCTTCCCAGCAGGGAGGTTTTGGCTGCTGCCTGGGACTGGAATGCACCAAGAGCAGCTGACTCTCCATGGCATCGTGGTGGCCTCTCTCTCCCAGCCCTGGCACTTCCTCTGCCCTTCCCTGGAGCTCTGAGGTGAGTGGGGCTGCAGGAGACGGGGCACCATGAACTCCAGGCTCTGAGTCTCAGAGTTGGGGTGGTGCTTCGGTGTTGTGTCCTCTAGTGTCTCTTGCTGGTCTCTTCATCAAAATCTTTGAGGGCCACTTAGGTGCTAATAAATTAGGTGTTTTTATTTCACTTTGTAAAATGCTTGGGTCCAGCCAGGCCCTGCAGGGCCTTCTTCACGCTTTGCCTCCTTCTGAGCCTGGGGCTATGTCCTTGGGGGACCTTTTGTACCTTGGCCAAAGAGCTTCCTTTTGGCATTTACTGTGTCCCCAGCTGCCTTTGACCCACACCTTCTTGTAGAAGTGGCTCATTATATGTAAGTTTCCTCTCTAGATGGGGAGCTCCCAAAGTATGTAAGGATCTATTTATGCTGCTTTTCTGAAGCCCAGTACAGGCTGACCAAAGAGCTCTACCTGCTGAAGCGAGGAGATGGGGAATGAGATCAGAGATGAACCCAGGTTCTTCGGTAGAGGACTTTGAATGCCAAGGTGAGACTTGATCTACTGGATAATGGGAAGTGTGTGGCAATTTTTAGGGAAGGGGATGACATGGTCAGATCTGTGTTCAGAGCCTGCTGAAGCCGATGTGGAGGATGGGCTAGAAGGGAAAGATGAAAGGAGGCTGCTGGAATAGTGCTAGCAAGAGGTGTGGAGCAGCAGCCAGGATGAAGTTGGGGCAGTCCATCTGTCAGAAACGTAATGGAGGAACACAGTCGTAGGTGAAAACCCACACTGGGACTGGTGGATGAGGCTGTAATGGCAGGCACAGGCCTGCTCCCTAACCTCTTGGACCATCACTAGAAGGGCCCTGGCAGTCAGCAGACCTTTGCCTCTGACTGGAAGAGGAAGTTGAGAGCAGAATCCTTATCCCTGCAGCTCTGCTGGGCACCTGAAGATGGGGTGTCCCAGCCCCTGAGTTCAAGGGCTTTATCCAGTCATGCAGCTGAAATGATGGAATTGGGATTGGCACTAAGGTCTGTCAGAAAACCAGTGCCCATTCCACTGTCCCGAGGCTCAGACCTCAGGGAGCACTCAGGATCCCTTGAACTGCTTATTTAGAGAGAATATCTTGGTCCTCAGCCCCAGAGATCCTGATTCACATCTTGGGTGGAGCCCAGGAGTCTGCATTACAAACAAAGTCCTCTTGGTACCTCTGAGCAGAAGTCTGAGGACCCCGCCCTGAGACATCCAACCATGTTGCCTTCCCAACCTCAACTTCACCCTCCCTGACAAGGCCTCCACAGCATTTCCATTGAGGAATCCACCTAGGCAGTATGACCATTGGCTCCTTAAACCTCTAACACACAACATGGGCCAGGCCTCAAGCCAGAGGTGGCCTCAACATCCCTACTCAAGAAAAGGGCGGGGCCGGGGATTTAGCTCAGTGGTTCTGACGCAGGCGGAAGGTCCCGAGTTGATCCCTGGTAGGAAAAAAGAAGAGAAAAGGGCCCCACGGGCCAGGGATTTAGCTCAGTGCTTCTGGCACCTGCCTCGCAAGTGCAAGGTCCCAAGTTCAATCCCCGGTATCAAAAAAAAGAAAAGGGCCCCAGGACACACCTGGGGAAGGGCTTTTTTTGATTTGTTTTTTGTTTTTTGAAACAGGGTCTCACTATGTAGCCCAGGTTGGCCTGGAACTCATGGAGATCCTCCTGCCTTATCCTTCCAAGTGCTGGGATTACAGGTATGAGCCATCACACCCAGGAAGGGCTTTGTGGTGGAATCCCAATATTTCTGTGCCAAAGGAAGAAGTCACTTCATATTTGTGAAGAATTGCAAAATCCCCCCAGAGGCAGCCAGCTGGGCAAATGTGAGTCCTGAGTGAGTGACATAGGTGTGGCATTCAAGGCCCTCACCAGGGTTGCAGTTTCCTCATTTTGACAAGGTGGGGCCTGGGGTTTAGTTCTCTCAGGTCTCTCAGCTGTGGCTAGTGGTCCCTGCTGACTCCTGGCTACCTCTATAAGCCTCCATGAAAGGTAGAACAGGTAGAAGGGAGAAAGAGAGAGCGTGCGAGGGTTGGGGGAGGGGATTGGGTCTTACCTGTGTCTAGCCAGGGTGGTGCAGCACAGGGGCTCTCTAGGGTTCCATCTCAGGGAGCAGCAGCAAAGATCTATGGCCCCTCCTTGCCATTCACCGTTGTCTCTGCTGCCTGCCTCTGGCCTGGCACCCATCTTATATGCCAGTTGACCTGAAAGCTGATCCTAGAGAAGCTCGTTGACAGTCTGATCACTTGAGGAGAGAGGCAGGCTAGTGAGGGGCAGGGAGGGGTGTGGTCAGTAAGTTCCAAATCTGGTTCAGCTCCCTTGACTTTAATATTGCTCCTTCTAGCTGGTAAAGAAGAGCTACTTCACTGACAAGGGTGTATGGAGGGAGGTGTGTGTGTGGACACATCACCTTTGATAGGCCAGCCTTCCATGATAGACTGGGCAGGGCTCTCCTCTTAATAACAGCCATGATAATAACCATCACTTCTTGGTGCCTATTAAGTGCAAGATAAATTTATTTTTGGTGGTTCTAGGGATTAAATCTAAGTCTTCACAGATGATAGGTAAGCACTCTACTACTGAGCTACATCCTCAGCCCTATGCTAGATATTTCATATATATTATTTCTATTTTACATCCCTATGAAGTCCTATTAGGATTCCAAAATTTTTTAAATAACAGATTTATTAAGATATAACTTACATTTTTAAAAATATAAATGGCATATATGAGGCCACTCAGACAGGCTTTGTGAGAAAAGCTTTATTCCTGTCCAGGTGTGAACAGAGACTGAAATCCAGGGCAGATTTCAGAAGCTAGCTGGGAAAATCCAAATTTATTATATCTGTGAGTGCCTGGGCTAACAGAGAGTGAGTGAGTGAGAGAGAGAGAGAGAGACAGAGAGAGAGAGAGATATCGGCAGCTATCTGGGAGGGGAATTAGGTTAATATAGGGTTTGGAAAAGGGCTATGATCATAAGGAATGTTTATGACTGAAGGTCCAAGGGTGGTCAGTGCAGGTGTATAGGGACTCATTGGACTTTTCTGCACTAGGGAGATTGTATACTCTCTCCTGAATTTTCTTTATGGCCATCTGTCCTAGCAGCCTGTTGTTTGCAGAGAGCAGCCTATTTGCTTGCAGAGGTCTCATTCAGGCCAGGCATGACACTTTTTTTCTGGTACCGAGGATCAAACTCAGGACCTTATGCTTGCGAGGCAGGTGCAGTGCTGCCAAGCTATATCCCCAACACTTTTTTTTTCTGAGGCAAGGTCTCACTATGTAGTCCAGGCTGACCTTGAACTCACTATGTAGCCCAAGCTGGCCTTGAACTCGTGGCAGTCCTTTAGCCTCAGCCTTCCTAGTGCTGGGATTACAGGTGTGAGCCATCATGCCTGGTTTAATTTACCTATTTTAAGTACACAATTTAAATGGTTTTTAGTTTATTCAGAGTCGGGCTGGGGATTTAGCTCAGTGGCAACGTGTGTCCCTCAAAAGTACAAGGTCCTGAGTTCAATCCCTGGTACTGGAAAAAAAAAGTTTATTCAGTTGTAGAATTGTCACCACAATCTATTTTAGAACATTTTCATCACTCTCAAAAAAAACCTTCATACACCTTAGCAGTCATTTCCCTTCCCCCTCTCTAGCCCCAGGCAACTACTAACCTGCTTTCTGACTCTATATTTGTCCATTCTGGACATTTCATGTAAATAGAATTATACAGGAAATGCTTCTTTGTGGTGACTGGATTCTTTCGCTTAATATAGGGTTGTGTTTTCAAAGCTCATCCGTGTTGTAGCGTAGTATCAATATTTCACTTCTTTTTACTATGGAGGATCATCATATTTTAATATTTATTTTACAGATGAGAAAACTGAATCTCAGAGAGGACAATGACTTATCAAAGTCATATAGCTAGTTCATGGCAGGGGCTGAACTTAGCCTGTAAACTATAACACATTTTGGGGCCTATCTGCTGTGATCTATGTTCTCTATGACCTGTCACTTAGAGGCTTTAGTATGTTCTTGCTGGGGCCAAAGGGAGCTGGGGAAGGGTGGGAAGGGTCCCCTCCAGGTACTGGAGGCTCTATCCACAAGCACTGAGGGTAAGGATTGGGCATATTGAACTTGGGATCCAGGTCATGTAGGGTGGGGGAGGGGAGACAAGGCGGAATTAGGAGGGGAAGAGAAAGAAGGGAGGGAAGGAGGAGTTAACTGGGTGGGGCACAAGAGTAGGCAGCAGCCATTTCTGGACTAGGGCACTGAGCCCTGGGCACCAGGTGTGTGGTCCAAAGTCCAGACACAGCAGTGCAAAGCCTGGGCTGAATCTCTCCTCTTGCTTGGACAGGCTCTGCCCTCAATTAACAGCAGAACAGGAGTTGCATTAGTGGTAAAGGGAAGTGGCTTTTAGGGCTGCTGAGATTGGAGGGCTCAGAAAGAAAAGGGCTCTAGAATCCACCTGGAAATACTAGCTTAGAGCTGGGGGATTTGCAGAGGCTCTGTGAAGGAGGGATGAAAGTAGGAACCAAACCAGGGGCCAGACCACCCCAGAGAAACCCAGGGAGAGGGAGGAATCAGCTTACTTGACCTGCCTACGAGCTTCCTGAGGGCAGGTTTGTCTTCCTTGGCTCTGTCTCCAGAGCCCAGCCCCTGCTAGAAGCTCCAAGTTTGGCTGCTGTGGGCTGGGATGCAACCAGCCTCCTGAAACACCTATTTTTAGATTCCTTCGGAGGATGTGTTCAAAAGGAAGTCAGGGAACACTGGCTGGTTCTGGTGGTGAGGACAAACACACCCTAACTCATGCTCCCAGACTTGGCATGTCATGTCACCTTAAAGCTACCACTGGGAGAGATCCAACCTCCGAGGATGAGATACTGATAAATATTACACTCTTTGTAAGTGTAGGCAGTGAGTTGCAGATCCAAGGGTATTCTTGTGTCATCAGAGGCTGCCCTCAGCCTGGGGTAGGAGCAGCCCATGTCCTCCTGCCTGTGGCCTTATCCTCACTTGACCCCATAGGTTATTTACAGAAGTAGGATTTGGAAAGAATATTCTTCACCTGAGGGTTTACCCCTCAGGCTGCTCTGGAAGTTCCTTGTGCCCCAAGAGAGGTGGAGCCCAGAGCTTGGAAGCTCTGGCCTGAGAGGGAGGTCTGAGGAAGGCTGGTCTCTGGTGCTGGGAGGGGTGGCAGGCTCTGGGAGCTGAGATAAACAGATGCCAGGTCAGGCTGAGGGAATGTGACCAGTAAAGGGAGCACTAGCTCCCTCCCTGGGGCTCTTACATCTCTGCACCCATGCAGGCCCAGCATACTTGCCCCTACTAGTTTGCTCCAGGACCTGAAGAGTGGGCAGGACTGACATTTCCTGTGCCAAGCGTGGGCAAAGCGCTTTCACAGATGTCTCGGGCTTCCAACAGTATCTGAGCTTCACTGATGAGACAGGTTGGTGTCTCTTCTCTACCCCCAGCAGCATATGGCCCAGGGCACCCTCCTGATTCTCTCTGTAGCTGCCCACAGTTGACCCATTTCCTCGGTCCAGTCCCAGTCTGCTGCAGCCCTCACCCGATCCGCACCCTTCAGCCCCACCCCCAAATCCTGAGCACTTAACTGGCTGTGCCCTGTATTGGACACTGAGCCTTGTGACATCTTTGGGGATGTCTTGTGTTATGATTCATTTCCTAGCTACGTAAACAGAGGCAAAACATTCAACTTTGTTGAGATTCAGTTCAACCATTAAAGGGTGTCTTATTTTCCAGGTTATGGAGTTGTTTTGAGGACCAAGTGAAATAACGTGTGTGGGGTGAAAAGCAGAACCCTCCATGGCAGGTTCCTTCCAGCCTTGTTGTCCAGTCGCACTGCACACTCTGCCCATTGGTTTTCCATAACTTCCCCACATGCCTTGTCTATGGTAGCTGCTTAGGTGGCTGTGGTCTTGAAAGAGCTAATCAGCCCAGCCTCCCTAAAGGGGGGATTGGAGGGAAATGTTCCAGGAGACTCTTCTACTTTTGTTTGGTTTTTGGTACCGGGGATTGAACTCGGGACCTTGCGTTTGTGAGGCAGGCGCCAGAACCACTGAGCTAAACCCCGGCCCTACTCTTCTACTTTTGCCGACAGATGTCAAGAACCAGCAAAGGAAAAGAAATACAGAAAAAAGGAAAAAAAGAAAAGAACCAGTATAAAGGAAATACTAGCATGTCTTTAATCTGGACCAATCTGATATTCACATATTTGGGGGAGCTCAAAAGTCTCATGGTGACCCTGGTCCTGTTCCAGGTGAGCTTCTCTGGGGTCTGAGTGGTTGCTGAGCTTTCTCTCTGCAGTTTGAGCAAGAACAAACTCCTTTGGTCACCCCAGGAAACACTTGAAAACGAATACAAATACCAATAGAATTTTATTTAAAGGCAGAAACAAAGACCATCAAAGCTGGGTAAAGACAATAAGTTAAGAGCATGGTTAGAATTTCATACAATCAGATAAACAATTTAAAGGAGGCGATGTCTCCCTCCTCTCCTATTAATCCAACATAACATAAAAAAGTTCCTGTCTATAAAATACCCTTATTCCCAAGCAAATGAACTGGTGATGGCTCTAATCTTTCCTTGGCTATGGATGATGCACACAACCTACACCTGCCTACAACCCTGGTCAGGCTCCAACCTTTAAGGCAAAGATGGCAGGCAGAGGGTGGGCTCAGATGAGTAGTTGGCTGTGTTGAGGACACTAGGAAGTTTCTCTGCTGGAAGATGCCTGCGTGACCCCTGAGCAGCGGGGTCACTCAGAATCCTTTGCCTCACCACAGAAGGAAAAAACTGGAGTCCTGGCAGGAGGAACATTCCTCAGGGCCATGCTGAGTGGGTCTCAAGGTACTCAAGGACTAGGTGGCTGGTGGTGGTTTCAGGCTGTGACAGCCCTAAGGAAGTGGGCCTAGTGCCTCCTGCATGTCCGACAGGGCTGAGGGAGGGTGGTCAGGTGGCCCCTTCCCTAAGTCCCTCAGGCTCCATCAGTCTGTCTTGGAGTACTGAGAAGAAAATATCCGAGCGATTCTGTGAGTTTCTTCCTCAGGCAGGTTGGGAGGGAGTGAGTGAGGTCTGGGGCGACAAGGCCTCTGGGAGAAGGCTCCTCTGGTGGCTTCATTTTTGTCCTGGAGAAGAAGTCAGCTAGGTTAGCCCCGAGAATGTGACTCATGTTCTGGCCCTTTGGCTAACATTCATGTAGAGCTGATTGGTTCACAAAGCACTTCATACATCGTATTTTGTCAAACCCTCACCTCAACTCCACAAGGTGGGTACATCATTTTCTCATTATTGTGGATGAGGAATCCACAGTTCAAGTGGAATAAACTCAAGGTCCTGCAGCTCTGAGTGACAGAGCTGAGATGGGGACCCTGACTCATATTTCCTGTGCCTCTGGAGCAGGGGGCTGACACCTCTAGTAGAAGTTTGAAGACTCATCCCTTCTCTTGCTGTATTCTTTTAGACAAATCACTGTTCTCAGTTGGAACTTTCCCATGTGTGATCCTGTGACTGTATCTAACTCTGGTGGGGAAGATGCTGGCGAATAATATACTGTTTGTCCCTCTGAGCTCCTGGAGCTTCCAGGTGATACAGAGCACACACCCATTACCCTGTTATCAAAAAACCCCCATGGCCAGGGATGTAGCTCAGTGGCACTGTGCCTGCCTTGCAAGCACAAGGTCTTGAGTTCGATCCCCCTATACTGCAAAAAAAACCACCCCAAAACAAAACAACAAACCACCCCCCCCTTCCATTTTGGTGTACTACAGGTCAAGTTTCTGTACTGAAGGAGCTCAAGGCCACACAGTAAATCCATCCTGGGCAGCTGGCTGAGAAGCATGAAAAGGTCCTGGAGAAGAGGCATGAAAGGAGATGGAAGTAGCTGCCATAGGCAAACTCGGCTGACTTCACAGCATGCAGCTGCCCTATGGATAGATCTCTTGTTTATTCCCAAATCCCGTGAGCAGAGATCTTCTCCAGCTGATGAAGCACTGAGAACACACTGCACTGCTCCCAGGCACTGAAAACATCAGCGTGGTATAGACTAGAGTTTGGGACCATTTCCCCTTATCACCTAAAGTTCTGCTAATGGGAAACTGAGGCCTGGCTAAATAAACTTGGTTCTGAGATCAGTAACTTCAGAAATCTCTTCTTTCCTTCATTTCTTTTGTCTTTTTAATGTCTACTGTAAAAGGGAGACAGAAATGAACAGGACTCAGTTCCTACCTTCAGAGCTCATCACTAGAGACAGGCATCTACCCAAAGAATTAGAATAGCAGCCAGAATTGAGATGAGGGGAATAGGGATTGGGTAGCACTGTTCTATTGCTTGGCTGTCAGTCTCCCTCCTGAAAAAGGTACCCCGACAGTAAAGAATTCTAAACACTAAGGGAGTGAGTACAAGCTGAGCAGGGACTCAGCACTGTCTGCCCACATGTTGGCTTTCCTTATAGCCAAGAGCAAGTGGTACTAGTGCTGAGCCACATAGCAGAGTTAGAAGACACAGCTCTCTTTTAGGCAGGCCTAGGCTGAGGGAAGAAGGAAATCACCCTTTGCTGGTTTTTACTTCTTCCTTCCAAAATCTGGGGAGCAGCTGCCTGGCATAACACCTCAGCCAGGGGATGCCAGTGAGGAGCTCATGCTGCTGTCCTCCCCTCCACACTGGACACTTCTGCAGGGCATGACCTGGCTCCAATGCATGCAACTCCAGCTGGGCCAGGTCCGACATGGGAGCTTGGCAGCTTTAGACCAGTGAATGGGTAGGAACATGCCATGGTGATCAGAGGCTTAAATCAGGTGGGAGGAGACCGCCTCTTGCAGAAAACATCTCATTCATTCCTAGAACCAGTGGTTGTTTGCCTTACCATGTTCCAGGCCTTTAGTGAAATCAAATCCTCTCAGGGTCTCTAGCACATTAAGCTTCTATAAGCTCCTCTGTGCCTGCACGGTCCAAGGTGGGTGTTTCCTGAGCTACTTGGGGTTTAGAGGTGGCAAAAGTCGAATTCCAGTCCTCTATCTATAGTGTAGATGGATCTTCTGGGTCACCAGCTGTAACTTACTTTCCATTTCTATCTCTACTATATCAAAAGGGAAGCAGGGGAATTTTTGTTTTAAAAGCCAGATGACAAAAACAGACCTAGAAGTTTGGTTTTCTATCTCAAATCCTACAACTAGGTCTTTGTTTCCTCATCTGTCAGAACAGAAGCATTCTCTATTTTGGAGAGACTTGGTGGGTCTCATCTCCAAAGCTGGAAGGGCCAACTACCTCAGCTCATGCAATCACCATGGAAGAATGATGCTGGTGATTCAACAAAACTTTTAGAAGCCTAAGATCTACTCAATTTGATCAACTCCTATGAACAACAGGTAGACATGGTTCCTGTCCTCATGGGGCTGCTCAGGCTAGAGGAGAGACAGCCACTGACCTACCCAACAGTCACAAAGGAAGGCTTGAAGCTTGGGAACACTGGAAAAGGAGCAACTAGTAAGCTTGGAAGGTCTGGGGAGGCGTCACTCAAAGCTGGGATCCAAGATAGGCAGGGTTTCAACAGAGCTGGGTGGGGGTGAGGCCACTCATTAGGGGAAAAGCATGAGCATGGCCTGTAGCTGTTGGCTGGGCCCATATCTGCCCCAGAGCTGAATCCATACACCTGGTTCAGTCAACCTTCCAGCACCCACATCCATATCTGTATGGCCCAGACCGGGCGGCATGACAGGGTCAGGACTTGGCTCTAAGTACAGGGCAGGGCAGGGGTGTGGAAGCAACACACACTCACTCAGCAATATATGGCTTCTGTTAACCTTTAAACAGTTTAAGGAACATCTTGAAATAGTAAAGATGTTCTTCAGGGTTACTACCTTAAAACACATGACCCTAGAAGGGCTGAAAAGAGGGCAAATTGCCTAGAGCAGGGATACCTTCAAATGTACTAATTGCTCCTCTGAAATACTTCCATACTCCAGCAGTGTGGCAGGCACAAGAAAATGGTCAGCACAGTGTGTGCTTTGCAGGAGCCATCAGCCTTCCTGGGGAGGAAGGAGGAGGCCACATGGAAGCAGGGCTGTAGAGCTGCAGGGGGTGCACGGCCCTGGAGTCTAGTTGGTGGGTGTCATACATGGGGTGCAGTTCCTGGAAGGATACTTTGAAAAAACATGAAGGCAGAGTTTGAACATGAAAAAATGGGAGAAAGTATCCCAGGTGAGGGTTGGTTTGAGCAAAGGTGGAATTTCTTTGCTGGCAAAAGGGCTGGGGATTTAGCTCAGTGGTTCCAGCGCCTGCCTCGCAAGCGCAAGGTCCCAAGTTTGATCCCTGGTACCAAAAAAGAAAAAAAAAAAAGTATTCTTTGCTGGCAAAGCAGTGAGCCTGGATTGAGGGAATGCAGGCAGTACAAGACAGACTTATTTTTATTTTTTGAGACAGGGTCTCATTGTGTAGTTCAGACTGGCCTCCAACTCACAGCAATCCTCCTGCCTTAGCCTCCAGAGAAATGACATTACAGGCATGTGCCACCATGCCCTGCATGAAGACAAACTTAGAAAGGGGTACTGAGGGTAGTTCCCAAGTGGTTGAGGAGGAGTTATCTATTCCTCTTGGACCTCAATGAGCTGATCTGTAAAGGACAGGGATAGGTGTGTGGTGTGCGTGTGTGGGTGTGTGCGTGTGTGTGTGTGATAGAGAGAGACAGAGAGAGAGACATGAGGACCTGCTCTTTTCTGGGGACTTGGATGCCCATGCCACAAACATGGTAGGCCTTCCCAGCAATACATGTGTCTTAGAAGAGCCCTCAATGGCAAAGGTGAGCCTCTCCTGGGGAGAAAATAAGCACGTGGGAGGAACAGAAGGAAAATGATAATGTGGGGGCTTCCTGGGGCTCCCCAAATAAAGAGGCTAACCCTGACTGGAGAGTTAGCTCTAAACCTCCTGGCTCTACCACTTCTTTGCAAAGTGCCTTACAATCTCTCTGGGTCTTGGTTTCCTGCTCTGAAAATGGGGAGCAGGATGAGCAGATAATGTGGAGGAGGTGTCTGCCAATCACACACTTAGCCTGGTCTGTGGCTTCCTCTCTGGCCAGGTCCCTGTGATCCAGCCTCTTCTCCAAAGGTCTGAATGTGATCTGATCCCAGCGCATGTTCTGGGTTTCCTCCACTTCACCCAGGTGATCCCTGTGAACAGGCCACATGTTCCCAGGGGGTGGTGGGTACAGGTGTCCCCAATTCCCTTACCCTTGCTTCAAGGTATCCCAGGGCCTTTCTGGGGAGAGGCAGTGGGAAGGAGTAGAGGAATCACTGGTCTCTGGCCCAGTCCAACCTTCTCACTCACTCAAACAAAGACACTTTCTATTTCTGGGCCTCAGTGTCTTTGCTGCTAAGTGGAGCTAAGAACTTCTATCTGATCTTCTTTTTTTTGGTACCGGAGATCGAACTCAGGACCCCGCACTTGTGAGGCAGGCGGCGGAACCACTGAGCTAAATCTCCAGCCCGGTCTGGTCTTCTTAATCAGGGCTACTGTGAGGGCCAAAGGTAATTCAGATATTAAGGCTCAGGCCAGGTAAAACATCTTGCAAAACACAGGGGCTACGCTGGAGCTGACATTGGCTGCAGACACCAGAGCAAAATGAAGCCTTGCTGTTCTCACTGTGGCAGGAAGGCCCGAAAAGTCCTGAGTAGAACTGGGATACAGCACCTCCCCAAGGTGTGCTCAGTGCTAGGCCAGGCCAAGCTCTCCCCACTCCACTGTTTTCCCCTTTTCTCCCCACAGTGAGCCTCTGGCCTGGGATTAGGGCTGATGTTTTATTTTTTTCCAAAGTAGTTCCCTTAAGTGATGGAAACACTGACTCAGGAGCTGCAAACAAATCTCAAGAGCCGAAAACTGAAAGTAAACAGTGCCTTGTGGACTGCTGCCTCAGACAGAGTGAGGACTCAACACAGCTGCTTGCCTCAGTTGCCTTTCACCCCCTTGGTTGTCTGCCTTCCCATGGGCCTGATCCCAGGGTCCTCTCCTCCTGCAGTGACGAGGCCGTCCTTGGTGCTAAATGCAGCAGCAAGCTTAGCAGCCATAGCTAGAAGCAGGGGCGAAGTAGGGACAAGACACTTTGAATATAGCTGGGTATGGTAGCACAGGCTCATGAACCTAACTACTCTGGAGGCTGAGGCAGGAGGATCATAAATTCAAGGCCAGCCTGAGCAATTTAATGAATCACTCTCTCAAAAGAGAAAAATTGGGGCAGGGATTTAGCTCAGTGGTTTTGCTCCCTGCCTTGAAAGTACAAGGTCCCCAGTTCGATCCCCCATACCAAAAACACCAAAAAAAGTTAGGAAAGTAGCTCAGCACTCCCTGGGCTCAATCCTCAGTATTGCAAAAGAAACAAAACCAAAATACAACAAAAAAAACTTTAACCAGAAGGTGTGTCTCTTTTCACTGATAAAGTAGGATGAAAGTCTGATTAGAGTAGAAGCTCACCTAGGCTGTAGTACAGAGAATGGATAGTAGAAAAATGTGGCTGTGAGTAAAACTAGTTAGACATAGTCCTTCGGGAGATAGCTAGGGCTGGGTAAGGGAATACTGAGAAGTGAGTGGATTCATATTTGGGGGTAGAATTAAGAGGCCTTGGTAATGGGTTGGCTACGGGTTGTGAAGTCTGAGGAGGAGTGAAAGATGATAGTTATGCTCTTGCAGGATTAACCACATGGATGATGGTTGAATTCCTGCAATAAGAAATGCAGGTGGTAGAGGCAGTAAGCAAAGTTTAAGTTTTGGACATAATCAATTGCTTGTATTCAGGTGAGGCAGAGTGATGTCTATGTCTCATCAGAAAAATGGAACATAACAAGAAAACACAATTTAGAATTCTATAGCCAGTGAGGGAATTTTTTAAAAGTGAAGGCAAAATAGATATTTTCAGACAATTAAGCTGAGAGAATCAATTACCAGTAGATCTACACTCTGTGAAATGGTCCAAAGTAGAAATCAAGTTGTGAAGAAGGAATGGAAAACATTAGAAATAGTAAGTATGTGAATAAATACAAGAGACTACTTTTCTGTCTTAAATTTTTCAAAGTGAGGCCATTTTTAAGACCATAAGGGATCCCAAACTCTGAGATTACAGTGATGCTGCCAAATATAATTGACAACGAAATCTCCAATCAACTGTTAAGTGTAAAGAAGTCAAAGTTCTGACTTATCCCATGGTAACTATTTCAATGCTTTAAAAACATCTAATTCTTGAAAACATTTTTCTCTTACTTTTTTGGAGACTTTGTTTTCTAGTGTCAAACTAGTTAACAGAGATAGTCTCTGAAGAATAATCTTATTTGAGAATAAGTAGGAAGCACTGCAATGTGGGGCACATGTACCTTGGAAACCATGAGCATATTACAAGGGGATGGGGTAGAAGGAAACTTTTAGAGGCAAAATGAGGACAACGACAAAAGTTGTTTTGCAACAACAATCCTTGGCCACAAGGATCAATAACAAGGGTGGCACCAGACAGATGTCCTCGTGGAAGTATTTTTTGAGTAAGGCTGTAGTGATTTCTCTTCATCCAGACTTCACTTACCTGCCACAGTCCCCTGAAGATGTACCTCCTATTGCAGAGTCCCCCACTGGTACCTTCCTTTGCTTAGCTGGAGCTCCCAGAGTACTTGGAAATGCATTTCTTAGCTAACTCTTGCTTTTATGCTCCTGTGCTGTTTTTTCCCCCCAAGCATGTCAGTTTTAGCCAACAGTGCTCTGCTCTCACACAGCTGATCTTTCCTGAGCTCCCTGCCCAAGAATATACTCAGTGGAAGTGCAAGGAGTGACTGCTGTTGGAGTCTTTCTAGGAAGATGGTCCAGGGCAGCTCTGCACTGTGTAGATCCTTTTAGGGAAACAGAATGACCCTACATTGGCTGTTTTCTTACCTGATCTGCTGTGGCTGGTGGTGGCACAGCTGTAGAGAGTGAGAGCATCCGTAGGGAGGCCTCCAGCTGCTGGGGAGGCAAAAAGAAGTTGGGTACAACAATGGGCTCCGGGCTGTAATGGTAGTTAAGGGACAAAGACACCTAGAAGTCTACCCCATTGTCAGACCAGCATCTCCACTGACCTCAGTCACACCATTTATGTTTTCCTCCTCTTATTGGCAGAGGCTGTGCACTCCTAACAAGTCACAGTCTGTGCTTTATGCATCAGTTTAAATCTCACCTTTTCCAGGAAGCCTTCTCCTAATTTTAGCCCACAGTGAACCCTCCTTCCTCATATTTGAGAGCCGTCTACTACACAGGAGAATGCTTAGTATGTCGTGACTGTCAACTAGTATGTCCCTCAATATTCCTTATGTTTCTCAGTGGTAGGGAGTGTGGTTTCCTTCAGGTACCTCCCTCAATCCTGGAATAAGGCTGGTAGGCATCAGGGGCTGCATGATCCTTGCAGAGGGCCCACTGGTGAAAAGCTGAGTTGTTAAGAGGTGAGAGACAGGGAGCAGGTGGGAAGGTCACTCCAGGGGCAGTGCCTTACACAGGACAGAGGTGCCTGGCCTTGAAGGAGGGTCTGTCTGCCTGACTGTTCTCTGATCACATTCAGAAATTAAGGGGCTGTCTGAAGGGCACAGGTGGCCCAACCAACTGGTTTTCTATTTTATCATTGCTCTTCTATGCCTGACCCTGAACTCCAAGAGGGCAGAGATGATCTTTTTTTAGCCTTATTCCTGTCACTTAGCATGGTGTCTGAGGTAGAGCTATTGACTTGGATGAAATGCATTCATGTCCAATTTTGGTTCAAGTCCCTGATTTTTTTGAGACAGGGTCTCACTATGCAGTTCTTGGACTATGTATCCCCGGCTGGCCTTGAACTTGTGGCAACTCGCATGCCTCAACCTCCCAAGTGCTGGGATTATAGGCATGTACCACCACGCCTGGCTTTTAGTGCCTGATTTTTCTGTAGAGAGCTGGGGGTGGAGTGGAGGGTCTGAAGGGAAAGAGTACTTTGACTCAAACTTTCTGCACAAGCACAGTTGAGGCAGGGCCTTTTGCTGGTGCTGTTCTGATTGCTGGGCCTCTGGCAGTCAGCTGATGCTGTGGGGGAAGGACCAGCATTGCTGGGAAGTGCCATGGAACCTCCCCTCAGCCTGTTGCCTCCTGACTGTTTTCAGTCCTGTACCAACAGAACAACTCTCCAACTTTTTTCTCTTTAATGAAAATGTACAACTTTTCCATTTTTCCTAAACCCCAATTCTGCCCTCTCCCTAAAACCCACTGTGCCCAACCTCAGATTCACTTCTAGTTATAACACTTGGCTGTCCTGTACCAGCTGGGTAACTTCAGGAAGCTTTTGGTGCCTCAATTCTTTTCATCTTTAAAACAGATATAATAGTACCTACAGTTTGGAGGGTTGAGTTGATATAGGTAAGGTGCTTAGAATGGTGGCTGATACAGTGAACACTTAACAAACAGCAGCTACTCTTGTCTCCCTAGCTTATGGGCAAAGCACCCTGTTCTGGCTATCTTCACCAACAGACCCCTTACCCACCCAGGTCTGATCTGTTCCCACCACTGCAGGGTCCCCCTTAATGCTCAAGCCAGGAGACGCATGCCAGTCTACCTTCTTCTGGACCCATCCTCACTTCAGAGTGCCAGCCACACCTGAAATTCCCGGCAGCCTCTGCTGAACTCCATGTCCTCAGTGTTTCTCTGCTTGGCTCAGCTACTGTGTGGCTCTGCTTTGCTCTACCTGCCTCTTACATACTAGTGACCCTCAGGGCTCCGTCTGTGTGTTCTACCTTTCCCTGGTCTTCCTGCTGCCCTCATCAATTTCTTTCAATTTCTAGAGACGTTCACCTTTATATCCAATCCCATGCCAGAATGCCAGGCCTTATCTTCTCCTGGATGTCCTGTAGGCATTTGTCTAAAATAGAAATCAGCATCTTCCCCCAAACCCATCTCTTTATGTGCTGTTCCCTATCTGGTAAATGACAACACCAGGATAGTAACTTGTGACAGAAATTTCTAAATTATACTTTGTATTTCTCTCCTTCTCATCCCCTGCCCTTCCTCCTCATACAGAACTCTGAGCTTTAGGTCAGACTTTCTCCATCTCTTGTTAGTGCATGTTCCTTGGGTGGTCTTGCTTCCAGTCTCCCTGTTCTAATCTGCTTCTACAAGGACATGGGTGACCTAATGTATAAATCTGACCACATCATACTCTTTTTTTTTGGTACTGGGGATTGAACTCGGGACCTTGCATTTACAAGGCAGGCGCCGGAACCACTGAGCTAAATCCCCAGCCCAACATCATACTCTTAACAGATAACATTTGCCAAACACTGTGTACCAGGAACTGGGCTAGGTAGTTTGCATTATTAATTTTTGCAACCCTATAAGTACTTTTGCTTCCATCTTATAGATGGAGAAACTGATGTTTGCTTGTAGGATAGAGCCTAGGGATCTTGGCCGGGTCTAAAAAGCTAAGATCCAGAGCCTGTATCCTCTCTCACCATTTTACTTAGCCCTGGGCTCCAGCAGCAGTAAATTGGTGCTCACGGGCCAGGCTCTTTTGCCTGGCCAGCCCCCTGCACACCGAGTTTGCCCTGGCTAGAACTACCCTTGGCTCTGCCTACATAATGCCTGTTTATCTTGAAGGTGTAGTTCTCAAGTCTTTCTTACTGGGGTAATTCCAAGTAGAGTTATGGCAGCTTCCTACCATTGCTCCCATTCTTACCGTAGGACTTAGAACAATAAACTGTAACTACCTGTTTACTTGATTGGCTCCTACCAGGTAACAGGAACTTGAGGTAAAGTCTGATTCAGATCTGTTCTTAGTACTGAGCATAAAGCCTGGCTATATTTATTTTCTGAAAGAATAGTTAGGAAGGCCTAACTCTAGGGGCCTGGGCACATGTGGCAGTCCCTATTTTGAAAACAACTAAACTGATTCTGAGGGCAGCAACATCAGGAAGCAGGATGAGCGAAGCCAGGGAAGAGTTTCACCAGAGGTCATCTGTTTTGAATCCTCAGCCCCAGGCTACCTACATGTAACGCTTTTTCCTGAGCTTATTCTCTCATACTTCTTTTCTCTGACCTGTATCAGGAGTCACATCTGTGTGATGTATATAAATTTTTTTACCCATTTGATTTTCTCAATATTTTTGTGAAACTGAGATTGTTCAGTTTAATTTGTATTTACTGACTCCTACTCTGTGCAATGCCAGGTGAAGGGAACACAAAAAGATAAGGTTGCTGTTTTGGGGAACTGAGAGTCTCATGGGTAAGGAATTACTGCTTCAATCTTACATGAGAAGAAACAGGCTCAGAAAACCTAAGTCTGAAGTCACATAAATGAGATATTGGATCTAGAAGAGTTAAAGGTGGGTCCCCACTAGCATCCAGTGGAGGACATTCTTGAGTCAGTAAAGCGGCTCGCTTCACCTAACAGCCACAAGATCCCTCTTGCTTGTGGGAACACCCCGTGAGCTGTCTGGATCAGCTGGGCAGTACAGATGTGAAGATCCTATGGTCCCTAGTAGTGTCCTTTTCCTATAACATGCCAGTCTGTGTTTCAAAGGAGGGAAAGGGGAATGTCAGAGGCCCTTTCTTCCCACCAACAGTACCATTCTGGAGGTCAGGAAAATCCATCTCAAGGCTGCCCACTTCTTGGCTTCATCACTTGTTTTTAAAAATTATTATTTTTTGCGCTAGGGATTGAACCCAGGTCTTCATACTGAGCTATATTCCCAGCCTCCTCCCTCAAATTCTTTAAATTTATTCAGTTTTTGTTTGTTTGTTGAGACAGGGTCTAGCTATGTAGTTCAGGCAGGTCTTGAACTCACTATGGAGCCCAGGCTGGCCTTGAACTTGCAAAGATCTTCAGATTACAGGCATGCAACTCCATGCCTGGCTTTTTTTTTTTTTTTTGAGATACGGTCTCACTAAATTACTAAATTACTCAGGCCAGGCATGCAGCAGCACACAGGCAGAACCTTTCGAAATCCCCCTGTGGACATTAATCTTACCTTTCCCTAAACCCTGGCGGGTCTCTCTCTACCACACCCTGGCAGATGCTGGCCCTACTCCCCTGCTAGGACAGGCCTCTGGCCCACCTCCTCCCCAGCTGTCTCTGGCTGACTCCTACTCATCCCCATCAACATACCTTCCCCAGCCTCGAAATCTGCAGCTCCCTCCATCTCCCTCACCAGCCTCTGTACCATCTTTTGCCTCTCTCTGGACTTGTACACCCTTCTTGATATTCCCATTGCCCTCCAGGTACCCATCACTTGTTTTTTTTTTAAAAATTTGTCTTAGGAAAGTCACTATAATGCTAAGCCTCAGTTTCCTTACATGCAAAATAAATGATACCTCCTTGAAAGACTTGTGATGACTACATGAAAAGTGTGAAGTGCATGGAACATAGTAAATGCTCCATCAATGCTAGTGCTCTTCTTTCTCCCTCTGTCTATACTTTTATTTTCTCTTTTTTTTGGGGGGTGGGGTACTGTGGACTGAACTCAGGATTCCACCACTGAGCTACAGCCTCATCCACTTTTTTTTTTTTGACACAGGGTCTTATCTTGCTATTCCATGTAGCCTAGGCTGGCCTCCAACTCCTTGTGATCCTCCTGCCTCAGCCTCTCAAGGGCTGGGATTACAGGTGTGTACCTCCAAGCCCAGTCCCACCAACTGTTGTTTTTTGAGACAGGATCTTGCTAAATTGCCCAGGTTGGCCCCAAATCTGCAATCTTCCCACTTCAGTTTCCCGAGTAGCTGGGATTACAAAGATGTGCCACTCTACCTGGCTTTGTTGTTGTTGTTGCTGTTGCCATGCTGAGGGTTGAACCCAGGGCCTCACACAAGCCTGACAAGTTCTCTACCACAGACTTTTACCCCCAGCCATACCTTCCACTTCTATTTTAACTGAAACCCCAAGCCTTGCTTCCACGTGGCAAACTACCCCCTAGATGAGTGATGGCAAACCTTTTAGAGACAAATGCCCAAATACAATCTAAAACCCACTTATTAATTGTAAAGTGCCAACACTGCAATTAAACCTGGATATTGAGGTTTTACATTAATTTACATTAATATCTTGTCTTAAAAGAAAAATAACACATATGCCACAGGTTCGCCACCACTGCTCTAGATGAATTGGATAAATCAGATAGACAAGCTTATGAATGTGCTACCAACACGTAAGCCTAGTTCAAAGTGTCCTACAGAGGGCTGGTGTCAACTAGACCTATAGCACCTATCATGTAGATGAGTGTTCTGAAGGAAGACTCCCCAAGTCCCACATAGATTCCATGAGGGTGGCCACTGCTCAAGCATTTGGCTAATCTAACATTAACATCCAAAATGCCTGAAGATGTCTTAAGGGGCCACTTGGGGGAAACATCAAAGGATACAGGAGGCTCTGCCTTGCAGATACCTCTGATTCAGTTGTCACCTGCTTCTGCCTGATGTTAGGGGGCTCCCTGGGTGGCTTTTTATGGTTTTCTCTTTTTCTTTGGGAGGCCAGATGTTGAGAGAATTTCTCAGTGCTATCAGCAGAGTCACTGAGCTCACTGGAGGCAGCTTCACTGTCAACCTGAGGTTCTGGCTTTGGCTTCTTGTCTTGATCAGCTCGTGATGAATTCCACCCAATAAAAGTATTGGCCCGCTGGATTCCCGAGTGTGGAAGGTGTGTGCTAGGCTTAGGGTTGGTTGAGGCAGGCTCTCCAACCCTGACCTTAGAGGCCCCACCCTCACAAGCAACAAGGCTAGGAGCACCCTGCCTAGGTAGGAGGGAGTTGACAGCCATTTTTGGGCTGGACAGAAAGGTACTTCTGCCCCTGAGCTTCTCTTTGGGTGAAGGTCCTGGAGAAAGAGAGGAGAGACCTCTCTGCTCCTCGTCAGGCTGAGGGCTGATGACCTCACTTGTGTCTGACATGAAACTGGACCAAGGGCTAGTTTTGTCTGTCACAGTGGTGATCTCATTTAGGGTCCTGGGCTCAATGATGTCTTCTTCATAGTCCTCATCACTGTAGGCAGGACCCGCCTCAGTTTCCTCACTGCTCTGCATTCTTTTAACAGGTACTGTGTGTCCCAGGGGCTCATGGAGCATTCCTCCTCCATTAGAAGTCTCCTCAAGAGCAGGAGGAGGTGGGGAATTTGTGCCCTCCTCTGCAGCTCTTGCCAGTGGCACATCTGGAGTTGTGCTCCGTTCTTGCATGGCCTCTGTATCCTGAGCATCTGGGAGGGTGGTGACCTCTTGGCTTCTACTCCTTGCTTGATGAGAAGTCAAAGCTGCTTGAGAATTCCTGGTGATTGTCTGGAGATCTGAACAGCAACAGATATCATTCTTACTAAAAGCCAGGGCCACAGACCACTCAAGGTTTCCACACTGGTCTCTCTAGCAATCAGACTTTGAACAAACAGTTATTTCACTTGAGTCAGTGAAACTATATTCAGGGAAGTACAATTTCTTTTACTTTATTCTAACAGCAGAGGACCAAAATCTAATCTATTAATAGCTGTGGATGCATCTGTGGAAATACTCTCAGAGACTATATGCTCATGCTCAGGAATTCTTGGGAGCTGAGAGTCCTGGTGGGCATTTTCATGCTGCCATTTACTTCAGTAATTACCTATATTAAAAACCAAAACGAGAGTCCACTTATTTACCTATTTGATGACAGTTATTAAAGCTATTTTACTTGGAAAGTAAAATAATAAAATATGTACCACCAGCAAGGTGTGTTGGAAAGGGCACATACGTTGGCACTAGTCAGTCTTAGTTTCAAATCTCTACTGTCACTTGTGAATTTCATAGTCATGACTTACCTTCCCTCTCTAAGCCTTTTTTTGGGGGCAGTACTGGGGAATGAACCCAGAGCCTAAGCTTGCTAGGCAAGTGTTCTACCACTGACCTATACTCCCAGCCCTTTTATTTTTCATTTTTTTGGTACTGGGGATCAAACTCAGGACCTTGTGCTTTCGAGGCAGGCACAATGCCATTGAGCTAAATTCCTGACCCTCCCAGCCCTTTTAAAAATTTTGTTTGAGACAGGATCTCACTAAGATGCCCAGGTTGGCCTTGAGCTTGCAGTCCTCCTGCCTCAGATCCCAACTAGTTGGTATTATGGAGTTCAGCATTAACTTTTTTATCTATAAAGTGTGATTAACATCACCCATTCTGAAGAAAGTGTTCAAATGGGAAGGGGAATGAGGGAGGAGGGTGGGAGAAAGGAAGGAAGGGACATGAAAAAAAATGAAAAGAGAAGGAAAAAATAGAAACAAAGCTTTTGTACATAGGGAGGGAAGGGGGTTTAGGGGGAAATGGGATAAAATAAAATAAAATAAAATATTTAAAAAATCACCCATTGTATAGGTTGCAGTACAGAATATGTGAGACAAATGGGAATAATTACGTGGTGTATGTACAGACACTTAATAAACAGAGGTTACTAGCCATCTCAAATAATTTTTTGGATGAAATTGGACTGAATAAATTAGCAAGCAATCTGGACATGGTGGCACATGCCTGTAGTCCTAACTACTCAAGAAGCTGAGGCAGGAGGATTGAGTCGAGGAGTTTGGGGCCAGCCCAGGTAACACAGTGAGATCTTGTCTCTTTTTAAAAAATTAGTATATGTTTGCAATGTATACTATTTATTCTCATCTTGGTGAATTAATACATATACATATCACATCTTGATCATTTTACTTTACCTTCCCCCCAACCTGCCCTTCTCCGTCCTCCTTTGCCCAGATCTCATCTCCACAAAGTCTACCTCCTGTTTCTTACCATCTCTTTTTTCACTCTTTATTTATATTTTAGGGTTTCTCATATAAGAGAAATCATGAGATATTTATCCTTCTATATCTGATTTATTTCATATTTTACTTAATGCTAAGAGATCCTGTCTCATAAATAGCAAATGACATGTTTGCATGTTTTTTTTTTTTTTTTTTTTGAGACAGAGTTTTGCTATGTAGATCAGGCTATTTTCAAACTTGCTATGTAGGGCCAGCGATTTAGCTCAGTGGTTCCGCCGCCTGCCTTGCAAGCAGAAGGACAGGAGTTCGATCCCTGGTACCAAAAAAAACCAAAAACCAAAAAACAAACAAACTTGCTGTGTAGTTGAGGCTAGTCTCGAACTTGCAGTCTTCCCTTGCATGCACTACTGCATCTAGTTGTTTACAAGATTCTTGAGAGGAAAAAATTTCAGTAGAGGTAAATTTGACTCATGGGGGTAAGGGGCCATCCCTCCTTCACCTAACAGAGGGCTCAGCCTACAGGATGTACTAGCTATTTAATATACTGAGGATGTTTAAGACTCAAAGGAGAGTGAGTAGATATATGAAAACAGAATATTTCTACTAAAAACAAGAATAGGCACCAGGAAGCAGGTTTAGTTGATCCTGGTTCTCTGGCCTGAACTATCATTTTTGTCTTGGGACAGTTCTTGCTTTGTTTTGTTTTGAGACAGGGTCTTGCTACATAGCCCACGCTGGCCTTAAACACATGATCTTTCTGCCTCAGCCTTCTGAGTTATGGCATTACAGGTATGCACTACCATGCCCAGCTTAGTCTTCTTCTTTTTTTTTTTTTGTACCAGGGATTGAACTCAGAACCTTGCACTTGCAAGGCAGGTGTGGTGCCACTGAGCTAAATCCCCAGCTCCAGTCTTCCTGCTTTTTATAAACCATCCCATCCTTTAGGGCCCTATTCTAATGATGGCGAACCTTTTAGAGCTTTCAATGATAACAAACAGCCCGCTGTGGCACGTGTGCCATAGGCTTGCTACCACTGTCCTATTCTATTGCATCTCCTTCAAGAAGCCTCCCTGGGCAGTATTACACTATAAGGAAGCACTTAAGAACATGCTACTGTGTAGTGGTCTGTACGTCTAACTTATGTTGTGTCTCTAGGGACTATCAGAGGTTCTGGCACACAAATGTGGCATAAATAAAATCCCACTCAGTGACTCTTAAATTTTACCCATATCCACCTATATATCTAAGAATTTCTTCAAAAAAGTCTAGGAGCTGGATGTGGTGGTACACACCTATAATCCCAGCACTTGGGAGGCTGAGGCAGGAGGATCGCTGTGAATTTGAGGCCAGCCTGGGGTACACAGTGAGTTTAAGGCCAGCCTGAACTACATAGCTGTCTAAAAAAAAAAAAAAAATTAATAAATAAATAAAAAGGTTTACAAGGCATGATGGAGTAGAGGTGGGTTGTTATTAATTTTCTTTTAACCTGGTTCCCCTGATTTAAACATCTCATTTCAGATTCATCCTGTCCTTGTGAAAATCAGCTCTCATTCTGCCATCCCTTTGCTGAGAACTCCCCCTGCTCCCTCACTTCCTTCTGTGGTGTGGGGGACTGAACTCAGGACCTTACATGCATGTACACCCTCAGTTCCCCCATTTTCTTTTGGATAAGCATTAAACTTACAAGTTGGGCCTCAAGGGCTTCCAGCTTTAATCCTTCAATTCTCTTCTCTGACTTCTTTTAATATATCCCTTTAAAGTGGTTCCCTTATTTGCTTCCATCTCTTTCTCAAACAAGCCTTCCTTCTGTTTTGCTCTCATGCTTTCTTTCTTGGGAGAACTATCTTTGCCTATCATGGTACGTCCCCCCGCTCCCACCTTTAAACAGAAAATTGAATTCACTCATCCCAATGTAGAATCTATGTTTTCTTTGAGCAAAAATGATGCCAAGTGAATCCTTCCTAAAGCTTGCCTGATAAAGATTTCCAGGTCTTAACCCTGGATCCTGACTCAAAATGATGGCACAAGACCTGAGAATCTGCATTTCAAAATAAGCGCCCCAGTAATTCTTATGTTCAGGCAAGTTTGGGAAACAGTCGCTCTGGAGGTCTCAGTCTTGGCCACACACTAGAATTACTGAGGGGTGTGTGTTAATAAACAACACCGATGTGTGGGTTCCAGCCTCAGAGATTCTGTTGCCCTGTGGTGCAGCCAGGGCAGATGGATTTTTATAACCCTCTTGATAATTCCAACCTGCAGCCAAAGTGAGAATCACTTTTCTGAGGGGTTTTTCAAAAGGTGGACTATGAACTCCCAACATCCAGAACCAGCTAGGGTGCTTACTAAGATACAGATTTCTGGGTTTTGAAACTTAGAATTTAACCAGTTTGTAGTTGATTTTTCTGAAAAATTATTGGCACAGGTTTAAGAACTGGTAGAAACAACTCATCTAACCCACTCTTCTCTTTTTTTTGGTTGGGGAAACAAAAGCTCAAGAAGTGAAAAGAGATGCTCAGGGTCATACAGCAAGTCTATCCAGAAACCTACCAAGGCCCTGCATCTTCTGCCTGTAGTTCAATGCTCTTTCCACTGCTGCATGCTCCTGTGCCATACCAATATGTCTCTTTTTAGTATATGTGCTGCCGAAGCGAGCACAATATGTCTCTTTTTAAAAAAGGAAGATAGGTCAGGTGTGGTGGTGTGTGCCTGCAATCCCAGCACTTGGGAGGCTGAGGCAGGAGGATCACTGTGAGTTTGAGACCAGCCTGGGCAACACAGTGAGTTGAAGGCCAGCCTGAAGTACAAAGCAAGGGCTGGGGATGTAGCTCAGTGGTTCCATGCCTGCCCAGCAAGCTCAAGGTCCTGAGTTCAATTTCCGGTACCAAAAAAACCAAAACAAAACAAAAAAAGACTATATAGTGAGACCCTGTCTCAAAAAACGAAAGATGTGAAAACTGTTGATCAATCTGTTAGAGAGGCTTACCTGAAGCAGACACAAATGAGCCATACCTGAAATTAAGGAGCTGATTTGCAACACCAGGTTACTGGATTTCTCCAGAATGCACTGGTTCTGAGGGTCTAGGCTGCTGACTCCTGGCCCAGACTGGTCCCTGTGGTTCTCCTGGCACTGAAAGATGGCAGTATTAGTGTGAGGGCTGAGAGGCAGGAAAGGCTTGGTGAGCTTTTGGCTGAAATACTGCTGGATCTCATCTAGCTCACTCAGATTCTTCCTGGAAAAAAAAAGCGGGGAGGGAGATAACAAAAGGGTCATTCATGGAGAGCACAAGAATTCACAAGACTCTTTTGTGTAACACTTGAGCCAGAACCTTAAAACCTCTCACTTGGTCTATTTTGGCGTAAAAAATTTTATTGGTACATTTTAGATATACCTAATGATAACATTCATCATAGGGAATTTGTACCTGTAGATAATGTATTTCTTGCTTCTTCCTTTTTGCCCATTCCTTTTCCCTCCCTTCAACCTCTCTTCCTGTCCTTGTTTGTTTTTGGTACTGGGAATCACCTGTGCTTTCGAGGCAGGTGCTGGAACCACTGAGCTAAATCCCCGGCTCTTCCTGTCCTTATTTACAAAACCTTTGTTTCTATTTTTTTCTTCTATTCTCTTTTTTTCCCCTGTTCTTCTTTCCCCCTCTTCCCCCTCTCTTGTTCCCCTTCTCATTTGAACATTTCTTCCCATTTTCCAATGTCTATTATACATTTTGGTCCTTATTTCCACTTTTGGTTCCTCACACCAGAGAAGCAATATGGTATTTACACGTGTGTCCGACTTATTTCACTAAGAGTATGGTCTCAAGGTGCATCCACTTAGCTAGAACTGTCTCAAGCTTAGTCACTTGGTCTATTTATAGAGCTCTTTCTCTCCAACCTACCATTCATCCTTTACCTCTCTGACTACAATTCTGTGCCAACAGCAATTTTGTCCCCTCCCTGCCTAATGTGGTTCCTCTTCTAATGTCTAGCAAAAAAGCAACCTTTTTATAAGGAATCATTCTTGACTACCCTTGAAGTCCTCACTTCTTACTCTCACAGAATAAAAGCCCTAATCCAAAGTAACACTGTCCTTTGCTAACCATTCCCAATTCTTCTAGCAAGACCTCTTCTAACCAGCCCTCCCTGATCCTCTAAATTGGTTCAGGGAGCCAGGAATGGTGGTGCATGCCTACAATCCCAGCACTTGGGAGGCTGAGGCAGGAGGATCACCCCAAGTTTGAGGCCAGCCTGGGCTACATAGTGAATTCAAGGGCAGTCTGAACTACATAGTGAGACTTTGCCTGAAGAAGAAAAAAAACTGGTCAGGGATTCCACCTGTGGCTCCACAGTTCTTTCTGTACTCTTCAATTGCATAACTTTTTTATTTCATATAAATTTCCCCTCGTTTACTATGATCTCTATGATGTTCTAGCATAGTGCTCAGCACAAAATAAATGAATGCTGATTGCATAAGTGGACATGAATAAGTGCCCTTATTTTTAAAAAAAATTTTAAAAAGTTAAAAATTTGTTCTAAATAAGTGCTTTTAAAGATCTTCAATGGAGCTGCATATATTTTCACCACTCTCCAATGAGAAGTTACACTAACTTTCAGCTGGATAGGATTGTTTTCAAATATATTTTCCTGTTTAATTCTCAGCCAACCATTTGAGATCAGTAATTATTAAAAGAATTTGATGTTCAAAGAATTCAAGTGATTTGTCCAGGATAAGGACAATATATTCAGAAATTGCAGCTCCAAGTCTTGCACTTTTCCCCGTGATAACAGATGGGCTCTGTCCCAGGTGGGGCCACTCTTTCCTTACACTTCTGCTGATACTGATTCCTGAGTTCAAGCTACTCTCTGTCGTATCTGTTCTTTCCATTCATGTTTGTGCTCATTTTTCTCCTTTTCAAAGGTCATAAGCCCAGATCTTTTGGTCACCTCTCCCTTAAGTTTACTCCTTCACAGCATTTTTACCCCATATTGTCTTAGATTTCCCCTTAAGTTTTTCATTATTTCTTTTTCTTTTTCTTTTTTTGGTACCGGGGATTGAACTCGGGGAACCACTGAGCTAAATCCTGGGCCCTTCATTATTTCTTAATTTGGTTTCTCTAACTGGCCATAAACATCTGGGAATAGAAGATAATATTGTAAACATCTCTATTTTTCTAGTACATTTAATGTGTCTGGTACAAATAGCACAACACAGACACTAAATTCCTGTGAAGAGAACTGGAAGTCTTTTTGTCCTTTTGTCAGGAATGGTCTGTATGTCTTAGAATCAAATTCAAATAAAAGCAGAGAAAAGAGTTCATCTTCATTCTATCACCAGAGGTTCTATCAAGTAACACTTAATCATTTAAGTCTCTGTATTCTGATGTATGCCACGTGGACAAATAGTTCAGCAGGACCATGCAAGCAAATGTACACTTGTTGAAGCTTTACAAAATATGCAGGCCCACTGGTCTTGTCAGAGGTTCTAGGTGTAAAACCACAGCCCATCAACTGGCCCACACTAAACTAATTTTCTCTATAGTATAACAAGTTTATTAATACTTGTCCTGCAGGTCTCATAGGATTGCTGCAATTCAAGTGAAGCAAGTTTAAGGGCTCTCTGGTTTTTTTTTTGGTACCAAGGATCGAACTCAGGACCTTGTGCTTTCAAGGCAGGCGGTGGAACTACTGAGCTAAATCCCTGGCCCCTAGGGCTCTCTGTATCAAGAAAATAATGCAAGTTGTCTCATTTCCATTTGGTAGAAGATCCCTCCAGGGCTCTCAAAGCCTAATTCTAGAACTAGGGGCATCAGCATTACATGAGACTGTGTTAGAAATGCAAATTCCCAGTCCTCACCCTACACCTACTAAGTCAGGAATCAGTGTTCTGATAGGCCCTCCATGTGATTTTGATATATGAATTCTGAGAACCACCACTCTAGGACAGTGGTTTTAAACCACTGATGACTTTGCCCCCCAGGGGACATTAGGCAATGTCTGGACACTTTTGGTTGTCACAGCTGGGGGAAAGATGTTACTGGTATAGTGTATAGTGGCCAGGGATGCTAAACATCTTACAATACAACGGCCTTCACCACAAAACATAAAGGGTGTTGAGGTTGAGAGAAACTGCACTAAGGTGCAGGAGAGTTATCACCCCATCGAGGGGTCCAAATATATCAACGATCCAATAAAGTACAGCCAAACCATCAATGGTTTTACTTAAACAGCCTGCACCACTAGTATTTTTCCAGGCTAAGGTGAGAATTAGAACATGTTATTTCTTTGCAATGTAAGTTTAGGCACTTTCCCATAGCCCTATTACTTAATCCTTTTAAACATGTCTCAAGCAAAAATGATTTTGCTGATGAGACATAAGTTTTCTTTCCTAAATTTGCATTATGAAAGCAAAGGATAGGTTAATTTTTAACAAATATACAATCTTTTAATTTTTTTCTCACACTTTAAACACTTTCTTTCTTTCCTCCCCATCACTCTTCACTTGAGAATAATTGTTCTAAAAGTCAAACTCTTAGCTTTATATTTAAGGCCCTTTATGATCTGACCCCTTTGGAATTTGCCCTGCTCCTTGTATTATCAACTTTTTCCTATCTGCACTGGTGTTTCCCCAAATTTGACTTGTTTTATATCTCTGTCCCTTGGCAGTATTCTTTCTGCACAGAAGAATATCCTTCACATTTATTTATCTGTTCCTTTAAAGACCAGTTCAAATGTGACTTCTTCAAATTTTTCCATGTCTAACCCAGAATGTAACTGTCTACTCTTGGCCAGGAAACCTGCAGTTCTTACTACCCTGCATTATAATTATCTGACAGCATGGCTCTCTCTTCCACCGGGAATGGCAGAGCCAGGACTGGAGGTCAAGTCTAACTCTGAAACCAAGTCCTTTCCACTGCACCATACTTCTCCCTAGATAACCTTGAGGCTGATCTTGCTGATCTATAGCAGCACTTTCACTTCTCACAGTGGTTCTATGGCTCAGTGCTAACTAAACTAAGAAAGGGACAGGAGGTGTTAACAGGACAGATGCTGGTGTGGAAGAAGCAAGCCACTGGTTGTGAAGAAAAAGACAGTGGGCAGGATGAGGCTTTGGAAATTGTAAAGAGGCTAAGTAGATGTGAGGATGGTTATTAAGTTTTAGTGAACAAGCTAAAGTTTCTGTATTTATAAGTGGATTGGCAATAGAATTCCCCCAGGAAAGAGTGGATGGCTCTAAACTGAGAGAGATTCATCAATGAGGAATCCTATGAGGCTCCAAGGTCCAAGCCAGCAATGACATGCACAAGTGCCTTTAACTAAACCTCCTGAGCAGGAGTAGCTGATAAAAATGCAGCTTTACACATTGCCCATCCCCTACTGGTTTCCTGTGTCTTTTCTGAGCAGAAGGTCCTACCTTAGAGAAGTCAGAATGGAGGTGTTGGAAGACAAAGGTGACTTGGTGAGTTTGTTGTCACTTGTTGAGACTACCTCTCCCTGCTGCAGGGATTCATGAAATCGGCGGATGTTCTGCATATGCTCTTCATGACGTGATGCTGGGCTTCTTGTGGTACTACTTCTGTCATGAGAAAATGGGAGCAAAATAAATTCCCAGCCATTGGGAAAACTAAAATGGCACTCCAAACCTATTCCCACTATCACAGTTCTGGCTTCATCAACTCTTGCTTGGATTACAAATGTCTCCCAAATAATCTTGCCTTCGATTTTACCCACTCCAATTTTTTTTTTTTTGGTACTCGGGACCTCGCGCTTGCGAGGCAGGCAGCCCACTCCATTTTCTTCCATTCTCCACATTATAGTCTGAATGATTTCTCTAAAACATACACCTAAAATAACAACAATAATATACATGGAGCCCTTATTTTCATGCCAAACCTTGTTATGAGCCTTCAATATGTATTAATCTATTTCATCACCCTCATTCTTTTCTAGCTTTGGTACCAAAAAAAAATCTTTTATGTTGCAATCTGTATCAGTACTTCATTTCTTTTCATAGCTGCATAATATTCTATTGTATGGATATACCACATTTTATCTACTTGTCAGTTAACAGACATATGGGTTGTTTCTACTTTTTGGTTACTGAAATAACGCTCCTACAAACAAACAAAAATATGTATATACATTTCTGTGTGGACATATTTCTTTGGGTATATATCTAGGAGTAGAATTACCGGATCATATAGTTACTTTACCTTTAAACTTTTTTTTTTTTTGGTACCAGGGATTGAACTTGGGACCTTGAGCTTGCGAGACAGGTGACAGAAACATTGAGCTAAATCCCCAGCCCCTACCTTTAAACTTTTAAAGAATGGCCAACCCTTTTCCAAAGCAGTTGCACCATCTTACAATCTCATCAGTAATGTATGAGGGTTTCAATTTCTCCACATTCTTAACACTTGTGATATTTGTCATTTTAATTATAGTCACTCTAGTGGATGTGAAGTGGTATTCTCACTGTAATTTTGATTTGTATCTTTTTGTGGGCTTATTGGCTGTTTGTATATCTTCACAGAAATAGATTCAGATTCTTTGCCTATTTTAAAATTGGGTTATTTGCTCTTTTAAGTTTTTATTTGACAATTCTTGTGATCCTCTTGCCTCAGCCTCTTCAGTGCTAGGACTACAGGTATGCTGGGTCATCAATAATTTTTATTTTTATTTTTTTGGTACCAGGGATCGAACTTGGGTCCATGCGCCTGTGCAGCAGGCAGCGAAGCCACTGAATCAATAATTTTTAATAGTGTTAAAGAGTTCCAAAGTAAAAATGTTTCAGATCCACTGTTTTACTAAGATATAACTGATATGGAATAAACTTCATATACTTAAAGTATACAATTCGATGAATTTTAATAACTGTATATATCCAAGGAAACCATTATACCTCAAGATAATAAACATATCTATCATCTCCAAAAGTTTCTCCTTGCCTTTTATAATTCCAGCCTCCTTTGCTCTCTGTTTGTTTTGGTTCCGGGGATCGAACTCAGGACCTTGCACTTACGAGGCAGGTGCAGTGCCACTGAGCTAAATCCCTGGCCCATGAAAGAAGCAATCTTACTTTTAGGGTCTGTCATCTGACAAGAGGGAACATGCTCTAGCCCTGATATCCATCTGCATGTTCATGGCTGGATTCATGAAAAAGATGGTCCAACAGCTTTTTGCAAAGCAACCTGGCATATAGTTTTGGGAGAGGAAAGATAATATATTTCTCAAAAAAGGTTAAAGGGTTCTGAGGATAAGAGAAGAGTGGCCCTGGTACTGAAGTAATCCTTTTGATAGCAGTCAAAATTCTAGTTCCTATCTTATAAAATTTCATTTCCATAGATCTTAAGGTGAGAGATCAACAAAGTTCCTCGCCTGCCTGCAGTTTCTTCCTCTAACAAAGGAAAGAGAAATGATAAGCCAGTCCATAGACTTCTTCTCTTTGAGCCTATTTCTTCCTATTGAGAATTACTCACCTTCCAGGAGAGGAGAAATCAAGGTCCTTTGAAGAGGTGTGAGTAAGCTGGTCTTGAGTGTGTCTTGCAATACAGCTGGGGAACCCAGCATATATATCAGAGGCAGGGAAGGAAAAGGGACTGTACATTGGGATCTGTATAAGTAATAAAAAATGGTACATGAATTACCATAAACCTTTGTGGAACAAAGTATATACATAAATTTGTAAAATTTACTCAGTATAATACCGAGTACTTTGTGTACTCAGTGTGTATGTGTGTCTATAGGTTTTTGTTTTTGTTTTTTCACATAGGGGCTCACTATGTACAGACTGACTTTGAACTCACTATCTAGTCCAGGCTGGCCTTGAACTTGAAGTGATCTTTCTGCCTCAGCCTTCTGAATGCTGGGATTACAGGTGTGTAATATCACACCTGGCTCACTTTCTGTGTGTTGAACACTGCGCTAAGCAATTTATATTTTCTCATTTAAACTTTATGATGATCTTATGAAGTCAATAGTGCTGTTATCTTTATCTTACAGACTATATTATCCATTTCTTTTTAGTTGCTTTTCTATGTTTATGATTTTATTCCTCCAGCTAGTTTGTAAACTGGCTGAAGATCATCTTATGTTTAGTTTCCATGGGGCTACGACATTTCTTGTCTATGACTACTAGAGTTGAGCTGAAGAAAAGATCTTGCTATGTATAGGGATCAATAAACTCTTGGTCATTTTTTAATGCATTCATCCATTCAATATTGATATCCACTCTATGTCAGACACTGGATCCATGGATGTTTGAAAGAGGTGAATAAAGCAAATCTTTTGCCTCAGTAGAGTTGGGATAATGTGGAAAATTATTCTTTCTTTTATAGTTGAGTTCTTTGAAAGAGTTGTCTTTATTCACCATTGCTAATTCCTCTCTTCCCAGTCTTTTTGTTTTTTTATGAAAGATCAATGATTTTATTGTGACAGAATTTTTTAAAAAAAAACAATGGATATAGCTTCAGATTCTACGCTGCAACTAACCTTGTTTTATTTAAAAATGATATGTAATTCATGTATTATTACATTTACCCCTTAAAAATGTTTTATTCATGGTTTTCAGGATATTCACTGTTCTGCAACTACTATTATCTAATTCCAGAACTTTTTCATCACCCCCCAAAATTAAACAGATTGTTAGGAGACGCCAATCCATATATAATGTGTTCTGTAAGATCAAAAGTACCTCAAAATGTAAAGAATCTTTGTGCAGGTTTTGCTCAGCAGAACCCTTCTAAATTAGCACATACCAGTGATGCTTGGGTCTCCATCCCACGTCTTGCTTGCCTCTCTTCTTTGAAGTGTATCAAACTCTCCAGAGGGGAGATGGCAACTTTTATTTGCCCTTGGCACTCTCCACTGAAATCGGTAATGTTGTACCAGCCACAGATAAACTGGAAGCCAGAGAGCAGCGGGGAGAGATCCACTGAGGCAAAACCAATCACTCTCTCCTCATCTGTGGGGAAAGAGAAGAGCTGGGCAATGTGGCTGGACATATCCCGCACAGAGAAGCTGATTCAGGTGACTGGGGGAGTTTGGTGACTCCAAATCCATAACAGAAGATGATAATGAGTTTGAGAGAGCTACCAGTGGCTGCTAGAGTTCCCTTTCTGTATGTCAGGGAAGAGCTGGCAGGGTTGAACCCTGTCCTTTTGATACAGGCAACTAGTAAACATCCTTGAATTTAATAAACACTTGCTCTTATCCCTAGGTTTATGCCTCAGTTTCCCTCAGGGCAATAAATCTTAGGATACATTTGCATTTTCCTATTTATACTTGTCTGTTATTGGCAAATTTTCTAAGACATTCATGTACATTACATTTAATTAAGAACAAACTAACACAAATGAGAAAAGAAAACAAATAATCCCTTGGAATACCAGGACAGGGTACTATATTTACTATATTCCCTCTGACTACAGAATGTCCTACTCCTTCATATCCCAGGTAAGGTATGGTCTAGAAAGCTTTCTCTGATATTGTAAGTCTAGGTTAGATGTCATCTACCAGAATGCCCTGTACTGTTAATCATATTATAATGTAAGTATTTTGTGTCCCCCACTGGCTATAAGCTCTGCGAGGAGAGGACTATATCTGTTTTATATTACTTTTGTAACCCTGGCACTTAGTGACTGGCAGAGAGCATACTTTCTGTAATATGTGTGCTGAATCTGTGTGGAAAGGGTGGAGTTAAGAGGAAAAAGATATCTACATATACTGAGAGATAGAATTAGATGAATATTGGTTACCTTGGTCTAGGGATTTTTCTCACTTCTATTTAAAATAGCATCTTACAGGACCCCTTAGGGGTCTTGAATATAGGAAATGTATTTTGTTCTCTATACCCCCAAAATCCTAGCAAAACAGGAAAAAATAATAAAAATAGCTTTTTTTTTTGGTACCAGGGATCGAACTCGGATCCTTGCACTTGCAAGGCAGGCGGCAGAACCACTGAGCTAAATCCCCGGCCCTAAAAATAGCTTTATTAAGCAACAACTACGTGGCAAGTACTTTATATTATTTCTGATCCTCATAAAACCCTAGAAAGTCAAGTACTATTATCTTAATTTTATAAATAAGAAAAGAAATGTAAGAAGAGAGAGATAAAATTATCTACTTTACATCACACAGTAAACGGTAGTATAAAAAGATTTGACTCAGATCTCCCCAGGACCATAGCTTATTCCTTTTTTTTTTTTTTTCTGCAATTGAATTGAGATAAACTCTGGTCTGCTCAACAATTTCTATAGTAATTTAGATAAAAGAAAGCAAGAGGGGTGGGGATTTAGCTTAGTGGTGCCACCACCTGCCTTGAAGGCACAAGGTCCTGGGTTCCATCTCCAGTACACCCGCCCCCCGCCAAAGAAAGCAAGAGAGGAAAGAGAGCTCTTTTGTGAAGCTTAGCTAGATTATAGCAGGAATTCCTTGTGTTGATACATAGAAAATTGATTTCTGGTCAGTTCCTCTACATTGATCAGGTTGGTAGTGGGCAAAGCATGAAGGAACTAATCATCAGAGTAAGGTTCACACCAGCTTTCACAAACAGTGGCCCAGGCAGAAAGATAAGTCAACTTTCTTTATACTCTGATTACTCTCTGGGGATTTTTGGGCTTTGTAGTCAATAATGAAATAGCACTGGAAACAAAATATCACTCTGTAGGTGACTTAAAACCACCAAAGATTTCAAAACCAACCCCAGCAGGAAAAATAAAGAAGCTAAATTTACAGAGCAATTTAATGAGATGAAATTTATCAAGCTATGAACAACCGGATGTCCCCATCACCTCATATTTCTGGGTCATCTGATCTTGCTAGCACAGTGAAGTACAAGCAGTGAAGGCTGTACAGTCAGTCAAAACTGGGCTAAAATCATGGCTCCGTCAATTAAAAGGTCTACAACCTTTGTCAGGCCACTAAACTTCCTTATGTCTATATCTACAAAATCAGACTAATTCTATTTTTTAACATTACAGGATTAGAGCTGTTTATCAAGCTCTCAGCACAATGACATTCACTAATAAAAACAATAAAAATTGACAGAGTATTTATTGTCAGGCTTTTATTTATTTCTCTCAGAACCCTATGAGATAGGTATTGTTATTATCCCTACTTTATGGCTATGGAAACTGAAGCACAGAGAAGTTAAGTTGATCACTCAAGGTCACCTCACTACAGTAAGGGGCAGAAATGGCATTTGAATCTAAAGAATTTGGCTTTGGAGGCAATATTCTTAACATTGCTGGGTTATGCCTATTAACATGTTCCCGCCAGCTCGAACCAATGATGGTACATGTCATGACTGTCCCATCATGCTGCTAGGGCACTGGTGGTAGAAGCAGTACAATTATGCATGGGACAGTCATGCATGTACCACTGGTGCTTCAAGCTGCTTGGCAGCGAGACATATGAGTTACGGCCCCATCATGAATGCGTTAATAAATTGTAGTTAAGTAAAACTGGGTTCAATGATCATGATGTCAATACCTCCCTCTGACAGAGGTTCTTAAAACAAGGAAGGAGAGGGCCGGGGATTTAGCTCAGTGGTTCCGCTGCCTGCCTCACAAGTGCAAAGTCCCGAGTTCGATCCCCAGTACCCCCAAAAAAAGCACACACAAAAAAAACAAACAAAAAAGAAAACAAGGAAGGAGAACCTGTCAGACCTTGTCTTGTACCTGAAAATGCTGGGGACTTGCTTTAGAAGCTAGAGTAGGCAGAAGACCTAATATCAAAGTGTAGAAAAAACACTTGTGTGTGGCATGCTGTAGATTATGGTTACTGATAGATAAAATTCGAAGGGTACAAATATACTTGGATTTCTGCACTAAGCAGGCAAACAAAAGATCATTTCTAAGTACTTAAATTCTATAGGAGAACAATGAGGCTTTCTGTGGGATTTTTTACCACACATATGCATTCCTAGTACCATCAGTGCCATGGTTTCACGTAGTCAAAAAAAGAAAAAAAATTGACATATTATCAATAGGATGTGAGTTTATTTTTACAACCTGATAAATATTTGAACAACAAAGTTCATACCTCCTTTATGCCAGACTTTGAAGACCAGAGTTTGCTGTGGGTCCAGAAGAAGCTCTTTTGATAGCCTATTAAGATAGACAATTACCACAAATTAACTGTGTGGGAATCTTCTTTAGTATGAAACAAGATTTGAAGACACACTGTAGCTTACCAACATTACTTCACTTCATCTTCACAAAAACCATTCTACAACATACTTTTTATTTTTTGGTACTGGGGATCGAACTCGGGACCTTGAGCTTGCGAGGCAGGCAGCGGAACCACTGAGCTAAATCCCCAGCCCAACATACTTTTATCTTCACAGTCAACAGAAAGGGATGGCAGTTCAGAGGTGAAGTAATTTGCCAGGACCCCTGGTGAGGGCACTTCCCCTTGCCACTGTAGAATCTCCCATGTCCAGTCTCTGTTTCTCTAAAGACAGAGAAGGGAGCATAGGAAGGGAGTTTCTCAATATGCAACGACAGCTCGATTGGGGTGGGTAAGGATTCTTTTTATGCCTTCAGATAGGGGAATGGTGATAAGGGAGAAGGCAAAAAGAACATTTATTGAGTGACTACCTTGGGTCAGGGGTAGTGTCAAATGTCTCATGTATATTTGATCTGCACAAAAGCCTGCGATATGGGAATCATCACCCCTATTTTACAGATTATGGACCTAGTAGAATCAGAGATGTAAAGTGATTTGCTTAAGGTTACATAAGAGAAACTGGTGGGGCTGGGTTTTGACTCCTGGTTTGCCTGATTCCAATGCTACACAGTACAGAAGCAAGGCAACAAAATAAGAAAGTGCCCAGTTTTCCTAATAAAGAAGTTGAAGTGTAAATCACTGAGCACCTTGAATACATTCTGTAAGAAGCAAATTATGATTTTTCAATTACAAATTAAATTCTGTAAAGTTCTAAACCAGGTGCCAATCCTCCAGCTGAACAAAATGGAGATCCAGAGAAGACTGAAAGACTTAATTTTGTTTCCTAAACACCACTGGTGATCTTAAGAGAGCCTACTTCAAGATCAACAAGGGGAAGTAAAAATGCTAAGACGTGATAGGCAACAATACCTCAAGATGATTGTAATTATGATGTATTACAGACATATACTGATGAAAGTACATTGAAAAAAGCCAACACAATGGACCGTGCTAAACTGAAACAAACACAGTGTCAGCTGGGAGTCAAAAGATTCACCTTTAAATTCTAGCTCTACTATTAGTACTTGAGTTGACCCTGTGCATGCACTTAGTGTCTTGAAACCCTGGTCCTCCCACCTGTTATATGGGATAATGTTATCTACATACAAGGAGCCAGGAGGATCAGATGAAATAATTTTGTGATGAAAGAATTGTAAATGTACTACTATTCATTTTTCTTTTAACCCTGCCTTTGTTACCAGCGGACTACATAATTTCCCTAGATCACAGCTTCTTCAGCTGTAAAGGTTCTTTCACCAAATTCAAAAAGTTTTATAAATTACATTATGTTGTTTTTGTGATGAAAAATCATCTCTACTTTGAAGCTCAATAATCCCTGACTTCTGGACCAGGTCTTGATATTTTGGATAGCATTCCTTGGCCACCAGCACCAGAATTTCTGTAATTTCCAGTAGCTCACCATTAGGAATTATATTACAAGTTTTCACTCAGACCAGCCTTTCAAATTACACAACACTGAACATGTGAGCAATTGCTGAAACTTAACTAGGTACACAAACATAACTGTATGTGTATTGTGAGAAAATACCATATAGTATGGCTAGTGTTGGTGGGCAAGAATTAAACTTATAAGAGGTAACGCAGTGTAATAACATTAACTATAGTTAGTATTAAGAGCTATATTTTAAATGATGACCAATAACTGAAGAAAAGGAGGACCAACCTTGCATGCCAGTTCTGTGCCATCTCTGCCAGCTCCCTTTTTCTGAGTGGCACTGCAACTTGATTAATAGGATTCTACCTCCTATATTTTAGTCCTCCAAAGGACAGCTGACATTTATATGATGGATATATACTAGGTACGATGAAGCAATTTTCCTAAATTTCATCTCATTTGTACCTATAAAATTATCCCTACTTTATAAATGAGGAATCCAAGCCTTGGAGATATTATTATATAATTTGCTTACATAGCTAATAAAAAGCAGAGATGAGGGCCAGAGATTTAGCTCAGTGGTTCCAGCGCCTGCCTCGCAAGTGCAAGGTCCCGAGTTCGATCCCTGGTACCAAAAAAAACCAAACAAAAAACCCCCAAAAAACCAGAGATGAGATTGGAGGCCAAGTCTTTCTGGTTCAAAGAATAGTCTCTTTCTACTGTACCAGAAGTCTTTTCCAAGGATATATAATCCATAGCCTTTCCTGAGATTAGTCCTCTCTGCCTGGAATACTCTCCCCACTCTTTTTCATTCTTCAGTATTGAGCAGAGGTGACTGTCTTATCGATGAAGCTTATCCTGAACTTCCAGGTTGGTCTAACTAACCCATTTCTTTGAGCTCCACTAGCATCCTTTTTATTTTTTACATACTTGTCATTCTTGATTGTATCCTAATTTTTATTTGTGTTTCTTTCCAAGTAGATCATTAACTCCTCAATAGTAGAAAGTGTTCTGATTTTTTTCGGTTTTTTTGTATTGGGAATTGAATTTAGGGGCACTCTACTACCAAGCAAATCCCTACTCCTTTACTAGTCCATTAAAAATATTTTTATTTTGAGATGGGGGCTTGCTAATTTGCCTAGCCTGATCTTGAACTTGGGATCCTCCTGCCTCAGCCTTCTCTGAGCAGTTGGGATTACAGGCAGGATGCTACTGTGCCTAGTGCAGAGTGGGTTTTTTAAAAACACATGATCTTAGCCAAAAGGCCAAGAAGGGAGAGGTACCAGGAATTGAACTCAGGGCCTCATGCTTGCCAGGCAAGCACTATGCCGCTGAGCTACATCTCTGCCCCCGCCCCCCACACTCCTTTTTTTAAGATGAGGTTTCACTATGTTCTAGTCTGCCCCTGAACTTACTATGTAGCCTAGGCTGGCCTCAAACTCATGATCCTCCTATCAGCCTCCTGGAGTACTGGGGCTATAGGCAGGTACCAACATGCCTGGCTCAAAGAGTATTATCTTAATTATCTTTGCAGTGCCTACAACTGGCAGGGCATATAAAAAGCCACTTCACTGAATAATTTTTGAGCTGTACCAACCAGAATTAAAAACACTGCAACAAACCTTTAAATCACTGATAGCAGTGAATTCATAAGCACTAGGATTAAATGACTGTCTACATAAGGAAAGCATTTTTCCAGTTTTGCTCAAATACTACTGTATCTGTTACACTTTTTGATCTGAGTTCATCTCCTGGAATAAAAAGAAAATTCTGGAAGGGTGATGAACATCAGAAAATACACACCTTGACTGATGTTGAAAGTTCCAGATGGGGGAATCTGTGTTTTCAACCACTTGGGTGTATACAGGAGATGGCTCATCTGCTGTTGCAAAGGATACACAACAACTGGGTATGGGTACTTTCCGCTCGGTCAAGGGGCTCCCTGAAATAGAATATAGTAGAGTGATAACACTTTAGGATATGAAAAAGAACGTCTTTGAAGAAGCCCTCTGTAATACATGTACAGTCAAGACCATTCCTAGCCATTTCCTACTTTCAGGTCTTTGCTCAAGCTATTCCCTATATCTGAAATGTTTCTGGCAACCTTTCTACTACTTTACTCTGTCACTGATCTAGTAAACCACTTCATTCCGCCTCCCCGGGCCTAAGTTTTCTCTTCTGAAATCTGCTCTCAAATTACTTCTCACAATAAAATTCTAATTTTAGATACCAATATCACTCATCTTTTTTTAATACCACTGGCTCACCAGCCCTTGACCTCTAATTTTTATTCTTGAAACTACTATTTGCTAAAGGCCTTGAAACAAAACTACTATTTTCATTTTGGAAGAAAACTGTTCCTGCCCAGAGCGCCAAGGAGGTGAGCCACACAGGTGCCAGCACACCTCCCCCAAGTCCCCCCTGGCTGTGCCGAGCCATTACCTGGATCCATACCACAGAGTTGCAGGGGTCATAAAGGACATTGTTCTGAGCTTGAGAAGATAGAGTAGAAGTGAACAACAGAAAGAGGGCCTCTCTGAGGCCCATTGATGAAAATTAAAGCCCACCTGAAAAGTGAAGAAAATCTCTGCAATAAAGGCACACCAGTTGCCTTTAGTTGGGGGAGCAGCAGTGTGGACCAGAGCAGGCCGGCTGCAAGAAGATTCCAGCTAGGGCTTTGCCTCGACCCCAGAGGCTGGGGCACATTGGCCCAAGTCAAGGGCTCACTTGGAAAGGAGCTGCACAGGCACACAAGCAACAGCCAGAGGTTTTCCCCAATACCATCAGTAAGTGTGCGAGACCCTAGCCAGAAGCTTGCTCACGCAACATAAACTGGGGTGCACAGCCCCCAGCCAAAGGCCCTCCCAGACAACAGCTAATTAGGGGCCCTAGCCAGTGGCACACTTAGACACCATCCCAAGTGTGCACAGGCCCCAGCCAGAAGACCACCCAGACAACAGGTCAGCTCAGGGATCCGGAAGACCACCTTTCTGAACCCAGAAATTAGTGTACTGGTGAGCAGCAGAGAAAAGGCAGCTCTGTGGCTTGCTGAGAATTGAAGACCACTGGGGTAAGCAAAAAGTTGCCCCAACAAAGGCACAGCAGGCTGCATCTGTTGAAATGACAAGACATGTAAACAAGTCTCAAAACCACACTTCCAGATCACCTAAGGCAACTCCAAAGGGAAACGAGATGGAACAATTTGATACTCAACCATCTGGATGACTCCCTGAACTGGCAACAAAAGAGGATCAGAAAAAAATGAAATCAGAAATAATTTCCCAGATAATAGCAGAGGCTGTGCCCATAGTGCAAGACATGATTAATAAATCTAGAGAGGATACAGATAAAAAAATAGAGGATCTGAGGAACATGATGGAATCCCAACATAGGAA